CGGTGGGGTTGGGGCTGCGCTTCTGTGAGGAAAGTACGGAGGAGATATGGCCGCGGAAGATGGAGGGCTTGGGTCTAGGAAAGATTGAGATCCGGAAGAGAAGACCTGATGGTTTGGTCATTTATCTTGTCGAACTCACTGTGGAGGACGAAATTATCTACGGGCCTGAAGGGCGCGCGCCCTGTCGGTGATCAAAGGCTCAAACATCGGAGAGGGGTGAGTTGGTTAACGCACTGCCAAGATCTGCCTTGATATGGGGACTTGACGCCTGTCATTATAGGCTCTCCGCCTGAGGAAGTCCCTAGAATGACCGGTTCTCCAGGCCGATGGTTGGCCAGTCACCCCTAAGTAAGTTTGAGACAGCACTTTCCAAGACTCTCCCTTCAATGCGAATTTTCACACTTGCTTACACTCTCATATTCACAGTCAGATATGTACTCGCTCCTATTTCGTACTTATGCTTACACTTGCAGCCGTAACCGCACCTATCACTCCTCACACATCTCCCTCGTGGCTCTACTGCACCCTGAGTGCATTGAATTGTTCCCTATAGCTTGAGCGTCTAGATGCTGCTTTGAATGCGGTGGGCTAGGCGTCTATGTTTTTGTCGTGTATAAGTTGAGCGAGGTCACTAAGATGCAAAATGCTTTCGATCAACTTGAAAGCGAGGTTGCTCTCTGCGCTCGGATCACCAAGCCAGACGCATACGTTCTTTGCTTGAGAATATATGCGGCCCATGAAAGGTGTTTGAAAGCACTTTTTCCTTCTTATCCTCTTGGTCAATGCAGATAGCGTCAACCTAAAGTGGTCGAACGCTATTCTCACGACGCAAGTTTCTCAGGGCAGATCCTAGGTTCTGTGTCAATCGAGTATTGTTTGTTGGGACCGAGAAGGTCCAAATTTCAAGCAAACACGATTGTAGGAGGACGCTCCTCGCTGCGACCTAAGAACTTGTCAAGCTTGCAGAAAAGACAGTATGAAACCTCGGGGTACACCATGAGAGCGGAGCGGTCACGGATTCTTAGGAGACGATATCAACCCGTGACTCAACAAGTAAGGCCAGAAGACCGCACCAGGGCTGTAAGTGCAATATCCGTTGACTTAAAGACAGCCCCGTTTTCGTGGCCGGTATTTAGCAGGCTTATTTGAGAGCATACGTCGAAGATAATGCGAGACCTTGCAAAATCCGCCTTGCCCATACCCGACATATGCTGTTTACCAGGTGGAGAAACAGGTTGACCGCTGTGATGATGGCCTTTTGTTTTTGAAACGGCCCAGAGCGCCCCAGGTAGGGTCGTATGGCATCAATAGTGGTTGCCTTCTCTGATCGATCGTGACCAGCATCTATTCTGGATGTCTTGTTCAGTTGCGACCACGGTTCGAATGGCTCTGATTTAACCACAGATTCACAGATCCTAGTTGAATCTCCACTCTGAGTACTTTTTCCCGATCGCGAATGGTGATGTGAAGAGCTAGAAGCAAGCTATGTTTGCAACCTCTGTGTACTTGTTGCACAGGTCTACCTGTAGGTGGGTTAAGAGGCACGAAACGACCTTGGAATGGTCTGGCCCGCTTTCTACTTAGGAAGAAAGCGTTCTCCAACTTTCACTCAGCTGGAAACGTAATGCAGAACCAGAGTACGTGTCGTTATCTAGCATATACTTTTCGAAAGAGACATCGAACGTCCCTGGGATTGTTACTTACCATGGCAGGTTTGGGAACCACTTAGAAACATGTTAACAGCACACCAGAGTGGTAAGTACAAAATAAGCAGAACTGTTACTGAGAACGCATCTAGTCACATGGTGTTGGGTGGCCTGCGGTCGGCCAACAAATTCAATTAAACAATTTGCTCGAACGCTTCCACTTTCCTGACTCTCTTTTCAAGCCAGACTGGGGCACAGGTCGGCGTACGTTGATGTTGAAGTATAGGAGTTGACTTCAAGCATCTTAGATAGACCTCTCTGTTGCATCTGCTCAGCGGCAACCAGAGCATTCTTGGGCATCTCAAATGTTCGTAGACAGGCAGATACGAAAGCCGATCAAGGAGACAGCATAGAGCAAAGAATCAAGGTTCGTGTGAGACAGAATTGATGTCTCTGTTTCTCCCGGGCGATGACTGCTAAACCCACCATCGCTATGCTAAAGAAAGCTCAAAACCAGATCTAGAAGCATGGGATCAGCATCCATCATGTCCGTCGGGTCCGTTATCGCACGAGACCTCCTCGCAGACCTCCAAACGTGGCATACAACTCCCCTTGAAATTTCCAAAAACGCTCCCCTATGCATTGTGTACCGTTGCACGGTTTGTACGGCTTAGCAGTATTGCTTGATGAAATCAGATGCTCATGTTACTCGTTGTGGCTGCCCGATCAGAAATTCGCTGCAGTGTTGACGCGTCCTGGGTTATGATATTGATCGAGGGTTGACTTGAACGGATTTGGGGCACTACCGCTGCTGGAGGTTTCCTGGAACGTCTTGTTGGGGTCGTACATGTCATCATCAGTCTCTTGCTTCTTCCTGCCCCAGATTCGCCATGCTACCACTGCCAGTGCTCCAACGAGTATGGCACCTCCAATACCAACAACAACACCAATTATGATATTCCTCTGCGATGGTGTGACGCCAGAGCCGCCAGAGCCGCCATCGCCACCGTTCAAGGTGGGAGAATCGGTTGATGTGGGCTCACCTGACGGAGAGGCACTACTTGTTATGACCCGTGAGATAGTACTGCTGCCGCTGACAGTGACTATAGTTGTTGTGATGAGAGCTGGAGAATCAGTATCACCGGAAGGCGCCGCAGTGGTTGTGATCAGAGCAGTTTGGCTTTGCACTGCGGTGGGAGACTCGGCGGTCGCGATCGGAGCATCGCTGATTTGTGTCGCAGTAGGAGTACTCGAGATTTCTACTTCTGTGGTGGGTGCTGGAATTGACGATGCTGGCGCTGCGGGAGACGATGGTGACCGAGTGGTAGTGACAATTGCTGTTGAGGATGGTGATGGTGGTGCGGATGTAGATACTAACTCTGACTCCGAACCGGATTGGGATTGGGATTGAGATTGAGATTGGAATCGGGATTGGGAAGATTGGGATTGTACAGCGGAGCTGGAGGGTGCGGCTGAGGCTGAACCACCAGTTCCAGCCACAGTACTCTGGACTTGACGTCTGTGTAGATGGAAATGTGCGTCTGCATCGGCAGCAATAACGGCAGAGACGACAAACAGCATGAACAGCAAGAGCGATGGTATCCTCGATGCAGTGTGCATTTTGCTGGTAGTGATGGCGAATAGGAGTTGCTGAAGTATAGCAAAAGGATGATGTTTGGTAGAAGAAACCACAAAGAGTTATGGAGCTCGATTTGCAGCCAGAAAGAGTGTGTAATGTTTGCAAGTCTAACGAGTGTAAGGAAAAAACGATACTGATCAGCAATGACACCGACCAGAACAAGTGAATGACCAGAACAAGTGAATGAGATGGAAGTGGTATGAAAAGGGCAAAAAATGCTGACTGACCAGTGATCAGAGTGTAACCACAGTGTGACCCACCGGGAGGCCCTTGTACTACGTACGCTAAAATACTGCCACTTTTAGACTCGAGTCTTTGTGTGGCTCGAGCTTTGTTGGCCATTGTTAGCGCGCGGGTGGACCCCTGGGACAATCATTACTACGTGACTAGCTAGTTTTAGTAGTTCTAGTTAAGCTCCCTCGCTCATTGCTGCGCGCTGCCACATATCATGTCTCACCTTGGTTCACAAGAACTTCAGTTTACCACATAATATCCCCGCAACCTGCCTGGGTGGATAGCTAATATTGCTGTTGCTATCTAGCCGTCCTACTCCTCGACCTCCTTGTTGCTTGCTTTACTCGAGAACTGCTTTGTTTGCTGGAGAGGGTTGGAACCAGGGATTGTACGTCCCGGAGAATCCCCGACCCCTTTTTCCCGCGTTTCATGCAAGGCGAGCAGAACGCGTCAACCAACACTAGAAAATGAATCATCCACGAAAGTCTACGGGCATGTTGCGTACATAGTAAGCTTGAGCACGGCGATACACCTCGCTGTTCAGATTAGGACAGGTCTTGTGGCAGCTGGATATTGCAAATCCCTCCACTCACAGATTGCATGCATATACGGAGTATTGATTTCGCAGACCCCTGAGGGAAAGTGAGTTTTAGCGCAGTTGAATTGCTACTGTACAGGTGCAGGTCTATACCGATCACTGTTCATGATCTCATTATCTAATCATACCTTGATCCTGAGGGCTCATCGAAACATTTGCATCCGAGTCCTCACTTCCGGAACCGCAGGTGCAGGATGCTGCCGGTCTGTTGCATAGAAATTTGCAGACACACCAAGTTCTACGCCTAAGTTGCCCCAATAATCCTCACTCTGCCCTTCTCGCATACTGCACATCGACAGCCAGTCGCACACTGAACCCCGCTCCAGAGTGCCATCTTACGGGTGATCCCGTCAACGTTGTAGAGTTGTGGCTGACATCGTTTGCAGCGACATTGACTAACATGTCGAGGAGAAGAACGCGAAAAAGAATGCGACTGAGCAAGAGCAGCACTGTGACTGGAACTAACGGGAGAATAGTACTGTTGTGAGGAACAAGGAGAGGACGATCTTAACGAGACGGCAGGGGACGATTCCTGTAATGACGAAGAGGGAGAGGGACGTTGCAGATATTCCCACTCGGAGATGGTATTGGGTTTTGGGAGCGAATTAGAAAGGTTCAGTCGATTTAGCACGGAGGAAAGAGAAGGCCGCCGTTGACGTGAAGCAGATACAGATGGACGTTTTGCTTCTGGCCTTCTGGAACCGACGTTAGGGTTCTGCGAAGATGGAGACGATCGTTGTGGCAGTGATGAAGGGATACGTTGGGACTTAGAGGGTGGTCGCAATTCTTCCCACTCGGAACCAGAGCTCTGATCTTGCGGAGAGGACGATGCAGGTATACATCCTAGGCCCACCGAGCGTGGAGGACAATCTGTCGTCGGCTGGCTGCGAGGAACAGATGAGTTTGGCTGTGGCCGCTGCTGTCGCTGCTCTCGCTTTCGAGGCCAGCATGGAGCCTGATCTTTCAATCCGCTCAGTAATGCTGGCTTATCGCTCATTGGCAGAACGAAGAAATGATAGTAGTATGAAGTAGCTTGTCTATTGCTATACTAAGCAGATGCCCTTATTACGAAGGGATTTCTCTCTGGATGAAAGTCTGATGCAGAGGATGATTAACATCATATAAGACATTGAATGGAACGGGCTTCAACACTATGCATAGAAAATGGTAGGTCCATTAGAATTACAGTCACGCCGCACCACTGTTTGAAGATACTGATGAGTCTTGATGAAGGAAATGTTTCGACAATAAGTCGTGGCACGTTCCCAGGAAGACATGGGAAAAGGACCTCGCTCCCGGAACCTAAATATGGTGGAAACAATTATGTATCAGCTACGAAACATAAACCCAAACTGCTTTCCAAGTGCTTTTGGAATCCCCACATATATAACACTACGTGCATATTTCCAAACTAAGGCCGTGCACTCCTTGGTTGATTTCATGTGAGACTGCCATGTAAGTTGTTCGAACAATATTGTGAGGATAAGCAAGTTGAATCAACCTTGTCACTCGCCCAATGGGGATCGACGCAAGTTTGGTATGACAGGTCAGATGGATGGATGGAATACAAGCGCCGTTTCGAGATTCTGTTACTCGATTGCTCACGGACTATCGCCTGTTGCGCCGGGCTAGATTTGACAGGTATCCGCTCGTAACGCACTAGGGGTGTTTGGACAATGAAGGGCTCGCTATGCTGCTCGTAGCCAGGTTGGACAGCAGTCTCTATGACCCAAAGGAATCCTGATCACTTGCTCAGGAAAATAGAATGCACTGTGCCACATGTGGTAGTCAGGAAAGAAAACGTTCAATGCCATGTCTGGTCCACGCATTCCATTACCGACATCAACAGCTGGCCTTTGCCGTGTTCTAAAGGTAGATGCCTGAAGCGGCAGCACGCCGCTGAATCATGTGAACAGGATGGAGTCATGGTATGATAAGACAAGCTTCGTATACGCAGCAAGAGAAGTACTGGCATGGTATGCATCGTAAAGGTAGAGTCTGTCGGTATCGCAATTGTTTTCTTGATGGTAGAGGGCAGTTCGCGAACCACACCCATCAGATTCACTACCAAAATAAATCCCCACGAGGGTATTTTTCCAAGCATACAATGCCTAGAAATGCTGTGTATCATATACATGATTAGTAATAGTCCGAGGCGAATTGGAGAGCAGCAATCCACAACTATGGTCAGAATTTGTGGATGAAGCAACTAAGGTAGACGCAATCGTTGTAGCATTGGCTGTTCGTGTCGTATTGAAACTCATGTAGAGTTGGTTAGACTGGTTTAGTAGCTCTGGACTTTCGAGTTATTGGATCCAATAGTTAACGTCGGATCGCGTCTTGGAGGACATGAGCATATTGCCCAGCACTAGAGAATGCTTCCCTGCACATCTTGGTGACACAAGATGCTGCACATTTTCAAGGATAACAACAAAGAGAGGACCGAGATGAGGATCTAATCGCACAAGGAGACAGCACCACTGAGTGATAGAATTCGTTGCCCTCTGTGGCGAGTATTTACCCGGAAGGGTGATGAATATTGGCTAGATTGTGTATGAGTCAGCGGCCGGATTGGGAGCCGATCTCTGCATCCCAGTCCCAATCAAGCGGCTAGGGGCTTGGCGTTCCAGCAGTTCTCAACTCCACGCTATCTCCCTAGCTCTGGAAATTCAACAGCCTACGGCATACGATTGAATGCTGAATGCTGTGCCTATCGCATATACGTCTGGACCACGCCCAGGATACATTCCTCATTTCTCTCCAACTTCACAACTCCCAACTGTTGGCCAACTCTAACGTGTGACGTGGAGAGAAGTTCCCACCTTCGCCTCTTGCTGCGGCAGCACCGCTCAGCTGGTTGTTGACCAGCCTCCTTTAATCTCCTTTCAACTTTCTACGCTCGTTTGACCTTCGACGACTGGCGAAACACCCCTCCAACTACTCACCGAGGACCTATACGTCTCGCGCTCTGAATCCTACCAACCCTGATCCTGCATTCTTACTATTCGAGATGTTGCTGCCAAAGGGCGGCGTCACATGGAAGTCCGCAAGAGCTAGATTACCGCCATGGAGGGCGTTGATAGTATATCTTACCAAAGTCAGGTTTCTTGCGGCAGTTGCATTGACAGGGTTGATAATATTATTATGGAGAGGCATCAGCGAATCAACAAAAGATTTATCTAAGTTCGTGCCTCTATCAAGTACAGAATTTCTCCCACGCAAGCGCATGAAACTGACCAACGCATCGTACTTGCAGTTATTATTGCTTCGGACCTTCGAAAGCGCCCACGGAAATGAGCGTAAACGACATGATCGCTTGGCATCAACACCTTCAAACCCCAGTACTCTTTAATCACCACGAACCTTACGCAGTTAATTCAAGTACGATCTCGCACATCGACCTGAATAACATCAAATCTACGCCACGAGCCATCAGCAATCAAGAACGTGTCCTTATCCTGACCCCACTCCGAAATGCTGCACCATACCTTACCAAACACTTTGACCTTCTCTCCGACCTGACATACCCACATGACCTTATAGATCTAGCTTTCCTCGTTAGCGATTCCACGGACGACACTCTAGCCGTACTTGCATCAGAGTTGGACAGAATACAGAAGCGTGAGGACAAGATCCGCTTTCGCAGTGCAACGATAGTGGAGAAGGACTTTGGCGTAGGCGTAGAGATGGAAGTGGAAGAGAAACATGCCTACAAGGCCCAAGGCCCAAGGAGGAAAGCCATGGCTAGGGCGCGCAACTATCTACTCTACGCCGCGCTCAAGCCCGAGCACTCGTGGGTCTATTGGCGCGATGTCGATATCGTTGACAGCCCGAAAAAGATTCTGGAGGACTTTATGGCACATGACAGGGATATTCTTGTTCCAAGTACATCACCCTACTTATTGGGACGGCTGCCCGCTGACAAAACATGGCAGATATCTGGTTTCACCGATATGACAATGGTCAGGACATCGAAGGGAGGTTTGACTACAACTCCTGGATCGAATCACCGCAGGGTTTGAAATTGGCCGCAAGTCAGGACAAGGATACCATTATTGTTGAAGGTTACAAGGAATTCAAGACAGGCCGCAAACATCTTGCCAAGATGGGCGACTGGAGGTTCAATAAGGACGAAGAGGTCGAGTTGGATGGTATTGGCGGAGTGAATATTCTCGTCAAGGCTGATGTGCATAGATCTGGTATGTGGTATCAAGGGCGCGGAACAGAAGGTCGCTTTGCTAATTACAGCATACAGGTATTAATTTCCCTTGCTACGCATTTGAGAACCAAGCGGAAACGGAAGGCTTTGCGAAAATGGCCAAAAGAGCTGGGTATCAGGTCTACGGGTTACCAAACTATGTGGTATGGCATATTGACACAAAGGAGAAGCCTGGGAACGCATAACCAGGGAATAATGGTTCCTTTCGAGACACAAGACGACAAATGCTCCTGAGACTTATGTGTCGGGTTCAAACCGGCAGGCGTGAAGCAAGTCTAACACCCTCGCAAGTGCTGCAGCAGGTGCTCTTGATATGCCTAGCAAGTCTTGGACATTGGCCCGTTCAAGATGCTGTCGTCAACTTTTGTATCTGCATATCACGAACTTGGCGTTTATGGGCATGCAGGGTGGTTCCTTGAGCTATTGTTCAGGGCCTTGCACTCCTAAAGTGTGTATTTGCATGATGGGCCGCGTTTAGGCACGGGACAGTCCAGTATCGAGATCCCGAATACCGGCATATTATCGAATAATCACAATTCTCACCATTGATTGCTTTGCCATAGTCTGCTGACATGCACCAGTTGTTGTTTTCCAAGTGGGACAAGCTAAGAGATGGATAGTGATTGAATCACGAGCTATCAGTACCTAAGCCATGCCGGAGGCATAGAAAGCTCACCCGCTCCTACTAACCGAGTCTTTGGCTCCTCTCATGCCTGTCTCATATTCTTACCCGCTTACTGATGCGCTATTGGAGACCTCTCAAGGAGGTCAACACACAGAAACCATGCTCAGGAGATGATGCATTTATCCCACCATCCTCAGACGTGGACAGACCATTGCAAACCAGAAGATTTCGACCCGCTCTTGATGCTTCAGGTACAGCATGGAAGGGCTTTCGGGAGGCCATTCTCTTTTGTTTCTGGTACTACATTCCGTTGCCACCTCTCCTATACCTTTTGTTCATGGATGATACTCACACCAAGGAATCTCAGATCTCAAAACTACTTCCTCCGCACAACATCCTTAACATCGTCCTTTCTCGAAGCACGTGGAGCAGCTCTTCCTCTTTGTCCTCGTACATCCCTCCATAGGGGACTCGAGGTATGTGGATGATACGTTTAACTGTCTAGGGATGTATAGCGATGCGGAACATCATCAATATACTCCGTACACCGTCTTGATACTGCTCAGATTTCTAGCTCAGACTCCTACCTATCAGCACCCATCACCACACCTGCACCACAAGATGGGACTGTTATTCGTCTCAATAGCTTTGCAAGAACCGTCACTGACCACTCAGACCAGCGGCATGGCATCACGATCTCATTCACGCTTCCACCATTCTCCTCCATTATTGCAAGATACTACTGTCCGTCCCGACGAGGACAACAACTACATGCCAACAAAAACCATTGCTCGCGTCGTCGCTCTCGACTCCGTGGGATCTGGGTCCGTGTTCTGGTGACCTTATTATCAACGTCGGTAGTACCACTGTTGGAAGCCTTACCATTCGGAGCTAAATACCGCCAGCAACAACTCTGGGAGCTATAGTACTGAGACTGGACCGCTACACTCATGCCGGAACTCACAGCACGAACCCACACTACCACACGAATGCAAGCGGGTTCTCCATCCCCATCTACGAGGAACGAAGTTTGTCTGCAACGCCTAATGCCGAGTCAACTCTCGCAGTCTCGTTCTTGGATCACCGCCCCCAAGCAACCTCGACTTTTTCCGCTCCTCGTTCACTGAGCATTGAACCGAGGACTTTCACTTCGTCCCAGCTGAGAATGTTTAAACAGGCGCGTTCAACATGCCCACGAAGATGTCGGCAGTGATACCACCAAAACTTTTGCACACCTTTTCATGCCCACAAGCCTGAGGTTGAAGGTGAGGGTAGTGACGGGGACGAAGGCGAAATTTGCAATTCTCGTGCACCAAAAGCAATGCCGACAATGCAATTCTCATCCTTGGATACAGAAACATTAGCCATGTTTGGCTCTGATCCGTCCACTTTCTCGAGCACCAACAACCTCAGCTCAGCCTCCACCCCTGCATTCGGGCCCGGATCTCCACGTCACTCAATTATCCCGCTTTGGTATTATCGTCCATCGTTTGCCTGGTTTGGTGGACTCGGTTATGAATGCTGGTGCTGGTAGTGGGAAAAAGTATCGTAGATATAAGAATGAGAGATTGGGGGAAAGTAGCTGGGTATGTAAGCGGCAAGCTTTCTGTAGCAAAGAAAGGGATTGAGCTTTCGGTGGTGTTGGGATGGGGAGTAAGAAGAGGATTGGAGAAGAGAGTGGTTAGGGAAGGTGGAACGACACAGGACGAAGCACGGCGGAGAGAATGGTAACCAAAATCTCGGCCGGAATTTCGGATCCCAAAAAGGTGATGGAGCGGTTTTCGATTATTGGGGGTTTTCATCGAAAGCAGTTTGGCAACCCCCTCCCAGCACGACTTGTGGCTTGGACTTGCTGACATCCATCGTCTATCGTAAGCTGGAAAAGGGAAGACCGAACTCGTTTGCCTAAGTGGGATTCCTGGAAACAGAGGAAATGTCGTTGGTCTTACGCAACCCCCGATCTTCGAACGTCCCTCCATTGTTTCTCCCTCATCTCGACAAATCGCCGACATCAGGTGAACGCCTTCGGGTGGAGGATGAATGCTCGATGATCAGCTGCGTATTCAGATCGCGCTCCATTTACAGCGAATGCGACGTGTCATTTGGCACCCCAATTGCTTTTGGCTCGCAGTTCCCGCTTCTTATCCCGCAGGAAGATTGCCACTTCCAACCGCTGCCGCTCTCTGTGAACAAAGCCGGTTTCAGTCGCGATAAGTTTGGAACTGTCTATTAGCCCTCGTTGTTCCCTTTTTTGAGAGTTGAGACATCCATGTCTCGACGCAGACTTCCTGGAGATTCGAAGGCTGGTTTTGACGACATGTCTCGGATACGTACTGTCGTGCCCCCACAGAACGATCTGGACATCGCGTTCGGGGTACAGGATCACCAAGCTGGTTCGGACGGAACGAGTGCATCGTGACATGGCTAATGACAAGACAGTATATGTTGTGTTCATTCTGTTGTGGCCTCAACGATCATGATTCTGTCAGCGTACCGCTTCAAGTCCTCGCGTGCTTGGACTACGTGGCTCAAAAGGTCGAACCACCCATTCCTAGCCAGATCGTAAGACGGAAGTCGGAGGATGTCTCGGATCTTGACAAAGGCTCTTGTCTTCGACTACCTTCTTTCTGTCTCGGATGGATACAATAGACATCTTCGCTCAGGCTGAGAAGCGTTCTAAAGAGCTCTACTCCACTTCTTCGTCGACTCAGTTGGAAAGCTCATTGTCCTGTTTCGCTCCCCTGTTTGCTGTCCATCCACAAAGGACGGGCACACTCTGGACACCTTTTCGACAAGGATCGAAGCGGACTTTGGCAAATCCAGGGGCTTCCATTTGCGTAGATGAATGAGGAACTTTGCCTTTGTCGGTGTCCAACTATGAGAGCGGTTGTTCCAGCTTGAGACACGGGTTTATACCGTCGCAAGGGGTCAGATCTGATGAATGTAAGTATATAAGCCCTCTGAATGAAGGAGAGAGAGAGAGCTTCTAATCTGCATCCACTTCCAACCAATACCTCATTACCAAAACAGCTCAACCCACTCTAGCGCCTGATCAATCATTTCCACAAAGTCCCGCTCACTCAACTGCATCTCCTTAAACATGCCCCAATCTACCAAGTCCGACCCTCAGCCAGCCTCCCCTTCTCCAGCTTCAGGAAATCCGCAACACCAGAACCACAACCACAGACAAAACACAACGCCAACACGGACCCTGCCCGATTCTCCGACCACACTTCGCGCCGTTGCAATTGAGGAGGCATACCATCGCAGCCAGGACTCGCTCATCGGCATCAAGGAATTCTCTAGGCTAAGAGAATCCTAGCAAAGACATGGGAGACGTGAGGCAGGAGATGGATAGAGAGGCCAAAGGAAATTGTTGAAGAGGATGGAAGGAAGACATGGAGAGGGGCCTCTGGGCACGTGTTTTTGTGAAAGATCTTTAGCTATGTTTTGGGACGGTAGCTGGAAATCTTGAATTGTTTTGCCACTGTTGAAAAGATTCTATTTTGGTTCTCAGTACCCGCGATGTTTGCATAATAATGTCCAATGAGTTTGCGTAGTCAATGATAGAGCTGTACAGGTAGATGTCGCCCATTCGTGGTAGAGAAATCTTTCATTTTGAAGCGTGTCACGACCATGCCTCTGGTTCAGAAACTTTCAACAGGCTTAGAAGAAATGTGCTCACTGAGCCCTTTCTACGCTTCAATGCCCAACAAAGTGTGTTTCCTTAACACCATGGGGGCATCTCTTGCAGTAGTCTGCTCGCAACCTTCTCAAATGGAGATGGCTAACGACTGTTGAGCTTCCCAGACGTTATGATCCTGAGATCAAGCTTTGCTTCCTGCTGAGTCGATGCAAAACCACTGGAGCGAGACCGGCCTCTTTCCTCTTTTAGATTTGTCTCATCAGGCTCTGGTGCGAGCCCAAATCCAAAGTCTCAAGCGAATGCGGGTGAAGGGTGGTAAACACCAATACATACACCGTCGGCCAAAGAGCGCTAGGCAAGGAGCAAAGCCGCAAATTGAAAAGTAAGCGATGGAGGCCAGTCGGCTAAAATGTGGACTTCTTGGTGAAGCGATATCATTTGCTGACGACTCATCAAGACGTGAAGGAAGAAATAACTGCCTGGGCCAGGTCCACACTGGATTCTCTTTACCTCCTATGGCATGAAATCGTGTAAGGTACTTCGAAAGTCTTCAAACGACAAAGCGGGCGTTATTGCTGACACTGACGTCGGAAAAAATTTGGATGCCGGCACTATCTTTCGCCGTGCAATGCTCTTTGTAAGCCTTGTGTGTCTCGGTGCTGCTTTCATGCTGGATGCAGTCTCCGGATATCTTCATGCTAGGCCACAATGCGCCGGGTAAGTAGATTCCCAGTTGTCAAGAATCCACGTTCTCCCATTGGCCCTCTCCATTCAATAGATAGCTGGCCTAGCGCGGTTCTCCCGTCACGTTTCATGTCACTTCTCAAAGTATCTAAACCATCAGTGACCTCCCCCTGCTGCTCGACCAAATATGCTACCTGGAGCACATCTCTAGGACTCAGCATAGATTTGAAAGAGGACTCTATTAGAAGATCTCCATCACAATTCATAGACGTGGACTTGAAAGGAGCTCTGACGTCCAAGCTGGTCTGCTCGAGCGTAATTGCCATATCCGCCACATTCTCGAGTTGTGCTTCCAACGCAAATCTCAATAATTTTGATTTTCCATACGGCCCAAGAGTTTTGTCCTCGATCTCATGCGAGGAAAGCTCTGTGGCTTTAGTCCGCACGCTCAAGCATGGCTGAGCAACAAATTGATAGAGCTTTCTGAAGGTCCGGCTTCGGCCGCCAGTAGCAGCTGAACCAATCTCCGCCGCCAAAGTATTTTCCATGTACGTTATATTGACAGCGAGAACGTGATTTCCTTCTTCTTTGAGGTCGAACCGGACAATCTTCTGGATCGAGCTCCCCGGCGTAAAGGCTTTTTCTTCATCTTGCTGTGTTAAAGTTTCGAGTTCTAATGGGATGGTCTGAGAAGGGGTCTGCATTTCGGCCGAGATTCCGATCGAGATTACCATTCTGGAGGTTTCACCCGGCATTAATTCATTATTGGCGCAGAGTGAACAAGCAAACATTTCACCAACATAAGTCGACCCGAAGGATGGCGGAAGTGTTAGCTGTTATGGTCAACTTCACAGCAAGACTGTATCGCACATCTTACCAGTGGGCTCAGGGCAAAAACGTGATCTATGTGTTCTGAAGGATAGGCAAGTGACGCAGTACATCTAGGATCTTCAAGCGGCAAAGGGTGTTGTTCTGCCAGCGAAGGTCTTGATAGACTGGATTTCGTCAGACCAATGGATTTGTATTACCGTATGCCCATACCGGAGAACTGCATGTCAGTTAGCGCACATGATGCGAGCCCCACGGTCCTTTGCATACCTTTCAGTGAGACCACGTGTGGCTCTTTGGGCATCTCCCCCGATGAGCGAGCCCTTGAGCGAGCCATGACCAGGAATATCTTCGACAAGTTAGGGCAGACACGAATAATGGCTCTGGAATGCCGTAGCAGTTTACAGTTATATGGGTTGGAGATTCTTGCAAAAGGGTTTGATGATGGTTTTACAAGTGGAGGCACACCACGTAATGTGGTTAAAAGCTTGAAGGATGGGCGAGAGTTGAGTTACTACTAATCAAGTTCAAGAGTCTCAACATCCGTGGTCTACATTCGAGATGTCACTGTTCAAAGTCTCCATAGTTATAAGTCTTGTTCTACGATGGCTTCTGACTGTCGAAAACCGAATTGCTGGTCAGGATAAACTTCGGCGTTAATGACGGCATTGTAGCCAAAGCAAGAACAGTGAAGGACACCTGACTGAGGTTGAAGAGGTCTCTAAGACAGCCAATATTTGAGCGCCTTCATATCTTACCGCGCAGCACTTAATCTTCAGAGATTTGTGTCTTCAAGTTTGCCAATGTTGAACTGCGCCGAAAGGAAGATGCCAAGAGATACCATGTGAGCCGAATGCTTGGCGTCAGATAACTCTATTTTGGCTTCCCCAATCTCCTTCCATCTGGCCAGGGGAAACAATCCGCCACCCAATTTTGCGTTCTTAATGATTCAATTTTTGCTGGTCACGTTGGGGCGCTTGACAGCTATAGCAGCAAGACGTTAATATCGCTGATGTTCCGGTAGGAAAGGATGGAGTCAAATGAGCCTTCACGCACAAGAATGGCTACTCGATCAAGAAAAGTCCAGCCAGCACTCAAAGAAGGGGTGGAAGAATTTCGTGCCAAGGCTAGTGTTTCCAAAACATCTTTGTCTCACAATGCAGAAGCTCCTCCATCTAGGAAAAGGAAGCTGCAAGATGTGGCAGTAGCGAAGAAGCCTTGTTCTGCCGGAAAGGAAGAAAAGCCAAACAGCTATAGAGAGCAACTCTGTATACCTTCGCCGACCAAGAAGTCACAGAGGTCGAAATCACCCCAAGGATCGTACGAAAAGCGGATGAAGCGTTATCGAAAGCAAGCGCCGCATTCGTATCTGCAGAAACTTCAGAGAGCACAGACTCAAAGGTCCGCTTGTCACACGTTCTGAGGACTGCACTACTGCTGACCGTTAGGAAGAATGATCGTCCTGAAACGTACCCGCGCTGGTACGGAGGCCTTTCCCAGTGAGGATATCGACCTCGTTGGCTCTACTGGAAATATATACACCGTAAGCAACTCTTTTTTTTTGATACATTTTGTGGCCTCTTGCACTTGAGAGCTGTAACCTCCAATTTGGCTCAAAGAACATTTTGCCCCCATACCAATACAGTGCTCTGGCATGTGATATGCCATATCTGCAGATTGAATGCCGAGAACCCAAATTTCGGCCAAATTCTTATTGAATGCAATAATATGTTGGTCCGTTCCAGTCTAACTGCTTCCTAAATTGCAGGTTACGATCGGCCAAATCCCTTCATGCACCTGTCCTGATCATCAGAAAGGAAATGAGTGCAAGCACAAAGTGTACGTCTTACATAACGTGCTGAAAGCACCCGAGCATCTTCAGTATCAGCTCGCTTTCTTGTCCTCGGAGCTAAGGGACATATTTGCGTCAGCGCCAGCTATACCAACAGATATTTCCAGTGCCGATGACTGTGGTGGCAAGCGGAAGCCAGTTGAGGGTGAATGTCCGATCTGTTATATGGACTTCGATGAAGCGCACAATGAGCTGGTGTGGTGTAAAGCAGCATGCGGCAACAACATGCATAAATCATGTTTCGACCAATGGGCTGCAAGTCAGCGTGAGGTTGGAGTGAAGTGTGTCTACTGTCGTACGCCATGGCATGTTGACCCTGGAGATCTTAATGAAGTCAAGAAAGCGGGGTCAATCGGCGCTGATGGTTATGTCAATGTTGGCGAGCAATTTGGCATGTCGCAAGCGAGGGATTATTCGACGTATCATCCGTTCTGGGTCAGGCGGCATCTTGGGACAGCATGGTGAGCATCCAGCGACGTGACCCGCTTCAAACTCAAGTGGCGTGGGCAACCCACACAGTCGACCGGGTAAATTAGTATGTTGATCGTCACAATCGGACGCCGGGGCCATGGGCCTGGGTTCGAGCTTGCAGGGTGGGCAGATGCCATTATTGCTGTGCCGCATTTTTGGTCGAAGGTTACAATGGAGCAGCCAAGGTAAAATGGAGTGATGCTACTAGTAGCGAAACAACGATCATGTCGGTGCCGTAGGTGCCGCAATCGTGCACAAGGTTGTGGTGACAGGTCACCGACCATTGAACTCTGTTCTCTCCAAAGATCCTCATCCACCGTCGGAACCTTCTGCATAAATGTAATGCGGCTGTGAGCCATCAATTCAAATCATCCTCAAAATGTAGATTATTCCAGGCACATTCTTTGGGTGGGTGGTATTAGTGTGTCCTAGCGCGCCGTAGAGAATGTTTGACGATTGGGACTATGACCTGATTAGGGATGCGAATCCCCCTAAGGCTCTACCGTGGTGAGGTTTGCTAACAACGAGATGGTGGAGAGGCTTCTCCGGGTGGCCAAAGCTTAAAGAGTACTACGTAGAAGTGCCGGACAGAATTTCAGATCAACCATCGGCTTAGTTGCGGCGAGCCTATGAGAAAGTTCGATCCAGGAACAGCAAGATCAGGGTGAAATCACCACGAGTCACCGTTCTATTCCACACCAAGACTTCTCCAAGGAACCACACCAACATGATAATGTCATGATCCTATGGTTTCGGCTTCGGATCAACTATTGAACAACAGGCTCGGAAGAGGCACGTTATCAGACCGGCAAAACAGATCAGATCTGCCATGATATGACACACTACCAGCTTAATTCCCTGGCACAGATTGCTAAATCCATGGATAGATTCAGCTCGAGACCTAGCTCAACACACCATGGGAAGCCTGATCCTCTACCCTAAGATGCTGAACTCTCCCGGGGTAGGGCGCCTGGAAATTCAAAGAGCATGTCGATGTGAGGATGTCACTCAGAGTAGCCCCGATAAAATACTAAGAGTTATCTGGGTCTTTTGTCCGGGTGTCGAGTGCTAATGAAATTAAATTGATAGGTCAATTCGTTGGTTCCTCCGAGGAGGCATTCAACACAAGTATTCCGTACACAGTACGTAAATTATGCATAGGTTAGCAGAAGCGACCTACAAAATTTCGTCCACCTGAGAGCGCATGCGCCAAATTATGCGCAGTGGAAACGCGATATGGCGCCGATAAAGCCCGTGAGCCGACCTGAGACGCTGCAACAGCGGTTGGTGATTGCGAGATACGCCTAGTCTTGGGGGCGAGTTGGGCCTCTCCCTTTTCAAATCACAAGCGACACCGCCATCACCAGTAATAATCGAAAAGCTGATACTCGCTGCTATCCTAACTCTGTATCAGCAGGGTCATGTTGTGGAAAACCCCATATGAGGCGGCAAGTGTCATTGTCAAATATGTTTCCATACTCGAATGCCATCAGCTAGACTCCAGTACCGCTGACCATTGTGAGAAATAGAGGATACAGACGCCAGAAAATGAACACGCTGGCTTGCATGGAATGGATGCAGCTGAATAAGGCAATCCGGCATAGACCATCGCCTTTCCTGTGTGCCTTGTCAGAGTTGTCACAACAGTCCACCAATGGAATACGGATTTGCAAGGATGATATGTGTGCGCGATAAACGAGATCAGCCGAGTCGAGCGGTTAGTTAAGCACCTTCCGCGAATGGCAGGGATGATTTCAAGACGAAACCGCTGAGCAAGACTCTAGCGCTGGGAGGCATACGTAGGAAGTGACCTGACCACCTGCAGGCCACCCACCTGGCGCCCATAACTACCAGAAGGTTCGTCGAGCATGTCAGAATAACTATCTGGCGGTCTCAAATCAAGTACACTGTTCTGCAGGTGTTGGTCCCTATCCTTTATGATCACACCCAGCTGCTTTACCGCGGTGAAGAAGCGCAGTTAGACGAGGTTCTGGCCCCCAAAGCTGTGCAGCCTTTTTGCCACACGCTGCTCCTTTTTCTCTCACATCCTGACTGCTCCGTACTGCGTAGTAAGCCTCTGCACGGGCGGTGGTCCATTCCCTGCACGTTTGATACACTTCCCGCCAGCGGCTCACCCCTAGTCAGAACCCAGCATGCTGGTCTGCCCACCGCCATAGCCGTTGCTCCAACCTAACTCCCACTGAGGCCTTGCCCGGAGTAGCAGACTGGCATCCGGCAAGAAAGGTTTCGCCTGGGCGTCTTCAGCGTGCTATTGGAGGGAGTGGACCTAGGGCACCCATCTGTCTTGACTAGCGCTTTCTGGTTGAAGGTTAGAAGTCCACCGTGTTAGCTTAGACTGCGTCTAGCGGTCCACCAACTGACGCTGCTCAGTCCACTGGAATGTCATTTGTTCGACCGTCGGGCTTGATAGTTCCCCCTCCATCGTCCTGCAAGACACCTTTTTCAATAACTCACCCTTTCCAGTACTCCTGCATGCAACTCTCCTCCATCATCCAATAGCGCTCGAGGCCTCAGCTGCGACCACTCCTGTGGCCTGCTCATCCACCTGGCACATTTCTTGGCAACCATCAAGCACAACCGCTCCCCGCGCCATTTTCCTGACGCCGGCGGCAACTGCATTTCTTCGCTTCTCTCGTCCCCCCAAACGCACAGCTTTTCTACAGCTAGCGGGTGCAAATCACTCCCTCTGGGATGATCTTTGGATTCTCTTAGCCACTCTCCTTTCATATCTAACAGCCTGTCCGCCTCGAGAAACGAAAAAGAACTTACTGAGGGGTGGCCACTGCGCCTCGAGGCCGAAACGCGCCAATCGTTCCCGTGACGTTTCAGCGAGGTCGTACGCTTCAAGCGCTCGCTGTCCGCCCCCATGATCGCAAAGGCATTGCTCGCTTCGGGTTTGAGTATTTGACTAAGCGCAGATCAGTCCCTCCAAACTCAACGAGAGTACCTTTGTAACGTCTAAATTTGGATCGTTCTTAAAAGTGACGACCACTGGGCCGTGCACTCACTTCCTCACGTATGTGAAGGACGGACCGCCTCCTTACGCACCCACTCCCCGACTGTCATTATCGCCGGCCTTCTTTTGCGACCTCCTTGTCTATCTAGGAAACCATCATTCTGCCACTTGGGGCCCACGGACACCTTCCGTTATTCATGAGGCTTGCATTTCTGCTTTCGAGATAGTCATTCAAGACTGTCTATCACAGACCGAGGACTTTCTGCCACTTGAAGGGTCCGAGCTCATCTCTGGGCAAAGCTCTATGTCAGCTGTGTCCACAACCACAATGATGGCTGGCCCTCCACCCTCCGAGAAAGATACGACATCAGACCACAGCGCCTCTGGTTTCACCGCTGTCAATGGCAGAGAGCCTCTGCCCAACGGCACTAACGGTAGAGCTGAGACCGTTGGTAAAGCTCGCAATGAACCCCTAGACCGCCGAGAACAGCAGGCCACGAGCCACACAACCGGTAGGCAACACTCTCCACGACCCAGCCAAGATAGTTCCCGCAAGGAGATGCCGAACGGAAACCAGCCATACTCGTCGCCTCATGAGATGGACACCCCTGCAACGAGTCCGGGAAAGCGAAAACGGTCTTTGACCGACGATGGACGTGACTCGTCAGGAAGTTCTCACTACGATCTGAGTCCACCAAGGAGAGTGAGTGGATCACCCGCCGGCGTCGTGGATCCCAGGATCCAAAGGGCTCCCGAACCAGAACGCAGCCATGCGTCCTACGTCAATGGTTCGAACGGCATCGAGCCTCACAACGCACGAGACCACAACATCGCCTGGCCCACTGATAGGCAGGCACCGCCTAGCTACCAAACCAATGGTCATCATGTGGACAGCTCTGATGCTCAGCTTGCAGAGGCCCTTCAGCGCGAAACGCAGGCGCAGAATTCGCACAGGACGTGGGGTATTGGTGGCCGACCAGACGATGAGCACACCGATCAGTATGGGGCATATGCTACTGATAGAGCATCGCAGGGTGCTGTCCAGGCGACCTCCAAGAGAAAGCGCGTGTTCAGCAACAGGACCAAGACTGGGTGCATGACATGCCGGAAGAGGAAGAAGAAGTGCGATGAGGGACACCCATACTGTGAGTATACATCCACACATGAACGCTTTCTATGTTATTGAATCTGACTTTCTAGGCCACAATTGCATGCGTGGTGGTTTCACTTGCGAGGGCTACAACACACGCACCACATGGCAGAAGCAGTCAAATGCCAAGGGACCGGTGCCGCTACAATCCAAAGATGGCTACGAAGGCTCGGATCACACATACTCTGCCAACAGCCATTCTCCCCGCGCGAAACGAGAATCGGCTCCGTACGAGGGCGGCCATCAGATGCGGCCAATCGTCGTGGAAGAGGGTGATCAACAAACGCAATATGTGACCAGTCCCACGTCAGCTGGGCCTAGGAATCGAAGCTCCTATTCCCAGCCTTGGGTACGCGGCACATCATACCTGCCTGAGCAGGCACGCCAAGATCTGCCGCCATTCTCCGAGATCGCTCGCGAGCCTGGGAAGCCAGCATACAGCGTTCCGCCACTGCGAGATTACCCACGTGCGCACGGCACATCCCAACAACCATCCGCCACATGGCCTGCTCATCCTGCTGACTATCGTCAAGGCTACCCATCTGGTCAAGTCGACCCTCGCAGCCTGCAAGGTGTAGCGCGAGAAGGTCTCAGCATGGAAGAAACCCAAAAGACAATGATGAAAGGCGACGAGCTTCAAAAGGAGAAAATGCTGAATGGTCAGCTGTTCAAATACAACGATCCTCTCCTCGTCGAGGATCGCAAACGGTGCAAGATTGCTCTCAAGCAATTCCACGACGCCGACAACCCCACCATGGGCGTTGCAGAAACGGAACGGGCTCGTAAACTTCGCGAAGTCTTCGCGCCTACCCGCAACCCATTGACCAATATGCCATACGCCTTCAAGTGGGACCCCATGGGTGCCATCGGCCCCGGCAGCGTCGTCGAGACACCGTTCAGATGCCAGTACGGATACAACATCCGCATCGGCGAAGACGTCTACATTGGAGAGAACTGCACCATCATCGATTCATGCACCGTCTCAATCGGTGCCAAGACGTGGATTGGGCAGAATGTGCAGATCTTGACCTCGATGGCTCACACCAGCATGAACATGCGTGCTGGCAGTGGAGCCAACTGGCAAGGGAAAGCGGTGACTATAGCCGAGGATGTGCACATCGGGGCTGGTGCAATCATCTATCCAGGAGTCACCATCCACCGAGGTGCCCAGGTAGAGCCGGGTGCGGTGGTGAAGAAGGATGTCGAAATGTATGCTCAAGGGGCCACCCTGGACTTCATGTTGTAAAAGATCATCTTTTCTATAAATATTTCTGGGGGCAAAGTCCCGTTCAGTAAAAGGCTACGCAGCGGCGGCCAGGTCATTCTTAGCGTACTATCAACTGTGGTTTTCTAATACACAACATTCCACATCCTCAGGCTTTAAAACGGGAGTTTAGATTGAAATGGCTCATCACATCGTTGTGCGACAAGTGATGAGCAGTATTGCTTTCAAGTAGAAACCAAGCATCCTGAAGTTGACCTCATTAGTAAGGGGTGCCACGACTTTTCCCAGGAGCTCCCATGGCATAGCAGTGCCGGGTTACCTTCGCCAAGCCATACATGAAAACATTGCCTGCAATTTGTTGCATCCACCTTGGATATCTCACGTGTCTCTAGGACTCGTCTAAATTCGTGCTTGCAAAAAAGTCATAGTCTACACGTGCACTTCGCCTGTGTCTAGCGGCTGTATGCGACCACCGGTCGATTTACGGTGAATGCTTTGTCTTGCACAGCGTTCATGCAATTGGTCCTGAGGAGCGCTGATAAACTAGACACATACAACTACAGGAATGACTTTAAAATGTCTCATCTGGTATTATTCTCAACCCAACACGATGTAGGAGACTGACAGGATGACAAGACCAGAAAATGGCGATGCTGGTTTGTCCGGTCCTTTTCATGCGACTCGTAGGAATCCTTGCTTCCTCCCCATGCTGAATCAAGCTCTCTTCGATGGATTCCCCTTTCAATCTGACGAAGGATCAGCAGCTATGAAGCATGAACTGTGAAACAACAATGCCAACGCTGAGTGAGGTCTCTCCCCCAACGCCTGAAATTCTGTTACGCTTTCTATCACGATCTGCTATTTAACGGATGGATACTGTATCAAACACCGACCGATGACTGGCCTCGATGGGCTGCTCCGAGGACACGGACGACAAGAATGCGGCCTAGAAGCCACGAATCATGAATTAAACAATGGCAAATTCTACCATGAATCTTCAAGGCATGAATCAAGCACAACGCTCTCTTGGCTACTAAATCAAGTAAACCATCATAAAGCACAACACGAAGACTTTGGCCGATTCTCTATGATTACAACTCTTTCGACATATTTACCAACCTCAACTCCCCTTCCCTCTTTCTGTCAATGTCGGGCTTCATTCTAGTGCGAAATCTTGCACATAGGCAATTCATACCGAGATTAGGTTGAGGCTAACTACTTTGTACGAGTGACAACAGGGAACCTGAGGGCGTTGATTTACCAATCTACCCAAAGCAATCATTAATCATGGCAGGGTGATGGTTTTATTCCGTGGAAAATGCATTGCCAACATGCCATGAATGGCGCGCGTAGTAGGGTCAAATGCTGTGCTCGCTTGGCCCCTGAAACCCGAGTCGTCGGTACCCGGCCAGCTGCATCTAAATGAAAGCAGAATGTGTGATGCTGGAGTACATGAATGGGGATCAGCGAGAGGTTGGTGTTCAGGGGGGCATGCATTTAAATCAAGTCATTCGATGGAAAGAGTCTTGAGGCGAAGTCGTGGCGGGAAAGAAATAGGCGGCTCGGAAACCTCGGCTCGCTAGTTAACTAGGATTTCAGAATGATTGGTTAAGCCAGCTTACTAGTACAGTATTGCCCTAGACCCTAAGTTAGACCCTGCATCTATCAGCCTCCTTCGGCCTCCGAGAAGTCACACATCCTCAAAAACGTGCATCTTGCATCACTCGCGGATCTCTCACGTGAACGGATAGCCTAACCGGCTGATCTCACATCTTGCGTAAACAATGTTTCTGTATTTGTCTGTTTGGCCGCTACAGGGGCGGAGTCATGACTCAAGAAGGTTCGCAAGCGCCCAACTGTTAGTGGATCTACCTCGGGGATTTTTTGGGTAGTTCCATGTAAGTGGGATGGTTACTTGGATACCACCTTAGCCTGTGTTCGGGATGATGGGGGTGAGGAAGAAGAGAAAGGTGAGAGGATGGGTGATATGACATCGTTCGCTGGTCTGCTTGATCGTCATACCATATTGTGGACGGGTGGACTGCGGAGGAGTGATCTCTGTATAAAAAAGGTCTTAGACGCCTGCTCTAAGACAACTCCAAGACAACTCCTCGCACGGCGGACTGTGAGCATCCGCCACTGTTCCGGCGGACCGCACCTCTACGACTCTCTGCCGCTCTCAGGCTCGCCATCAGAATTGCTCTAGATCACAGCCAGCAGTCGGCTGCTCTGCCATCTACTCTAGCAACTGCTTTCTACTTCAGTCGATTACCATTCTCTTCGTGGCCACCATCATTTCTTGAGAGGCCCATGTTTAGCTTCCCACTTCCTCAGCGCATCTCCGGCTGTCGTGATCTTCAGCCCGACCCTCGCGTCCAAATCATATCTCTCCCATTTGCTGGCCTTTTCAATATACTCTCGGCACTCGCTCACCAACCTTGCATCTTTCTGGATGTCGATGTCGAGTAATTCCTTCGCATTTCGAGCTTGCCCTGGTGCTAAGTCTGTTGACGAGTGCTGCGCCAGCGTGGCACGATCTGTACTCGGATCTGTCATGCCCGCACCATATTCACGTAGGTATTGACTCCTCTGCATCCAAAGATTTACGCCCATCTCGTAATGTGCAGTTGGTGCTGTCCAGTCATCCCTATTCTGGCCCTTGAATAGTATTTTGTCATGGCACAGGACTTCCTTTTGGAGCAACGCCTTAGCTTCGTCGTGTTTGCGTAAATGCCGATAGATTGATGCGCGCAGGACAGCAAGGATAGCATGTTCGTCTAATTCCTCCCTCTTCCAATTGCTGTTCTGCTCCGGATCCTCACTCCACGCCAGATTGCGTAGCGAATGCTCTAGCTGTGCGGCTGTCATACGTTTATAACCGTTCCAGAAGAACACCATTTCCTCGCTGGGTGAGACACCAATGGCGTCCACGAAATCGCAGTTCCATGCCTCAGCACGAGCTGTCCATTTGGTAACCTTGCGGGCGACGAAGACATCAAAGGGAAGTTGACGAGCCATTATCTTTTTTTTGCCCGTGTGGGTCGGAGCAAGTTTGAAGTACTTCTCAGCTATTATAGCCTGCTTGGCTGCTTCGTCTCTTTTTCCAACAGATCTGAAGTCGCGATACATGGCCAGGTGGGCAGAGCCAGCAATGTAGTAATACAAGGCTCTGGACCAGGAGTTCAGTTCCACACATGCGATGAAGCTGTCGGAGCAGAGTTGGTAGCGATGACAGTAGAGCGCTGTAAGGGACTTCTCGAACATGTTCAACGCTTCGACTTGTTGCAGGGACGACTTGCCTGTGTGAGAAAGAAGTCGTATCGCGGAGTCGAGGTCTCTGTGAGCGGAGGCCATGCGGGCTTCTTCAATGCGCCACATCAACGAGTCCGGATAGCGGCTACGCATTTCTGCCAGAAGAGCCTCGAGGCGCGCAGCTGGATAGCCTTCAACGTCGTCGGGGTCCTCCGGGTTGGCATCAGGAACAATATCGCAGAAGCCCACAAGACCGTTATACCAGCCTAAAAGCGCTAACCCAGCCAAGGCACCGTTGATGTTGTGGAATTTCGAGGCTTGCCAAAGCATCTTGATACCACGTTCGCGATCGCCTCGGAAACCAATAATGTAGAGCAGTTTGGAGAAAGCTGGCGGAATGGCAGAAATAAGCAGAAGCAGTAGGCCAAAGCAAAGATTCACGCCAGAGTGAACAAAAACATCAATGGGGTTGGTGAAAATGTGGGAATCTGGATCGTGGCTGAATCTGCGGAGGTCGATTCTTGAGACTTTTATTGCTGGTGGAAGGTCTTCAGAATGATTGGAATCTGTGTCCTGTCCACCCTCTCCTTCAGAAAGGGACATATTATTCAGTTTGGAGTTGACTTTCGGCAACCCAGTGTCTAGGTGACCGGTGTAGGTCTTAGTAGGATTTTCGTTGTGTGCGTCGTCGGCATCGTAGAATTCGTCGTCGTCATCATCAGTTTTTTGGTTCTGTGGTTTCCCCTGAAACATGTTCTCGGTAGTTCTAGACCTGGACAAGGGGTGAGCACGTGAGCGCGTCGATCTGGAGTTTGTGTCGAAAGAGCCAGGGAGAGCTTTTGATGCTGTAGAAGATACTCCCGAAGATTTGAGTGACTCCGAAGAAGGGTGCTTAGAAGCGGAATGGCTTCCAAACCCTCTTGCCTTCATTGCTCTATCTTCTTCCTCCACGAGGCCGTTCAGGGTTATGTAAGCCTTGCGCAACTTGTAAAAGGCTCGTATAGCATCAGTCAGGCTCTCATTGAGCACGGCCACCACAGCACTTGTGATCTGTGCCAATGCGTTGCACAATGCGAACTCGCTTCCTGGGGCATACAACCCACCAGCATTGTACCTTTCACTGCGCTGCGCCTTGTACAGATCAAGGGTGGCCGTTGATTCTGCTTCTGCAAGTCTCTCGCTGGCCTCTTTGATTACGTCTTGTTCGAATCCAAGGGTAGCTCGGAGAAAGACTATAACACCCATACCCAGTTTGTGGTAGGACGAATTTCCCTGGGCTAGACCTCTTTCGGCGCCTTCGACGTCGTCGTTCATGATCAATGTCACTGCCCGCATGGCGGCCTCCAGGTTCTGGGCCTCAACCAATGCATCGAGACTTTGTGTGGAAGCGCTGTGGTGAAGCTTCCTGGGTTGGAACCACGCACCCACTCGATGCATGTTGTCAGGTCAGGTGTGGGACGGGCCCACGATGTAAAGTCCTACGAATTGATTGCAACGAAGACTCAGGTCATGGCTGGTAGTACTCTGAAGAATTGCGTCGGGGAATGACCAATACTGTATACTAGTCACACGAAACTCGGATGATTGTTCGAATGGGGCCTGAAGTACAAAAAGTTGCTCCGAGGATGAACTGGAACTCCGGTATCAACACAGCTTCTCACTATGTGAGGCAGAAGCAAATAAATTCAAAGTCCTCCGAAGATGTAACACAGAAGAAACGAAACTGCTTGAGGAATCCAGAAGCAGGGGCGTTCATTTTCGGTCATTATCTGGGCCTCGTCATAAATACTGAAAGTTATGGAGCTAAGAGCTTGGCGCCCCTCGTCTCCGGCTTGGCGTTCAAAAGTGGCTGCACTTGGCCAGTGCACCGACCTCTAGACTACTAGAGGACCTTCTGGTATGCGGCTTTGCTAATCACTTTTCGATCTCGGATCGTCTTTAACCACTACTTCAGGCTAGTATCTATCACAATTCTGGAATACGTATTATCTCGCTCACTACAACCACCGTTGCGTGATACACGTTCGCAAGTTGTCTGAAGCGTATACACAAACTCCTCATCATGTCCGGCGCCGCGCAGGGTTCAAGTACGACAGCTAAACTTGGAGAAGACGAAAAAGCAGGACGAGAACCGCAAAAAGAGCAGCAGACCCAGCAGCCTGCGTTACTAGAAGAGGACGACGAATTTGAGGACTTTCCAGTGGAAGGTGGGTGTCTGTAGCTAAGGCTAGCGGTCTATACTATGCTAAGAAGCATCTGTCACAGATTGGACAGAAGAGGAGAGCAAAGTACCTGGAGGAAATGCACATCTGTGGGAGGAGAGCTGGGACGACGATGACCAGAATGAAGACTTCTCGAAGCAGCTCAGGTATGATCCCCGGGAGTGCTCAGTGTTTGGCCAGGGAAAGCTGACCACAATGATAGAGAAGAGCTGAAGAAGGTCGAGGCAGCGAAATCATCATGATAGGACATACTGCGGCAATCAGTATCCTGCCTCCACCACCGTTGGCGTAGCAGGATGCAGTTTATGAGCATTAAATAGGCGTCCCAGGGCATCTTACTATGGTCTAAAGTTTTCATACACCAGGAAGAGCTACATCAACTGATAGAGAGGTCAAGCTCATAGGCTTGGTCCAATTGCTTTCACATAATGGCCCAAAACCACTCGCACACCTTCCCGACGATCTACTTACTGGATAGGGCCGAGACACCCGGCAGCTCTTTGCCTTCCAGCAGCTCAAGAGAAGCACCACCACCTGTAGATACATGGCTGAGCTTGTCTTCCACACCATATTTGGCCGCAACGGTTGCGGTATCACCACCTCCGATGATGACAATCTTGCCGCTCTGAGCTGCTTCGACTGCAGCGTCCATGGCTGCTTTTGTGCCCGTGGCGAATGGGTCCATTTCAAACACACCCGGAGGACCGTTCCACAAAATCGTCTTAGCCTCATCGATGGTCTCCTTGTATAGCTTGATGCTCTTCTCTCCGCAATCCAAGCCCATCCAGCCATCTTCGATCCCCTGCTCATCTGTTGCATACCCGGTCTTGGCATCCGGGGCAAACTTGTCGGCTGTGATGTAGTCAACTGGAAACACTATCTTGACATTTTTTTCTTTTGCCTTCTTGATAAGATCCTCGCATTTCTTGCTTCCTGCTTCATCGAACAAGCTGTTGCCAATTTTGACATTATCCAAAGTCTTCTTAAAGGTGAAGGCCATCCCACCACAGATAATGAGACTGTTCACTTTTCCTAGAAGGTTGTCGATGAGCTGGATCTTGTCTGAAACTTTGGCGCCACCAAGGATCGCCAGAAATGGTCGCTTTGGGTTCTCAAGAGCTTGGGCAAAATAGTCGAGTTCTTTCTTCATGAGAAAACCGGCAGCTTTTTGCGGCAGGTCGACACCCACCATGGAGCTGTGAGCTCGATGGGCAGTACCGAAGGCATCGTCTGGCAGGGCATTAGCATTGACTTTGACAGTTTCGAAAGCACTTACTGATGTACACGTCTCCCAGAGTTGTGAGACCTTTCCTAAATTGCTCGACTGCTGCTTTGTCCGCCTTTACTTTCTTGCCCTCGGCATCTTTGCTGCTGCCCTCTTCTTCTGCATGGAAGCGTAGGTTTTCTAGCAGGATAACCTGCCCGCCAGTGGCATTATTAACCACCTCCTCGACCTCTTGCCCAACACAGTCATTGGTAAATGTGACGTCCTTGCCTAGCAGCTTCTCGAGCTCTGGCACCACAGGCTTGAGACTGTACTTCGGATTGGCCTTGCCGTCCGGTCGACCAAGGTGTGACATGAGAATGACGGCTTTGGCTCCATGGTCAATCGCGTGCTTGATGGTTGGGACAGCGCCGACAATTCGCTGATTGTTTGTGACTTTCTTCTCCGAGTCAAGTGGGACGTTGAAGTCGACCTACAAGGAGATGTGAGCTTCCTTCTCTGGCACAACCTTGAACGGTACAGCGAACTTACTCTGATAAGAACTCGTTTGTCTTTGAGGTCAATGTCTGTGATGGCTAGCTTGTTAGAGAGAGACATGTTGTAGGGTTTGGGATTGTTCTCTCTTGATTTCGGTTGCTAAGAACGAATGGGATGGAGAACAGTTGACTCGCTTAAATTATCAAAAATAATCGTAGTTGTGTTGACGGAGGGGTAGCTTAGCAAAGGAGCGATGGTGGGGTTGCTATCACATCTGTATTGCTGAGCATGACTGACGTAGCTAAGATGGCAAGGGCAGCCGGTCACTTCCCAACAGCTGAGTCTGGATGGATGCTCGAGGAATATCGAATGCAGCGAAGTAATCACCAACACGTGTTTTGGAAACAGGGACCTATCTTTTTGACAGGGTCTTCAGCGAGATTGCATTGTGCATACGAGGTGGAGGCATAGTAGTAGATCGCCATTGTACTTGGTAGATGCCCAAGACTTACGCATCTCACCAAGTCAACATGTACAAGTTTACTGTGCTTTAATGAGTCTTCCATCGAGTCTGAATTCTGGGAAGCTTTTGATTCGCTTTCTGTGGAGCGTGAGCCCTGGTAGAAGGAATATATATGGTAACTAGAATTAAGTAACATAAGTAGGAGTGGTTGCAGGACTTCATGCAGAGCACCCCCAAATCGTGGCGATGGGGTCGGATGACACAGCCGACTTCTGCAACGACATTAACCGTCCCGACTGCATTTCATGCACATAGATGTTCAATCAGACAGCTAATACTCTGTCATCACTGACAAGCACAAAGAGCTATTGTCAGACTTTGCCTTACTCGAAAGCAACTCCAGCTCTATTGGTTTCCGGACACCCTTTACTCGTATAGCGGTCACCCAGCCAGGCCGCAGCCTTCTCGCTCTCACGACCTCCCACGTTCCTTCCCTACCTTCCTTCTTCACAAACCCAAATCATGCTGGAAACATCGCGGAGGAGAGCATTGGGTGCTTTGAACAGCAGATATATTTATGGGCGGGTGGTACGTACCGTAGTTTCTGACACCGCTTTTGACGTGGCCTGCGCTCGTTCTCGTTTCACCCATTAAATCTTACACCTCGACAGCCATTACTACACACGGTTATATTCATCATCGAAATGGCCATCACCATGCGGTTGATTGCCAAATTCAACGCCTACTATGCAGAAAAGCCAGTCCTCACGACGATGATTACCAACGCCGTAAGCGCTCCTTGCCATCCTGCTCCTAACCTCGAAGGATTTGACTGACTTTCCCACCCACCCCCAGGTTCTCGGTGGCATAGCCGACACAGTCGCTCAATCCCTGACTGCCATCAAAACCCGACGAAAAACCCTTCCATCCACTAACGACCCGCACGCCGTCAACCATGGCAGCAACCCCCTCATCTCCATCGAGCTGACCGACCTGAAAGAAAAACCCGCACCAACGGCCCACCCCCCTTCGACTTCGAACGCCTCACCCGCTTCATGGCCTATGGCTTTCTCATGGCCCCCGTCCAATTCCAATGGTTCGGCTTCCTCTCCCGCGCCTTTCCCATCTCCAAGACCCGCGGCACCATCCCCGCCATGCAGCGAGTGGCCATGGACCAATTGATCTTCGCGCCCATCGGCCTGGGCATCTTCTTCACCTTCATGACCGTCGCAGAGGGCGGAGGGAAGAGGGCCGTCTTCAAGAAATTCCAGGACGTCTATCTGCCGGCCCTGAGGGCGAATTATATGGTCTGGCCCGCGGTGCAGATCCTCAATTTCAGAACGGTGCCGATCCAGTTTCAGATTCCGTTTGTGAGTACGGTGGGGATTGCCTGGACGGCGTATCTGAGCTTGACGAATTCGGCGGACGAGGAATAGAACAGGCAATCTCACGTTCCTGAGAAGCGGCGTTTAGTCACATCTCAGGCTCTATGGTCTCGCTTTATCTTCAGCATTCACCTGTCACTAAATTGAAATGGCGTGTTGGTCACTTTTGGGGCGCCCGAAGGAGGGAGAATATGATCTTGGGATCCTGCTACATACGGAGTCTAGCAATATCGTAAAAAGCCCTCGAGTATTGAATCAACTTATTTTTGCTACGTTATTCAGCCTCACTGTGCAATTGTACGCAGTCTGCCATGTAAGGCAGCAGAAGCAGAACAAAAATGCTGGTAGGAATCACGAAGCTCCCCAGGTATACTTAATGAAAACGAATGTCCGTATTTGTATCATATCGGTGCATCTACTTCCATTGTAGCGATGCATCTCAACACCGGAAATCCTGCGTCCCACCCTTTGCAGCCAGTCCCAATGGCAATCCCGACCTTAGCGAAGCACTTCGTGGTCGGCCAAGGCTTCAGCAGCAGCCACCTAACTTGACCCATGCCTTCTGCCCGTATGGGCAGACACCCAATTGTTCCGCCTCAGACTCTGAGACAGGAAGGCCAGGTTGACCTCGTTGTCCTACCCAAGGAAAAGCGCACAGGAGGTTGACTGCTGCCATCCCATGATATCATCCTCGTCGTCATCTTCGTCAATCGTCGCTTCGTCTTCAGGCAGACCACCTGACCCACGTTGCGCCGCTGTCTTAGTGTCTTTACCAACGCTTGATGCTCCCTTTGCCGTGTCGCTATGCTCGAAATCACGCTTTTCATAAACGTTGTCCAGTGGGACGCCCTTTTCAACTCTCTTCCTCCAAAAAGAAGAAATTGCCTGCCAATTTCTGCTCCTGGTCTAGCTGCGACTGATGCTTGTTGATTCGTGGTCTGTACGAGTTAGGATCTCGTCGGAAGGTAACGTCTAGATTCTTTAGAAATCGGTTGCAGCCAGTGAGGAGACTTTCAGGGGCGCTAGCGTTTGCATCTCGGGATGGCTGGCCACCGAAGACGATGACGCGGTCGGCGAGGTAGGTGGCCATAATGAAGTCGTGCTCGACGATGAAGGCTGTCTTTTTGGCGTGCATGATAAATCGCTTGATGACTCGAGCTGCGATGATGCGTTGCTCTGAATCTAGATAGGCGGATGGCTCATCGATGAGGTAGATGTCTGCAGGAAGACCCAACGCTAGCACAATAGCAACACGTTGTAACTCTCCACCAGAAAGATTTTGAACTTCTTGGTCGATAAAGTCATCAATCTTTAGTGGTTTGTAGACATCGGTCTGGAACTGGGGAGAGAGGAAGGCCGCCTTGATCTTCTTGAAGAAGAGCTGTCGAACTGTGCCGGTGAATTTTGGTGTGATCTTCTGCGGTTTCATGCTGATATTCATGGGCGGGACTTTCTGTGTTCCATCTGGTTTCTCGGCTCCAGCAAGCATTTTACAGAACGTAGTCTTCCCTGTACCGTTTTCGCCCATCATAACAATAATTTCGCTATCTGTAAAGCTGCCGCTCTCAATACTCAAATGGAAAGAGCCAAGTGTCTTCTGCATGGCAGGATAAGTAAAGCCACGTGCTTTGTCCGTCATGTAGTCCTCTCCAGCTTCAGCAATACGGAAAGTTAGGGACTCCTCGCGGAAGCGCAGGTTCTCAGTTGGAATATTCCCGTCCAAGAAAATATTGATGCCTTCACGCACAGATGCTGGAAGCGTGACCACACCGTAAACAGCAGGCCGTCCGTAGAGCACACAGATGAAGTCGGAGAGGTAGTCAAGTACCGACAAATCGTGCTCGACAACAATGACATAGTCGTCAGGACGGAGAAGCTCTCTCATAGTACGAGCAGCAACCAGCCTCTGTTTGACGTCGAGGAAGGAAGAGGGTTCGTCAAACATGTAACTAGTACTCATCAGCACAAACATTGATTGAGGACCTGGGAGCTTACACATCAGCTTGCTGGACGCAGACCAAGGCGATTGCAAATCGCTGCAATTCACCACCTGACAGCAAGCCAATATCTCGATCCTTCACCTGTTCGAGCTCTAGACGTTGGTCAGCCAAATCTCCGTAGAAGATCGGTAATGGCGAGACTTACCTAGCACAGACATAATGTGGTCCATGTTATCCATCTGAGAACGAGCCTTGATGAGGGGCTCAACAGATTTATCTGTTCCTTTAACAGCTTTTGGGAGTTGATCCACATATTGTGGCTTGACAACAGCTTTCAGGTCGTCTTCAAGGACTTTCGTAAAGTAGTCTGCGAGGATCAGCCATCATATGTCCTAACTGCTCTGCAAGCCGGACTCACTTTGAAGCTCACTACCACGGAAGTATTTCAGGATCTCTTCCCAATCTGGCGGGCTATCATATCTTCCCAAGTTTGGCTTCAACTTGCCACTAAGGATCTTGAGCGCTGTACTCTTGCCAATCCCATTGGTTCCCACAAGTCCAAGAACTTGTCCAGGTCGCGGCATGGGCAGGCGATGAAGCTTGAAGCTGTTGGCCGAGTATCGGTGAGTGACTTGAGTCTCCAAGTTTGTGGGCAAGTTGATGATGTGGATTGCACCAAAAGGGCATTTCTTCGGGCAGATACCACATCCAATACATAGTCGTTCAGATATGTAGGAAATCTTCGACTCGGGAGTGACTTCGATGCAAAGCTTGCCAGTACGGACGACTGGACAAGACTTCTTGCATTCCTGACGGCATTTCTACCAAGAAACTCAGCATCCGAGAGAGAGGAAATCAAAGACGGGAACAAACCTTTGGCTTGCACTATTCGGCAGAGAAAAATGCTATCAGTCTTTACATTTCTTATTCCGGGTGGGATCTGCAGACCTTGTCACTGCTGACAATCGCGATCCTATTAACGTGATCAGCGATGCACTCTGTACTTCGTCTTCAGCATCTATACCTTGTCAATCTCTCAGACATGATGAAAGGGCCGGTTCAGTGCTTCTAGACCAGTCACGATCCTTTGTGAAGCAAGTATGAACGGCAGCGAACAAAAAGCAAGTGCTCAAGGTTCTAGGGTTCTGTGACAAAGAAGTTGTGAATAGGATGAATAGAATGAAATTTATCGTGGGGTCCCTGTGACATTATTATTGGGCCACAATGAATCATAGTGACTGTCATTCGCCAGCATGCGCCTTAACGCCGCCCGTCAATAGCGCCTTGGCATCAAGGTCCCGCTGCCATTGCTTGTCTGGGGAGTGTAGCGGCCATTGATTTCCCATCTCAGCCATCGGACTTCGTCTTTCTCTTATATTTCACCACCACCACGACCTTGTTGAAGCCGAGCAGCTCAGCAGTGGCATGAAAAACATCTCCGGGAATGTCCCAGAATGGCCTGTAAGTGCATATGATTTCTGCGTCTGCCGATCTATAGCACTTGGTGCGCACCCGTCCCACATTCATTCCACCTAGGACAGTCCATCAAGCATATCTCCATGGTATGGCTTAACCAACAGTGGCTATCTTCAGCATCTTGCTAAGAGACCCGGCATTTGGAATCCTCAGCAGCATCATTATTGACCTGACATCTGCCGGATGTGCCCTGGCCATGGTGAAACTGCAAATCATCCCATCCGTCATTCATCTCATCCGATATCATCAAAAGCGTTCCGTCTGTGCTATTGTGCAGTTCCATTAGACTCGGAAACAAGGAAACAGCGTTGACTTTCTTGCTCATCATCATTGCCTGGAGCGCTGCTGAGATCAATGTTTCCTAAGCTCAACAAGCTGACCTTTTCTCATAGCTACAAGCATGATGCACCCATCCTCTCGTATGGAGACCTCACTGCCTTTTCCAAACGACAATGATTCCTCTGCTGTTGGGAAGCCTCTCAGTAACGGGGTCTCATTCTCCGACAGTGAAAGTGAGCTTTCTGAACCCTCAGACCTGCCGGTGCCCCCAGCCTCATCGTCATCTGAAGAAAGATTCAATAATGTCGCAAACCACTTGAACCATTCAGAAGACGAGATGGAAGATGCTGTGGGATCAGAAGATGATGGGGACTACAACATGGACATGTCCATGCATCAGCAAGACGAAGCAAGCTCGCAGCGCTCAAGCTCAGACGAATCCTCGAGACCGCCTAAACGAAAAGCTTCAAACACTGCCATTGATGACGAAGACTACATTAGAAACAATCCAGATCTCTATGGTCTTAGGCGCAGTCACCGTGCCCGCCCCTCCAGACCTATTCATGACGACTCTACCGACCAGAATGACTCCGATTCCGACATCGCAGTCCGACCTCGTAAGCGCCTCAGACAGAGCTCGCGCCAATCTTCCAAGCAAGCCACACCAATGAATGGCTCCGCAGGAGACTCGGACAATGATTCAGACAACTACGGTGGTGCTCGCGCCAGGCTCACTAAGAAGCAAAGACGTCGTTTCCTGGAGTCAGGTGGCAATCTTGCACCAACACATGCAGAAGTCCGCTTTTCTACACGTAGAGCTGCGAAGGTCTCCAATTACAACGAAGACGATGACGATGATATCTTCGAGCAGGACGATTCAGAGATGATGACGCCAAATTATTGGCCAGCTGGTCAAGAGGACAGTCGACCTGCCATAGATATTGTGCTAAATCACCGATTGAAAGAAACCACCACTACGCTGTCGCCTTCAAAGGATGATTTCGAATACATGATTAAGTGGCAGCAAAAGGCTTACTACCATGCCACGTGGGAGACCACTGAGACTCTTGCCAACTGCCGAAGTGTCCGCCGTCTTGAAAATTACATAAAAAAAACCCTCAGCGAGGATCTGCGCATCATGCACGATCCTGACATATCTCCTGAGGAGAAAGAGAAGTGGATCTTAGACCGTGAACAGTATGTCGATGCCCTTGTTGATTATTCTAAAGTCGAACGAGTCATTGGTAAACGAGATGGCGAAGAAGGCACCGAATATCTCGTCAAATGGAAGGGATTGTCTTATGACCTATCCACTTGGGAGCCAGCCTCACTCGTCAGTGACATCGCGCAGACCGAGGTAGACCGGTATATCGATCGTACATCTCAGCTGCCAGTCTCTGACAAGACCGAGTCCAATCCTGCTACCCGATCCGGACCTCAGCGGATTTCGGAACAACCCAGCTACATTCAGAATGGGGTACTCAGAGACTTTCAAATGACTGGTTTGAACTTTCTTGCATACAACTGGGCCAAAGGCAAAAATGTCGTCCTGGCGGATGAGATGGGACTCGGCAAGACAGTTCAGACGGTGGCATTCATCAACTGGCTTCGACATGCCAGAGGTCAACAAGGCCCTTTTATAGTGGTTGTTCCATTATCGACGATGCCTGCTTGGGCAGACACGTTCGACCTGTGGACCCCAGATATCAACTATGTCGTCTACAGTGGCAAACAGGAAGCTCGAAATGTCATCAAGGAATTTGAGTTACTGGTTAACGGGAACATTCGACAACCCAAGTTTCACGTCCTATTGACGACTTATGAGTACGTTCTGCACGATGCCGCTTTTCTGAGTCAGATGAAGTGGCAATTCTTAGCTGTCGACGAGGCACATCGGCTGAAGAACCGGGAATCCCAGCTCTACGACAGATTGAAAGAGTTCAAAGCACCATCTCGCTTGTTGATCACCGGAACACCAGTACAAAATAATTTAGGCGAACTGTCCGCTCTCTTCGACTTCCTGATGCCTGGCATTGTGAACATTGACGAGACCATGGATTTGAGCTCTGAGGCTGCAAGTGCAAAGATTGCGGAGTTGACCGAGGCTATCAAGCCATACATGCTGCGTCGAACCAAACAAAAGGTGGAAAAGGATCTACCACCGAAGAGCGAAAAGATTATTCGCGTGGAGTTGTCGGACATACAACTTGAATACTACCGAAATATCCTCACGAAGAACTATGCCGCTTTAAACCAAGGTTCCAAAGGCCAAAAGCAATCACTGCTCAATATCATGATGGAACTAAAGAAAGCCAGCAATCATCCTTTCATGTTCCCAAGCGCTGAGGACCGCTTACTTCCGCAGGATGCTCGCCGCGAAGAAATGCTAAGGACGCTCATCACCAGTAGTGGAAAGATGATGTTGTTGGACCAGCTACTTGCAAAGCTAAAGCGTGACAATCATCGCGTGTTGATTTTCAGCCAGATGGTGAAGATGCTTGACATCCTAGGTGATTACATGGATGCTCGAGGCCACGCGTACCAGAGACTCGATGGTACTATTGCCGCTGGTGCTCGGCGTATTGCAATCGACCACTTTAACGCTCCTGGTAGCAATGACTTTTGTTTCCTGCTTTCAACACGGGCAGGTGGTTTGGGAATCAACTTGATGACTGCCGACACTGTTATCATTTTTGACTCGGACTGGAATCCGCAAGCTGACTTGCAGGCAATGGCTAGGGCTCATCGGATTGGCCAGATGAAGCCGGTCAGTGTGTATCGCTTGGTATCAAAGGACACTGTCGAGGAAGAGATACTAGAGAGAGCTCGAAATAAGCTCATGCTTGAATATCTCACTATACAGCAAGGTGTTACCGACAAGGAAACGCAAGCAAGAAGAAATGCTTTGGTCGGAGAACCTGGTAACTCTTCTGAGATCTCAAGAATCTTGAAGAAGAGAGGTCAAAAGATGTTTGACCAGACAGATAACCAGAAGAAACTTGAAGAGCTTGATCTTGATTCTGTTTTGGAAAAGGCAGAAGATTATAAAGTAGAGCAGCCAGAAGGCACAGAAGCGGATGGTGGTGAAGAGTTTCTGCGAAGCTTTGATTTTGTTGACGTAAAGGTAGACGAATTATCGTGGGACGACATCATCCCAAAGGAACAGCTCGAAGCGGTCAAGGCAGAAGAGAAGAAAAAAGTCGACGACCAGTATCTGGCCGAGGTCATTGCACAGAATTTGCCACGAGTACGCAATACAGTTGCTGAAGAGCGAGAAGAGCGGCAGGCCAAACGTCAACAGCGAACACAGGCGATGGAATCAGGCAGTGATTCAGAAGAGGGAGTAAGAGCTGATCCTACCAGACCTCTGAGTGAACGTGAATACCGATACCTGATCAAAGGCCATCTACGATACGGATCAATCGATGATCGTACAGAAGAATTCCTTGCTGAAGCTCGTCTACGTGGACGCGATATGGACGTAGTGAGGGCAGCAATGCAGGAAATCATTGATCGAGCAGCGCGTCTTGTTAAAGAGGAGCAGGAGAGAATGGAAGCCCTTGGCCGTACATCTTCCAGGACCCTGACGAAGAAAGACAAGAAGGCAGTTCTGTTCGAGCATCATGGCGTCAAACGCATTAACGCCGAAACAATTCTTGACCGGCCTGATGAGATGCGCCTTTTACAAGAGGTCACCTCTGCTGTCGCAGATCCTAAGAGCTTCCGCATCCCCGATGCTACAAAGGGTGCTGGATATAGCTGCAATTGGGGTGCTCGAGAAGACGGTATGCTCTGTGTTGGCATCGCCCGCCACGGGTACGGAGCCTGGGAAAAGATCAGGGACGATCCCGATCTAGGACTATCTGACAAGCTTTTCCTTGAGGAGCATCGTGTTGACAAGAAGGCCGAACGAGAGCGGCAGGAGGGCAAGAATGCGAAATCCCCAGGAGCTGTCCACCTTGTGCGACGAGCCGATTACCTGATCTCAGTACTCAAGGGAAAAGTTATTGGTGACCCAGCGGCCAAAAAGGCTGTGGAGAATCATCATCGGAACAACAAAAAGAACAGCTTGCTTGCCAACTCCAACTTGAATGGCACTACGAGCTTCTCCGCATCACCTGCGCCGTCCACGCACCGAAAAGCCCCTCGTGATCCGGACAAGCACCGCCAACGGGCTTTGAGCCAGGGTCATCGAGAAAGCATGGAGCGTCACTCGACTCCTAGGTTGGAGCATCGGCACTCGCACAGCGTCCGTGAAGACGCACCCAAGGATAAGAAACATCGTCACTCCGAGCCACACCATCATCATCGCCACAAGAGTAGTGACCACCAAACGAACGGTGGCGTTAGCAGTGATGGCGGGGATGAAATGCTGAAGTTGATATTCAAGCCTGTACGCGAGAGTCTCAAAGTTATTCAATCGGCAACAAAATCGAACTTGCCAGACGCACCGGCCCGTGCCAATATTCTTCGCGAACATCTGAGGATTATAGGCAATTTCATCAGAAGTACGCTGGAAGACGACGGGGCTGCCTTGGAGGGACGTTTATGGTAGGTGTTCTGCGGAGAAAATTTGGGAGAGTTTGCTCACTGACACGATAATTAGGGATTACACTGCTACCTATTGGCCGAATAAAGGCATCAAAGGTCATGAGTTGCAGACAATCTACGGCAAAATTATAGCTTCCGACAAGTCAATTGCCGACGCTGCTTCTCCAAGTGGAGGATAGCAAATTATGCCTTCCAAAGATTGCGTTTTGAGCAACGAATTCAAGGCATCCAGATGACTCGACGTGGCCCAGTGAACACGACAAAGGGTTGGGCTCGCAACTGGCGTTTATGGATACTGAACACACCAAAAAGAACATACGGATTTGTAGAATGGCTTTGGTTGTGTTGATGTTATTTTCAGGCAGCGTTGAACCTGGCATAAGGCGTTTGCAACTCGCAAGATACCCAGCATATGGTACATGCAGCGAGCTCACGTCTAGCTATCTCGTTCTTTCTTTTATCTTGCTAGCGGAAGAGCACGACCAAGTCGGAGATACTACTGTGGTCAGTCAGTACATGACAGGAGTAATACCACGCCGAATGCGGGGCATTATGGCATGAGAGAGATGCATAGCTTGAGATAAGTAATTGTATTGCACCCGCTTCCTCGAGTTATATTTTGTTCTGCGTGAAAGGTGAATCTGCTCAAAGAGTTGTTCGTAGATGTAGCGCATCACTCCATGTACTAAGATAGGAACTCTTAGTGTTGGGCAAACCACTTGTGTTCATACTATCAGCTACGAACTTGAATATATAACCTACAATAGCTGACCACTACGCGGAAGGAGACGAAAGGCTTGCTCTATTTACCCGAGATATTGGTACCATGGGCCGCAACACTTGCATTCTCTCCTCCCTCCCTCCCTCTCTCCCTCTCTCTCGCCTTCCACCGCTTTCACTACCGCCTGTTCCATCGCCTGCTGCCTCGTTATGAAGACGCTATGACTCGTGCTATCCTGCTGCGTGAAGACACACGTAGCCGGTGCGCTTCTCCACGCGCTCCCCTTAGTCGTCGTTGTCAATGCTGACATGGGAAAGCGTGCAATATCTGGCAGCGCCTTGTCTATTATCTCTTTGTCCACACCGCCAAAGAATGTTTGCATCAAATCCTTTGGAAATATGGAGCCGTCTGCGGCGTTATCTACAAAGTTGACGCCAGATGTGGTCCTATCGGCTTCTTTACGATGCCAAAATCGTGCTGCCGGGCGTTAAAATGTAGGCACTTGATTCATTGGTGGTTTTGCAAGTGGAGAAGGCTAGCTCTTCGATGGTATTAGTGTTGTAAAGTACTCTGTAGAGATGGAAAATTGCCCACCTGCGCCAAAGCCTCATATCGCCCACAAAATCCCAACCTACTCTTGTTTCACGAGTTATCTCACAATTCGGAGATACTACGGTTCGTCCGCTGCCGGTGTTGGACAAGAAACCATTGGGATAGTCTGAACATCTCTTCGTCCACGACGGACCCGCCCATATGGTATTGTCTCGCCTTCCCCCATTCACCAATCACAATAGCACGTCGATACGATTCTGGAAAGGGGTGCCACCAAATATTATCACTTCGTTCGAGGCAGACACTAGGCCAATCGGCAGACCTGCGCGTTAGCTAGAGGTGCTTCAATAGCCGTCGGCGACGAAAGAGTTCCAGCCATGTCTTCCATCGGTCAAATTGCAATGACGCAGGTTCTAGTACGCCGAAAGCGAGCTTCTCAAAGATGTGACAGGCAACTATGGGACCAGGCTGCAAAGGCACTGAAAGAGGACAATGATTCTACAATGGATCTCAGTGTCCTCAATGGCGGGGTCCCAATCAATGACGTACAGGCTACAGTACAAAAAACGCTAGACCAGTGCGTGAGGAAGAGATGGGTATATACCAGGAGCAATGGTGAGAAAGTCGTTCTCTACAAGATCCTCGAACGGATTGTCAAATGGGTGAATAAATTTAAAGAGGTCGGTGACATAACAATGCAATATGATCCCGCCCATGCCGCATTACCGTGGGCAGCAGTGCGTTTCCTGCTCCAGGGTGCTGTCAACAGTGTCGAGACATTCGGTATAATGGCCGAGGGCGTAGAACTCACGTCAAGGATTATCACCATATATGCCGAGGTTGAGAAGACTTGTTTGAAGGGAGTTTCTAAGCTTAAAACACTTCTTGCCAGCAGACTCATTACACTATACACCGCTGTTCTTAAATATCTTGCAAGAGCTGGCCATTACTTCAGTCAAAGCACGGGGAAAAGAGTTTTAAAGGGTGCCTTGCAAACCTTCCAATCCAGCGTGTCGCCATGGCTGAACGGGATAAGGGAGGCTGAGGCAGACGTCTCAAGACTGGTGGAGCTTGTTCAAGCTGAAGGTTCGTGTGTTACATGCTTGACACGTCAGCTGACCTAAGGGTTTACAGATCAGAAGAACATACTATTTGCTATGAAGAACGCAATTCATAAACTTCAGGACAGTATAACCAGCCCCAAATTACCGGATGATGAACGGCGCCGCCGAGTTCACAAATGGCTAGAAGCCATCTCGACGATTGAGAAATATCAAGCTTCACAAGCACTTCGTCATGGCGAGACTTGCAATTGGATATTTGCCCGCCAAGAATTTCAAGATTGGATATCCCCAACCAATGCGATTGACAAATGTAAGCTACAGTGGATCCATGGAGGTCCCGGATTTGGTAAGACTATTTTATGCGCAAGAATTATCGATTATTTGACCGCTAACAGCTCACATCCGGTGGTACATTTCTTTTGTGTGGCCGATGAAGACGCCAGACGTGAGCCAGATGCAATCCTCCGATCATGGATTGACCAGCTCGCACAGGCCAGTGTGGATGCATTGGATATTGTGTTTGATGTCTACAAAGCGAATGAGCTCCGATCACCCACACCCTTTGACTTGTGGAAGCTCTTCAAGACGCTGGCCCAAGAGGTGAGGTGCACCTTCGTCGTCGATGGTATGGATGAATGTACAACTATCAACAAAACTTCTCGATATCGCACCACAGATGCCCGTTCCAAATTCCTTGAATCCCTGATACAGGCATCAAAGGGGACAAAGGCGCGAATTCTTATTGTTAGTCGTGACAGCGAGGATATACGAGAACAACTGGGGAAGCTCTCTATTGATACAAATCCAATGCTCTTTGAGTATGGTATCTCGGTAAATGATACTCAAGACGACATTTGTCTGTGCTCTGCCCATATGGTGAACACAAAACTAGCCAGAAAGCCAGCAGAGCTGAAGTCACAACTGGCCAGCGAGGCCGCGCATAGATCAGACGGAATGTTTCTTTGGCTTCATCTACTTAGTCGGGACTTGGATCCAGGGGAGAACGCTAAGAGGCTTCGCAGGATTGTTTCTGAAATGCCTGCCGGGATTGACATGGCTTACGAGAGAGATCTTGAGAAGGTTGCAAACCTTAAATCCTACCAAAAAGAACGAGCAATTACCATTCTGCGATGGATTCTCTTCGCTGCCCGACCACTTACAGTCCGCGAGCTTGCTGAAGCAGTCGCCATTTCTAGCGCTGAAACTGAAGGTACTTATCCGGAGGATGAACTCCCCACCTCATGGCGTGAGGGGTTTGTTGACGAAGAATATGTGAACGCATACATTCGCCGATCTTGTGGGTCATTGGTCGAGCTACGTAGCAATGGAATCGATGAATCATTGGCTTTACAAACCCTTCACTTTGTTCACTTCTCTGTCAAAGAGTATTTGCTCCGGCCTGATACATCTGCTCCGGGCCGGTCTAGATTCGAAGCTATCTGCTTCCCCGATGGTGTACGGGAGCATAATCGCCTAGCGCAACTCTGTTTGCAATATCTTTGTTATGATGTTTTTGGTGGGAGAGATCAGGACGAAATTATGGGAACAGATCAGCATTATCCTTTTCTTTCTTATGCTGCCCGATACTGGTATACACACGCGTTGCACAATCAGATAATATCAGAGGACATTATGCGATATGCGCAAAAGCTTTTTAATCCCGCTACATCAAACTGGAGAGTTTGGTCCAAAGTTTTTGACAGGGAGTTGGGGTCCAGTGAAGAGGACCACAACCCTTCACTGTCGAGTGAATGCAGCACCTGTAGCGAGAAAGCGCAAGATCAAGAGCAAGACGGAGACCAAGACCCAGACCAAGACCCAGACCAAGACCCAGACCAAGACCCAGACCAAGACCCAGACCAAGATGATGATGATGATGAAGAAGAAGAAATGGCCGGGAATACTGATAATGACCTTGGACATAAAGATAGGCCCTTGCTTTCCACACAGACAACAGGCGGTGAGCTTGAAGAGGCATCGAACCGTGTGGCTTCAGTGCCACAAGCTAATGGCAGCGAACAATTTGACGAGCTTTGGCAACTGAAGGACCCAAGTCCCATATATTATGCATCTATGCTTGGTCTCACAGACATCGTGAAAGCGTTGCTATCCCAGGGTTTCAATTGCGCAACACCAGGTGGAAAGTTCGGATTTCCTCTACAAGTTGCAGTGGTCTATGGCCAACAGCAAATCTTAGAGTATCTACTTGAACATGGCGCGGATGTCCGCCAGCGTGGTGGTTTGTACGGTTCGGCTGTGGGTGCAGCAGCAGCGTTAGGGTTCGACACGATCATGGAGATCTTGATAAAAGCAGGAGCCGACCTTCAATGCGAAGACAAAAATGGTCGGAATTCGCTGCATAGTGCTTGCCATGCTGGGTCAATAACAATTGTGAAGAAGATCCTGGACTTGAGAGTAGATCTCATGAAGGCTTCTAGATTTGGAAAAACCCCGCTTTTCGAGGCGGTTGAGTCGGGACACTGCGACATCGTTTCCTTGCTCCTAGATTACGGAGTAGATCCGAATACTAGAGATGATGAAGGTTCAACTGTGCTTCTGGCTGCGGTAGCGCATGGCTTCAAAGAAGTGACCGAAGAGTTGATAAAGCATGGCGCTGACGTGGAAGCGAGAAACATTGATGGGATCACAGCCCTCCAATGGGCTGCATATCACGATAATGCGGAGCTTGCTACACTCTTGCTGACAAGCAGCGCTGATATAGAAGCCTTGGATGATGATAACTGGAGTGCCTTACACTATGCCGTGTCTTCAAAAGGCAACACCGTGGCAAAGATACTACTGGAAAAAGGCTCAAAGGTTGAAGTCTCGACCAACGATGGTTGGTCACCTCTGCATATCGCGGCTGAAAACGGGCATGAAGAGCTACTACCTTTACTACTGCAGAAAGGTGCAGATCTTGAGGCCGAAAATGCTTTATCTTGCACAAGTCTTTTCTCGGCGGTGTGGACAAGCAAATATGAGTGCGTTAAGACACTTCTGGCCCACGGTGCTGATATTTTCAAGACATCGGCCAACGGTAAAATGGTTTTAGATGAGGCACTTGAGCAGGAAGACAAGGACATGATATATCTCTTACTTGAACATGGAGCATTGTGTCACCTTGCAACTTCCAGCCAGTCAGGGGACCCTTTAGAGATCAGCGAAGAAAGGAAAGCACTGTCCTCTTCGGTAGCGAAAGCATTTCTAAATGGAGATTCAAGTGAAACTTTGCACCTAATTGAAAACAGCGACAAGGCTCATTTCCAGGACCTTCTGGACGACGCAATATTGCTAGCGGCATTGTTCAACGCAATCCCCTTGGCCGAGACGCTTTTGACCAAAGGCGCGAGTCTCGCCGCGATGACTTTCAACAAGCGAACACCCATCCATCTTGCTGCATCCCGTGGTTTTGCAGCTATGGTCCAAAGCCTCATGGACCACGGTGCAGACATACGCGCAAAGGATATCGTTGGCTCACAACCCCTGGATCTAGCCGTCGTCCGAGGTCTCCGTGCGCTCGATGCCTCCAAACTGCTGGTCGAAAATGGTGCGCTTGCGCAAATGACCGAAAACATTGCTCCCCTGGACGCCGGTCTGAAGAAAAAGCTACAAGGTTCCTGGACCGGAACCTACACCTACGCATCCTGGGAGAAAGATCGGATCGATCCGACAAGCCTGACGCTCATCTTTGTATCCGACGAACCAGAAACCAATCCTCGACGACCTCCTTTGTGGAAATGCGAAACCAGCGATACAGTCGGCGACTTTCAGGTTCTGGGTCATCTGCTGCCTGAAAGTAACGAGGTCAGGTTCATCAAACTTTACGAGACATTCGGCTGGCTATATCTTGGAACGTTGGAAGCGGAGGCCATCAGCATTAGTGGTACTTGGGGCAGTAATACGACGCTGAGGCATGGTTCGTTTAAGATTCAAAAGGACCGATAGGTGGAAAGGTGTGTCGTTTTGGAGTAGCTTGGGGTTTCCTCGTCATCAATGCTCAGGCTGAGCACCACTCGATACTGAGGGAGAGAATATAACAGTGCTCGTGTCTCATAGCAGGCGTCATTAAATGAACGCAAGGTCCCGGTTTGAGCCACTGTTGACTGCTATGACGGTCACGCGATTTTTTGTCCGTTTGTGCCCTGTTTGTGCTGCCAGAATAATCACACAGCATCAAATGGCAGCACTAGTATGCGGCAACCATCTATATATTCTGTCTATCCTCTGCAGGCCAAAGATCAAGAATCACTACTCAGCATCACAAATATTGCAGTACACCTAAAAGTTTTAGGTTCGTACCTGAACAACCGGCTCACCACTAAGAATGCATGGCCATAAGTAGACACTTGCCTGCTTCGACAAGGAGTTTGACGATATCCCGCACGAAGGGGATATCTTCTGGTGTAGAGGCATTGGGAGAGGAGGCGCCAGTGCAGCTGGGAAGCTGCGGACAGTGGACGGTAAAGCCCTGCGGTTTGAGGGCATCGATGTAGCTTTTGGTAGATTGGTGGATTGTGCCATGCGCTCTGCACTAGGACAATTGTGGGCAGAGAGTTGGCCATGGCAAAGCTGGGGGGTTATAATGGAAACTAAAGATGCTGTGGGAGTTCTGTAGAAACACCTAAAGCAGGGCTTGACAACTCGATGCGACATGTTTTTGGTTGTATGAACTGCAATTAGAGGGAGGGCCAGGTGGAAGCATGTGCGAAGGATCGGCCGTGGCAAGTTGTGTATGAAAGCTGGAGAAAATAGCATTTATTTTTGACCACCTCACTGGGCACAGACTCATCGTCATCACTGAAAGCGACATGTGGTTCTCTATTCAGGATCTATCGATTCGACAAGAAGGATGAGGCTAATCAGAGCTACAAAAAACAAGGTGGTTAAAAGTATATGCAGTCAAACGTTGTCAAACGTCGTCACGCGTACAAAATGTGGTCACGTGATACGGAACGTTCGCGTCTGCTGCTATTGCAATTGAAAGTACGGAGTACCCAGAGGTAGATTGCACAGTATACGGAGTACACACTACACACCACTACTACAGGCACATCACAAATATCATATATCCTTATTTTTGGCAACGGCTCTGGGCTCACTCCACTATCTCATCTTTGCCGTCGGAGAGTATCCGCATGGAAAAGAAGCGTTTCTGCGCTTCCAATGGCGGAGGCAATATCATGCCCAAGGCCTGCTCTTTCACGACTATCACAGTCCACTTTGAATTGCCGTGATTCGAGCTCGAAAAAGCGTAAACTCGTCGAGGATGTGGTTCATGATCCATATCTGCAGCCTTTCACGGCGATAGTAAGTTAACACCTGAGTCTTCTACTACATCACAGTACTGATAGTCCACAGCCATTACCAGACTCGGGCAGCAAAAGCACCCATACTTTTCTCCCAATTACTATGGTTGATCCATCGCAATTGCGTCTGTCGTACCTCGAGTTCGCTCCCGAACTTGCCTCTTTACCACCAGGTCGTACCTTTCATGCCGATTTTCCAATCTTCAACGATCGTACTCCCAAGCGAGATGTGAAGCTACTTGTAGCTCGTCTGGCCCCTAACGGTGGACTCTACATTATCGAGAATGAAGGAAGTGGGCTTTTTGTGGCATGTCGATTGCGGAGCTGGGTTACAGAGAATTGGTTTGGGGCAAATGTGACTGGCGATGTCGATAAGGCTATCCGGGAAAGGCTTTGCAGCAGCGATAATAAGTCGACTGCTGATGATATCTGTCCTAAGAATGGCCTAGCAACAGCCCGTGTGGCTGGCATACCAAGCCCGAAGCGACCGAAGAACAAGAAAGGTGTCCTAGCACGCATGTCTATCATGCCGAAAATGGAACCTGGATGCCCGTCAGCCGTAAAACAAGGGCAGGAATCCACGCTACAGAAAGAGGTGACGGCAGATCAACCTCCAGCAATAGAAACCCCTCCGGCGGACATGTCTAGCGATTCGTCGGTGGCAGCAAGAGGGCTGAAACCAGACGTCAGCGGAGCGCTGCATCAACCAGCAGAGATGCTTGATGCAGAAAAGGGTAGACCTGTTCCGGCTCCACCAAGCTTTGTTGACGACTCCTGCTCAAATGCTCACGAGATCCTACTACAAACCTTATACACATCGAAAAGTACTCTGGCATATTTCGCCAAGAGCACTCTCGCAAGAACCAGGGCCGCCTTCCGGTCGTCTACCACAGCGAGCACTTCTGAACTAGCCGAGTTCTATCGTGGCAGACTTATCACCTCTAAAAAGATGGACTTGAAGTATCGTGATACCATCCCAAAGATCATCGAGAACGCTATATTACAGGTGAGCCCTACTCCGAGCGCTGAGAAGCAGCTTCCCAAGTGCTCCAAAAGAAAGTTGAACAGTAGGAAAAAGCTTGGAAAGGACGGGCTATACGCGGGGGAAGAAACCTTCATACGAACGTGGTGGCTCAATCGGGATGGAGCGAAGAACGACTTAACAGGTGTGAATCCACGAGACCAGGAGATGCAAGCTCTCCTCAAAGAGCTAAGAAACCGTGAGACACAATTGCAGATCATTCTCATCCTCGAGATCTTGACATTGGAGCTGAGACAAGACGTCAGAACTGGGGGAAGTGTCTCAGTTACAAGCGTGAAAAAAGAGCCAGATGATGACTCTACCGGCATTCTAGCGAAGACGCCATTGAAAATCAACGAGAAACGAGATCTTAGATCTGACCTTGACATTCTGGTGGATAGACTTTGCATATATCAGAGCGTGAGCATCATCGATCCCATTACGGCCGATGAAGCAAAGAAGCAAAACGGCGAATCTGGGAACGAAGTCAGCGACCAACTCCGAGACTTCTGTTGCAACGTTATATTGCCGTTCTACCGTCACAAAGCACCAGATCTTGTCAAAGAAATTTCTCGCAAGCTAGGTGGGCCAAACTTGTCCCCAAAGAGACCAAATTTCTCCTCAAGGACATCATCAGGTACTCGGACAAAGCCTGGAACGGCAATTGATACATATCGACGCTCTATTCCTCGACAGACTCTCGAGCGTGTTCTGAGCGAGGAACAAAGTAGTCGACAGTCATCTCCACCAATGCTGATGCGTTCAGCAACGGCACCGATGGGTGGTGGTAATAGTGGCAGCCTCGATCCAGCAGAGACGGTCCCACGACCCAGCAGTAGAGGTAGCCTACAAAAGTCGCGCACCTTCTCCAACCGTGAGGTCGACCTGGTAGCAAGCAGCAATGCCCATAACGCGAAGCGGAAAAAGCTAGCAAACCTGGCGAAGCAGAAAGAAGAACTGGATGCTGCTATTCATGCTTTGAGAAAGCCGAATAGAGGCTTAGTGGGCATGGAGATCATGACGGAAGTTGAAAGGAGAAGAGAAGAACGGGCCTCGTGCCGACGCAGTAACCTCGAAAGAAGGGTTTCCGACCAGAGTCTTAGTGTACAGATCACAGCGACACCCAGGAAAGGGGAGATTGTAGGCAGTATGGGACGGGAAGTATCCAGCTTGAACCAGACATCTATCACACAGTTAGGAGATCGGGTAAACTCGATGCCCGAAGAGCCCGTCATCCCATCATCAACGGTCAAACCTGTGAACAACTTGCAAAATCAATTTCTCAGCAAAACTTTTGATACCACCATGACCAAGCGACACATCCATCTAGCTGCGTACGAGACACCATCACGTGGGTCTTGCAGGACATCCAACCCTCTCGGCTTGACCACAAGCACTCATCTACTTCAGCAGCCCGATCTACCAGCAACAACCTACTCGGGATCCAAACCCACACTCGTTCAGGCCACACCGTCTGCCAGCCGGCTTAGAGCCGACCACGCCAACCTCACCGAGGTCGAGAGCACACCACTTCGAATGACAAAATCACATAGACCGGTCACCATGTTTCAGTCGCTAAAGAAAGCAGAAGTCACGATCGAAGACGCCTTCCGTGATGCCCCCATCGTCTCGGAGAAAGCTGGAAAGGCAATGGACAGAGCTATGAATGCTGGGGGTGCGGGTGCAGGCAAGGAGGCTTCTATCTATGCTTCTTTGGGATGGGACGACGATGTCGATGAATTGCTGTAGTTAAATTGATGCTGAATATTACCATGAAGATATTATGGATGGCAGAAGTCACTCTAAGAACTTGAGTAGTGTGCGTGCACGTCTATCACGTGGATATGAGTAGTTGTTTGTAGATTCAAAAATGAAAATGAAAATGAAAATGAAAATGGACATTCCTCAATTGCCTGTTAGCGTGTTGGGAAGACCAGGGGAGAGTCTACCGTCTCCACAAGCAGGGTTACACTATCAATCTTGCAACTTGGACTTCTTCGTGCTCTGTCATTATCGTGCCTAGCCAGAGTGTGCAACCTTTTACATTTCGTACGTAGTAGAAGCAGTTTCTTTCTAGAACCTTGCCCTTTTTTTGGGCTGCTTAGAAATGTTACTCCCTTTCGGGCAGCCTGACCCGCGCAACACGGCAGGGACGGTCGGCAGGAGTCAGGCCTTCTTCTTGGTAGCCTCGTAAGATACATGATTCATTCATCAAGATAGAAAACTCATAAAGCTTCTTTTCAAGTAGATCTAGCTCATGAACAACACTGCAATTAACAGCTTCCTGTAATGGTATCTCATTCAGATCGTCCCCTTCGCCAAAGTCACAACTCAAACATTTCCTGACGATCTTGGTATATCTATCGCCTAGGGGTCTTGATGCGCTTTTGCTCACCCTTTTTGCCCTGAAGAACTCAGTGTTTCTGTCTTCTTGACCAGTATGAATGTCGACTGGCTGTTGGAGACTTCGCAGAGGTGCCTCGAAAGAAACTTCAAGGAGCATTACACCAAGACCAAAGAGGAATGGGTTCGGAGCAAAGTTCCCACGTTGTAAGGTCGAGGTGCGAGGAACTGGCGCGTGAGCATCCTTGAGAGCGACATCGACGTACGGTTCATTCAAATCGGGAAGGTACTGAGGCATCTTAAAGTCGATTCCTTGGAAGAAGACATCATCGCTGCACCATGTGTCCTTCAGCCACGGAGTAGAGTGGAAAAAGAGGAGCGTTGTTGAGAGTCGCGTGGCCAATCGAATTCGTTCCAGCTGAGGGATAACATTATAGGGCATGTCAGTCTGTCGCAGTCTTTGGAAAAACATTTTTCAATGAGCTCGAAGAGGAGGATGCAAAGCTTTTTGTCAGACTCTGAGCTTGCGTATCAAGGCAGATGAGATGGTTAGTATTCGAAGAACTGCCAACAGTTCCAATACATTGATCTGAGCCTGCCAGCAGTTATGGTGAAAACTTTGATAGTTCGTTGCAGAGGTTGCTGTCAGAGTAGAGATCTAGTAAGCCAGTATCAGGCTGTGAACTTTAACAAACCGGTAGAGGCGTTGGCCAAAAAAATCGGTCGGACCTCTGCTGGCCTGTGAATGAGCTGACTAAAGGAGCGGGAAGAGACACAGCGTTCACTTGCAAAGCTGTGCTAGGATTAGTTAGTGTCGTTTCGCTTCCTGATAGACTTTTCAGTGAACCCGAAGGTCTTGACTTAATGGTAAGTCACGTAGGCGGGGCGTTGACACTGCCGCAATCGACAGTGAGCTGTCGAAAGGTAATGTTGAATCGGATGTCTGGAGTGGAGTCACTGCAAATCGGCTGTAGGTTAAAATGCACCTCATGTTCTGCGTGCTTGATACATGCAGCTCTTAATGCCTTGTGTAGACTTTCTGCGGTAGTCTTGACGAGGTCAAACCTCGGGACCTCTCCGCGAAACACAGCTTTTAGGCACCGCTGTAGGCTTTGCAGCTTCAGAACAGCTTATCTGGGCAATCAAAGAGCAGAAGTCTTCAGTAAGGTCTCTTACACTGTTGAAGAGCTTCCGAATTTTCGAGCCTTTGAAGATAAACTTGATCTTCTTACTCATAAGACGAGACCGTCTCTTCCGGTTACCGGGTGTGCCCTGGGTTCACTATCAGTGAAAAGACTGTTGTGATAGATTGGAACTTGATGGTACCGCTTCCGACTCATGAACCACATCCTCAAATCCTTGACACTCGGTTTCGAGTTCATGGAGTTGATTTTCAATCAGACCAAGAGAACCAATGAAGGTATTCAAATTATCGCCCAAGTGCGTGGCAAAGGCATATTCAACGGTAGGATCAGTCCAGCTTATGTGCCCAGGATCTTCAAGCATGCTGGGAGCCTCTTCTTTTCCCACACATAATGAGATCAATCTTTTGCTAGCTGCGTTAAAAATGGCTTGCTGAACTTTGATTCTGATGGAAAGATAAGAGAGCTCAGACGTAAAGCAACGGTAATTTGAAAAGACGGATGCCGCCTTAGAGTAGTGTTCTACTGCAGCGATGCCCAAAGGTAAAGTCGCAAGAACGATTCTTAGCTCTGCCATGAAAGGCAGGTCTCCGTTCGAAGAGTGGCAAGATAAGGAAAGACTTGAGCATTTGTCTGTGGCATGCGTAGAGCTTTGAGTGGTAAGGATGAGAAGGGGGCACGGGGAATATTGACACACACAATCAGGAGCTCGAGGTCTGGTTCGAACTTGATCTAACCTCCATTCGAAGACACAGCCTCGAGGGACAAGTGCAAGCGTGTTCCAACCATTCTAGTAGTATCAATGGACCGATAACTTGCTCAAGTAAATTGTCTACATCAAACGGCATAGCTGCTATTGGTAACTTCCTGGTCTGCGTCAGGATACTCTTGAGTTCTTCAACGTCGTTGCAGAACTACTTCCTTAATCCCTCACGAGGCGGACCGCGTGGGGCAGTGGACTTGGCTCGGATTTCATTCAGTTGTTTTCAGCGGTATGCCCTACCCGCCATCTCCATCACAGCTCCTGATGTAATGAAGACATGTGCTATTACGAGCGGTATGATTTCTCCTGTGGAGACAGCAAATGGGGAAATATGAAGCTCAGGTGTGAAAATGACTATTGTATGGGGGAAGCTTGCCCAATGGTGCCGGAACCGCTCGACGGATATATATACAGGCTCCAAGAGCCGTGTCAATATTGCAAAGATATGAATTCAAAAATTTATCGGATTGAGAACTCAGAAAACCCCACCGGACGCTGGCTACAGGACAATCCGCAGAGATGGCGACCGAGTATTGTGAAAGCTCAAGATCGCCTGGTATTGCTTCGCAGTCAGTTGGTAGAGCTAAACAACAAGCGAAGCTCAGTCCGCAGAAGTTCACTAGATCCAAGCCCGCGGAACGATTCTAAAACTAATACCGGACACCTGGCCACCTTCTCTCATCCTGAGCCCATTCGTATCGACCAAAGCGCGAAAAACCAAGTAACAGCCAATGTCAACGCTTCAAAGAACAACAACCTCGGATTCACGTCAACGTTTTTGAAAGCTTGTCAGCATCTGCTAGCTGAGATTTGGAAATGCTGCAGCCGTGACCAGGAGCGAGCAGTGATCCGGCAAAACCGAGTTCACTATGACCTCAGCCGTCTGATCTTGTGGGGCGACTTGTTCGATAGTGGACAACTCGATGTCTGCACAGAGAAATCTGCAGAGATACGTGATTGTGTACTCAAGATCTTTTACAAAATCGGTACAACTTTGATAAAAGGTACACCAACCTGAACTTCTCTGAAGGCAACCAACTAGCACTGCTAACCACGCATGAGAATTGTAGGCGTATTAGAGATCGAAGCCGTCGCCTCCACATCCCCAAATGAAAATATAATAAGTCACGTTGACGCGGTCACTGATCACCTAGAAACGACAAGATCTATGCTCAACCTTCCTGACGATTATGATGAGACTGCTGATACAGATTCCGAGTCATCAGAAGGCGCCGACTCTCCCAAACCAATGGAAACCAAGTTTCACAGAGACCTGGAGAATTACATCCTATGTTTGACGGATCTCAGCCCAACCCTGGAGGAAATTCTGCAAGATGTGGATATGTCTAGAAAAGATCAAGGAAATCAAGCTCAAGGAATTTCCCCCCAGTCTATCGAATCTGCAAAACAATCTGTTATAAACCTATGATGAGTTCGGAAAACGCAGAGAGTGGACTTAAATGACAGCTTAGGGGACCGAATTTGCAAAGGTTTACACGAATTGGCAAGCAGATTTGCGACCAATTTCTCTCTGGATTAGACGAAGGAAAGGAAAGACGAAGGTGAAAATCGAGAAGAGAGTGGAGACGCGAATATCAAGAATGTAGAAAGGCGAGAGCTACACCACCGACTGAAATATCAATATCCGTTAGACAAATCCTCAAGAATATGCTCCACTAACCACAAAGACAAGCCCGTCTGAAGTAAAGCCTTTCAGGATATCCTCCTGCCAGTCTGCATGAGCGTTCATTGGGTGGAATTTCTACACGTAACCCCTACGTTTTGTCTGCTTTTGATTGGTCAGTTTCTCCTGTAATTTCGTTTCTAATTTCGCGGTACCATGCAGTCAATTTGTACGTATATCTACACACTCTGTTCCTTAATTAAACAGAACAACTTTATTGGGATATGGCCAAATTGTTAACACCGTTAAGGCTCACGTGAAGTATATGTATAGCATGCGGCTTCTATGCATTTCACCAACATTTCTCGTAAGTCACGCCAAGCATGCAAGCATGTGCAGCGTGTACGTACACAAACAGAGAACTCTGTAGGGAGTACCATCGTTCGATGTTAGGAGTACATTCTTTGTTGTCATTACTGATAGTGTTTTACAGCTACGCGCTACCACAGATGCTGATGGTTAGACGCTTTGGAAAGACTCTACCGAGCACAGTTTTTTGGTGGTTCAATAGACTCACCGTAGCTCGTTGCTCAGCACGCAACGAGTCTATTTCTTCTGAAGCATATGCGACTCAGCGAAGCTGGATTTCCAATCCATCGTGTCTCTACTCTAGCATGGGTGGTCTTTCGATGCCATGGCTCGCCTATACATCATCCGTTATCCATTAGGAATGATCCATCCAATCACACTTCCGCACCACTCTGCGTCCAAGCCTTATGTATGCCAATTCAGCTCTTGTCCCCCCTTTCCCGCTGCACCTCCGCCAACCCCTCCCTCAACGCCTCAATCGCTCTCTCAATATCTCCCCTCCCCTCATCCATAACACTAACCCCCATATGCCCGAACCGGATATACTTGCTCGCTATCTCCCTGTGCAGTCCGCCCGCAAACACGACGCCCTTCTTTGCCAGACTCGGTAGGATTTCCGGCGGCGTTAGCCCCTCGGGCAGATACATGGCCGTCATGCCGTTGGCTTGATTTTCCGGTTTCGAAGCTACCTGGTCCAGACCTAGATCTGCTACCGCTTTCTTGACTTTCTGGCTCATCTTCTTGTGCTGCTCGAATCGTTCGCTGAGGGGGCGGCTAAGGACTTGTGTCAGCGTCGTGTGGAGTGCGTGTACTAGCTGGGTTGGAGGGGTGGCGAAATAGCTCGGTTTCTTGGTCTCGTAGTTCTGCATGATGGGTAGCCAATTCCTGAAGCTGCCGTAGTACGATCCCGGCCGGGATTTGCGGTTGTGGAAACTCTCCATCGCGCGCCCAGAGCACATTACTATGCTCAGCCCTGGGGCGCAGCCGATGGCTTTCTGCGACGCGGTGAGGCAGACGTCGATGCGCAGGTTGTCGAAGTGGAGCTCCTCGCAGCCGACGCTGCAGACGCCGTCAACGATGAAGAGAGTGGAGGGGGAGACGCGGGCGAGAAGCTCGGAGAGAGATTGCAGGTGTGAGAGCACGCCGGTGGAGGTGTCGACGTGGGTGACGGTTAAGGCTTTGTATTTCTTTGAGGTGAGGGCTTTTTCGATCTCGGGGAGCTGTGGGCGGTCGCCAACTGGGGCTTTGAGTTGAGTGGCTTTGATACCATAGGTTTCGAAGCAATCGGCAAAGGAGTCGGCGAAGTAGCCTGTGTGCAGGACTAGAACTTCGTCGCCGGGCTCGACGACATTGGCAGCTACCATGTCCCAGCCCAGAGTACCGCTGCCTGCTATGACAAACGGTTGTGATTGTGGGGATGTGGTTTGGAAGAGCTTCCGGAGCATGCTTAGGGTCTCGCCGAAGGTATTGCAGAAGGGGACTCCGACATGCGACTCGGCGTAATGAGACATTGACTGCACAACATCGTCGTCCAACTCGATAGGACCAGGAATGAGGAGAGCTGGATGGGGCGGTTGGCCCGTGGCCTTTTCTGTACTCATCTTTGCCGCGGAGGGTGTGGAGGAGGAGCGGCTCTGATGTGGGAGCGGAGAGCGCAGAGGTGGGCTGTAAGGTAGATCAGCGGGGGTGGAGGAAGCTCTCTCGGTTGCGTAAGGTGTGTTGAATGGCTGAAAAGGAGGTCTTTGATCCAGGTGTCGTGAGATGAGACTCAATCGTGGCACTGCTCTTGAGGGCGCCAGGATTGACAACAACCTCCTCGCGGGGGTAGGCGGGCACAAATTTCAGTAGCAATGCGGGGGACGCCAGCGTTGGCCTCGGTGGAGACACGTGAAAATAGGGGTTGAAGGTTGAATGTGGGCTTGTACAGGAAAAAGACGTGGTCGGGAGTGTTCCACGGTTCAAGCTGGCCAAGTAGGCCAAGTAGTTCTCAGTATGGGGCTCTGAACAGAGGAATCAGCTGTATCAAGCAGCAGGGATTGACGCGTCAAGGCGTCAAGGCGTCGATGCGTCTTTGCGTCTTTGCGCAACTTGAATTCAGGAGATGCGAGCAGGGCTTGGCAACTGAATTTGGTATCCAAGTCCTGCTCAGAAATGCACACAATCCATTCATACCTCTGTCCTTCTTGCCATGCTATGATGCTACCCACGTCCTCCATGTCGAGGTCACCAATGCCAATGCCATGTTTAGTACCACATCTGAAGAATGTCCTCATCCAAGTGCCTTATATTCACATGCGCAATCTTGACAGGGAAGCTTCCCCGCCAACAGCCTCGCTGACCCTAGAATGTTTGCTGGAGCGGTACCAGCAGCATGGAGTCGGTAGATACTACAAGAGTATGTGGTTCTATTTCTGACGAGCTTCATTTCCTACCCAGCTATCATGGAAAAGGAGTACGTACTACGTCGTACGACAATCACCGATGTGGAGCCCCGTACGCGCATCCTTAACTAGTGGCGAGTCATCTCTGGAGCCTACACACCTTCTCCCAGCTTGCTCCACTGTTATTCACTGTTGAGAACATCCAAGAAACCGAGACATGCAGAATTTGGCATGGAAACATCGGGGGCAAAGCACAGGGACCGGTTTCCATGACAAAATCTGCTCTGAATGGCTGCGTTTCAAAGGCCGACCCTGCCAAACCTCTTGATCCCCGTCAATTTCTTCTCAGTGCATGAAGCGTCATTCATAGCTCCACAAACAAAATCTTCCCATTCATCAAATGCCCGGGCCGAAGTCAACCGTGGCATGATCGTCACTACGGTATATGATTAGGGGTCCAGTCAGCGTGGAGTGCTGGCTTACGTTACAACTACTACGTAGTATATTTTGACATTCCCTTTCTTCTCGCTGTCCTTTTTGTATCTCTTTGGCATATTTGCTTTCTCGTACCCTACAGTATGCGTTCCTCCATTATTCTCGCCCTCGTGGCATCCTCCTCGCTAGCCTCTGCCGCCTACAAGGGCTTCAACTACGGCGCCTCCTTCACCAATGGAGCCGTAAAACAACAATCTGACTACGAAGCCGCCTTCAACGCTGCCAAATCCCTCCCAGGCGCTCCCGGCTACAACAGCGCCCGCCTCTTCACCACCATGCAAGGCGGCACCGCCAACGGCACCGCCAACACGCCCATCTCCGCCATCCCCGCCGCCCTCAACACCGACACAACCCTTCTCCTCGGCCTCTGGTGCTCCGCCGGCGACGCCGTCTTCAACAACGAACTCGCCGCCCTCACCAACGCAATCGCCCAGTACGGCCAACCCTTCGTCGACAAGATCACCGGCATCTCCGTCGGAAGCGAGGACCTCTACCGCGCGAGCGCCATCGCCAGGGAGAACGGTGAAGTGAACCCCGGCGCCACACCAGACACCATCGCCCGCTACATCGGCCAAGTGCGCTCCGCCCTCTCGTCCACAATCGCAAATAGGATCCCTATCGGCCACGTCGACACCTGGACGGCCTGGGTCGACGGCGCCAACACAGCCGTCATCAACGCATGCGACTTCATCGGCATGGACGCCTACCCGTACTTCCAATTCCAGGACGTCGGCAACGCCAACGCCGTGTTCTGGGAAGCCTACGACAACACCGACGCCGCCACCGGCGACAGACCGGTCTGGATCACCGAGACGGGCTGGCCCGTGACCGGACGCACCCTGGGACAGGCGGTCCCGGGCATCGAGAACGCGCAAAGATATTGGAAGGAGGTCCAGTGCCAGGCCACGGCCAGGGGCATCAATACTTATTGGTATATCCTGAACGATGGGCCGTCCACCCCGTCCTTCAGCGTGCTGGGCGGCCCCGAGGGCCAGTCGCTCGACTCCAGGCCCTTGTACGATCTCTCTTGCTGAGTCAAGACTAACACTGCTTGGGTAGTGGGCCAGCTACTGCACATGGAGTTTCTGTCTGAAATGAATAGAGGGATCTTCGGATACATCATGTAAATATTGGGATACGCTTGGAAGAGAAAATTAGAGACTTCTAATGTTGAGAACGATCATTACACACACGCCAGCTGCTTGGATGAATCCCTGATGTTTCGCCTTTTCCCATCAAGCCCGCTCGTGTTACATTCTACTTTGTCTAAGGTACTCGAGTAGCATGACAGGTAAAACAGCAGGAAGAAGAGCCAAAATCGATTGATTGACTCGGCTTCACCGTCTTCGGGCACGGAAGAATTTCGAGATCTCTTAGCGATCCTAATGGCACCTTTGCACAGCTCCCAACCCAGACCAGACCAGAATCATAGGTCCATTATTTACTTGACCTTAGGTCTGGCGATAACAAACTCCTGTTTCTCCATGTGCTCACTCAACCCCCATGTCGTAGTCCAAGTCGACATCAATATCGAGATCATTCTCGTCCACATCCAGATCGATCTCAAAGTCATCCTCATTCACGAAGTTGCTTCCCACATTTGTCCCTAGCCGCGTGCCAGCCTCTCCAGCTCCGCCTCGGCCGATCTTCTCGTCTTCTTCGCCAACGTGTGTTGCTGCGTCATCCTCCTCCTCCTTTGGTAGGTGCATCTTGACATACTTCCACATCATGATCTGGTTCTCAATTGGTATCTCCTCCAGCCGCAGTTCATGGCTAATCCAGGTGGGTAAGACGTCCACGCTAGGCACCGTCTTCTTTATGATATGCGCCAGCTCCTTTTGTCTTTCTAGAGGCAACTTCGGGAGATTGGTACGCGTGAACTGGACCATCTCTGGAGTGAGTATCTGCTGTGCTGAGGTAGCTGCAATGTCGAGAGAGTTGCTTTGTTGTTGAGGACCAGTCGCGGCCATGGTAGCACGGCAGAACTCATCAACGAGATGCCCTAACTGTCGATATAAAGCATCAGACATGTTGCGATAGTCAATCAATCTGCCATTTCGACGTTCCTCGAATGCTTTCGGAGAAAACGTACGGATGACATGAAGAACTGCTTCTTTTTGTGATGGGATCAACAACATTTGCTCGATTTTCTGGGCAATGAAGTCGCGACTCGATTGTGTAAGTGGGCTACTCCTATTCAAGGGCTTTCTATTTGGGGGTTGGGCGGATATGCAACCCTGTGGCTTTGTGGTCTTGCAGACGGCTGCGCTGAGACCATTTGCGTCACGAAGGGATGTGACAGGTTGTGGAAAAGGGTTGATTTCGGTCAGCTGAGCGTTGGCGGATGGCAAAACTGAGCGTTTTTGGATGAGACGGTTTTGATCTTTGCGATGACTCGCCCCTGTCTTGCCATGGTACCAGGCGCTCTTGCTATAAATGTTGTTTGGCCGAACTGCTTTCTTTGATGACAGCTTCAAGTTCCCGTTCTTGCTTGCCCAGTCACGACGGTGGCTGACTGACCTACTGTGAGAATCTGTCAATTGAGAGACCTTCCCGTTGCGTCCCTTGTTAGCAGAACTCCTACCATACTTGAACGTCTTCTTGGCCTTTGTCTTTCCGTTCCTTGTGGCAGAGATGGTCTCTTCAAGACTGCGGTCAAGTGCGGAGACCGAAGGCTGAGAGAAGGCGCTCAATTCTGCGGATGAGAGCCATCGGGGCAACTGAAGATTCACAAAATCCGCAGAACCATGGTCTTTCACGCAGTCACTGGTTTGTAGGAAACTGAAGCAGATGTATTCGTCAGTGAATTTCTTGAGATGCTCTTCTTTCCAGCCAAGGTAGTGCTCTTCTCCAGTATACTCGCCAACGATTTTGCGTGGTGCTTCTTCAGTCCCTTCGAGCGTCAAAATGTTTACCTTGGCCACTTCACTGATAACAGTGCAGTGTATGCCTTGTGCAAAGAGCTTGAACTGCCAGATGACTTCGAATTGCTCGGCTGACAGGTTGTCTTCAGAGGCATGCGCAACAAAGGTGATGGAATCACTTGGGGAGAAGGTGCGTAAGGGAATGCCTCCGCTGGGTCTGCTGAATGGAGCTAATACATCAATAGCGTTGGTTGAAAACACGGGATGAGAGATGGGGAGTGAGACGGTAGTAAAGCGTTTGGTGATGGAATTTGTTGTGGGATCACCTGAAGATTCTTGGTCGATTCGGACACATATTCTGTGGTGTTGATCGGCAGAAGTCGCGAGGGGCATGCACTTTAACGACATATCGGCGTTATGCGGCTCTCGAGGAGCATTCCACGCGGATTGAGTATCTGGCATAGGCAACCCTATAAGAGTACTATCGAAGAGGGTGGCGTAACGAACCAACGGATCTCCCTTACCGCCTGGTCAAGTTGTAGGCCTAAGTTGCACCTTAGGCGGACGTGGCAAGACTGCCAGAACAAGAGGTTTCTCGTCTTGTAGCGTGGTAGAGTCTCTTGATCTGCATGAGAGGTGGATAGGATGCAGTTCGTGGATGCAACAAGATGATCCAAAGGTGTAATGTTATGGATGGATTGTGGTGGCATGCAGGGTCTGTCGACGGCAGATGGGCGCTAGGCAGCCTTGATTCTTAGCGATCCAAAACCAGTGTTTGGCCTGGTAGGATATGCGTACCTAGCGAGAAAAGCTTCTGCAGCTGATGAAAGTGTTTCTTCCTGGTAAAACTTGGGTCTCGGAAACAAGTCCAACAGCATCAGCCAGTATACCTGCCCTTGGCAATGCTTCTCTTGCCGGCACATCGAGATTTTTGACCCACTATCAGGACCGGAACCTATGGTGTCCCGAGACATCACCTCGTACTCGATCTGTCATGTTGCGCCTGTCTCAAGGACAGCGACCAGCAAGGAGATCCCTCTGGGCTCAGTCATTTCAGATCTCAAGGTTTATTCAGCACCTGCCCTTGAAGTGGCCGGTTCAGAGCTTGCGAAATGATAACCAATGAAGTCCATTCAGGTGCTAGAAACTTCTGTCAATAGAAGAGGAGTTCTCCAAGCCTCCTTCATCAAGCGCAGGAAGACGGGACGATAATGGCTTGATAAGATCATAAGTCCTGCACCAGAGTGGGAAAGAATATTTCATAGCAAGATCTTATCAGGAAACAAAGAAAGAGCAATAAGGCTTCTTCGAAATGAATTGTGGAAGCTGCGAGACCAGAAATATAGACGAGGCTTGCGTCTCGATATACCTCGACAAAAATGATACAATACCACTCCGAGTGAGCCTAAGGGCTCAATCAAGACAACACCCACGAGGCAGAATTGAAAGACTAGCACAACAGAGGTCCAGTGTCACCCTTTGGCAAGGCCGGTAGCATCACCTTGATTTCAAGACAGCTGAATGCCGAAAGATGGTTCTTGTAACACAGAGGAATATTCATGCGTTCCGAGAGACCTTGGTTGATTCTCAATCAACTGTTGGATCAACTCTGGCCGTCGATATACATGAAAATGATGGAAAGCCCAGTTGTTAGGGGCACATGGAATTCGAAGGATGGTGAATTACGCGCAGCCGTAGCCGCAGCCGCATGAAGCAGGTGAGACGAGGTGGCGCTTGGCAACCTTGCCATGTTCAGCAAACGCGAAGCCCAGGCTAATTATTGTGATTTGCAGTGAACAATAACGGGAGCTGCTATTCAGAACCATGACAATGAGCATCCCCTGCTGATCACACACATTCACTAAAGCTCTGTTTGACCTATTAGATCTTGGATCTGCCCCAAACCCATTCGACATCTATCACTTCTTCACGCTCTTTCAACTGCTTTCTCAAAGCACGACACAATGCCGGATGAATTTGATGTCAGGGATGATCGCGAGGAGGCTCATGAAGAAGGAGCCGATGACGAGGTAAGCTTCAAACAATCATATTGGCACTTTAGATCGTCATATTCCATCTGCTCGCGCATTCATCTGACGGCTGGCTGGCTGAACTCGACCTACAGGAGGAGATTGCCGCAATGAAGAGGAGAGTGGCCGAGATGGAGTCCGAAGCTGCCAAACTACGCGAGATGCAAAGCCAACTCGATCAACAATCAGAGAGTCTACAAAGAGAAGACCGAGAAGATGTCGATGCACGAAGTATCTTCGTGGGCAATGTGGACTACGGTGCTACACCAGAAGAGATCCAAGCACATTTCCAGAGCGCTGGCTCTATTAACCGCGTCACAATACTGTTGGACAAATTCACTGGTCATCCGAAGGGGTGCGTCTTACCTTGTTTAGGAGCGGGTCCTCAAAGCGACACCATCGCAAAGGGTCTCGTCCTGTTACATGAGCTCTATGCTGCCTGGCAAGAGATGGAGTGCTGACGGTATCGCGCAGGTATGCATACGTGGAGTTCACCGAGCCTAATCTGGTTGCCCAGGCCCTCGTCCTGAATGAGAGTCTGTTTCGCGGAAGAAACTTGAAGGTGAAGACAGATAACTACCGGGAAGGAAAGAGGTCCTGCTAACACGAACCCTCTAGGTCGTGCCGAAGCGAACGAATCTGCCCGGACTGACAAGAGGAGGTCGTGGTGGTGGTCGTGGTGCACCTCGAGGTCGTGGAGGATTTGGGCGGGGTGGTTACGGTCCTCCGAGAGGCGGTTATCGAGGCGGATTCCGAGGACGAGGCAGAGGTGGATATGCACCATATTGAGCGGTGTCGTTGCAGACAACCTGAGACAGGGCAGCGTGAAAATGAGCACCGGCAGACCAGCTGGGTTGGAATGCTATCATAGACTGAAGCCAGGAGTTCCGGACATCTGCATCAATTACTGAGGTATTGGGTTGGAAAGCAAAGCCATTGACCATTACAGCCAAAGGCAAACGAGCAATCAATATCATGTGTTCCTATTTATCAATGCCCAAAGCGATTGTACAAAGACATGCATTCAACTTCGACTGCGGGGGGTTTTTGGCCCGGAGTCGTGGTCTGATTGCGAAACTTGGTCATCCTCGCTTTGTGAGAGGCTTATCAGGCTTCAGACCCGTAGGTATTCATCGCCCCCTAAACAGTAGTTGTATCCGACATTGCTATAGACTTCTCGAACAAGGGGTGTTGGGATTACCCACAACACGAACCTTTGTCAGACTGTCTATTCTTTCCCCGGAACAGCGCACTAACAGCCAGCGTCAATCGACACAGCCCCCCAAGCGCGCAAGGGACCGCCTGGGGCATCCCTCTTGTCCCAAGTTTGCTGTCATTGTACAATATACGCTACACACGACCGAGGAGTCGGCTGAATCGCCATCTCCCCAGAGTTCTCTCTTAGCCAGGATTCGTGCATGTTAGAGTCTCCGCATCTCATCAAGTTTCTTCCCGGACTGGGTAAGCGGCAAGAGGTGTACTCAAGATGGACTCGAATCTGCCTAGGTAGGTCCATGGAATTCGCAGTTGTCTGCAATGCTGACATCAGTGCGATCTTAGCGAGCCGAACCTCAGGGTAACAAGTGTGTTCTGCAATACCGTTGCTACTCTTCGACTGACCATTACTAGTTATTGCTGCGGACGGACTGTATAAGCGCGATGTCTTTCGTGAGTGCCTGCTGTCTGATTCTATGACAAGATTGCTGAGCGATCAACAGGATTTCCGGATCCATTCGCCGTGGCTACCATCAGTGGAGAACAGACGAAAACGACCTCCGTCATCAAGAAGACACTGAACCCCTACTGGAACGAGGTCTTCGATATGTACGCTTTGGCTGATCGTGGCTTCTAACGAGATTCTGACGCCTTATAATAGGAAAGCCACGGAGGACAGCATACTCGCAATACAGATATTCGATCAGAAGAAATTCAAGAAGAAGGATCAGGGATTTTTAGGGGTGATAAATGTTCGCATTGGAGATGTCATTGACCTGGATGTTGGCGGTGAAGGTAGTGCCACCCTTCTGCGCTGTTTGTCTGACCTCACTCATATGATTCACAGAAATGCTCACTCGAGACCTGAAGAAGTCGAACGATAACCTGGTCGTGCATGGCAAGCTCATTGTGAATCTATCTACAAACCTTACTACAGCCGGCAGCGGACCAGGCACCCGACCGGGCCTCAATACATCGGGCAGCAGCATGGCAGGTGCTTATCCTGCTCGAGCATCGAGCCAGAACCGAACATCAACCGCGGCAAGTCCTGCGCCATCTCGATCGCAGACAGTGGCTGAGCTGTCATCATCATCAACGACTGCTGTCAACGGAACAGGTCCTCAAGCAAATGGCACTAACCGGACAGGATTCAGCTCGTTTGAGGATAACCAAGGAAGATTACCAGCTGGGTGGGAACGACGGGAGGATAATTTGGGTAGAACCTACTACGTGGACCATAATACCAGATCAACTACCTGGAACAGGCCGTCAACGACTTACAATGAACGAGATCAACGAACAGCGATGGAGGCGAATATGCAGATGGAAAGGAGAGCACATCAAAATCGAATGCTTCCAGAGGACAGAACTGGTGCCAATTCACCCAGCGTACCTGAGCAACAAGGAAGTACGCCAGCCAACTCGAATGCTGTTTCAATGATGGCCACAGGCGCCACCACAGCTGGAACCGGTGAGCTTCCAGCTGGGTGGGAACAGCGCCATACACCTGAAGGAAGAGCTTATTTCGTCGACCACAACACTCGGACAACCACTTGGGTCGATCCAAGAAGGCAACAGTACATCCGTATGTATGGACCACAAAATACGGGTGGCAGCAATGCCACGATCCAGCAACAGCCTGTATCGCAGCTCGGGCCGTTACCAAGTGGCTGGGAGATGCGGCTCACAAATACTGCAAGAGTGTACTTCGTTGACCACAACACGAAAACTACGACGTGGGACGATCCTCGACTGCCTTCGTCGCTTGATCAGGGCGTACCACAGTATAAGCGTGACTTCAGGAGGAAACTCATCTATTTCAGGTCACAGCCTGCCCTGCGGATTCTGTCTGGCCAGTGTCATGTCAAGGTGCGGCGTGGAAACATCTTTGAGGATTCGTATGCCGAGATCATGCGGCAGAGTGCGACAGACTTGAAGAAACGGTTAATGATAAAATTTGATGGAGAAGACGGCTTAGATTATGGTGGTCTTTCCCGGTATGTCGATATCCCTGTGGTAAGCGATTTTGGCAGACAAGACTAACAATCTGAGCAGCGAATTCTTTTTCCTCCTCTCACACGAAATGTTCAATCCATTCTATTGCCTATTCGAGTATTCCGCACACGATAATTACACCCTTCAAATAAACCCGCATTCCGGCATCAACCCAGAACATCTCAACTACTTCAAGTTCATCGGCAGGGTGGTCGGCCTTGCCATTTTCCACCGAAGATTCTTAGATTCCTTCTTCATCGGTGCGTTCTACAAGATGATGCTCCGCAAAAAAGTCCAGATCCAGGACATGGAAGGCGTCGACGAAGATTTCCACCGAAACTTAACCTGGATGTTGGAGAATGATATTGAGAACGTCGTAGACTTGACTTTCTCGGTCGACGATGACCAATTCGGAGAAACCAAGACCGTAGATCTAAAGCCCGGGGGAAGCGAGATCCCTGTCACTAATCAAAGCAAGAAGGAGTATATTGAGTGCGTCTCCCCATCATTCCAATCCCCTGTCTCGAAAATCACAGCCGCTAATACAATAACTGTACTCGTAGACTAGTAACAGAATGGAAGATCCAAAAGCGCGTCTCAGAACAATTCAACGCCTTCATTACCGGCTTCAACGAGCTCATTCCCGCCGACCTGGTCAACGTCTTCGACGAGCGCGAGCTCGAACTCCTGATCGGCGGCATCGCCGACATCGACGTCGACGACTGGAAGAAACACACGGATTACCGCGGCTACCAGGAGCAGGACGAGGTGATCCAGAATTTCTGGAAGGTGATTCGGACCTGGGATGCCGAGCAGAAGAGCCGACTGTTGCAGTTTGCCACCGGGACGAGCAGGATCCCGGTGAACGGGTTCAAGGATCTGCAGGGCAGTGATGGACCGCGGAGGTTTACCATCGAGAAGGCGGGCGAGGTCAACGCGCTGCCCAAGAGTCACACTTGGTTCGTACACACACACACACACACCATTTTTTCTTCCTGTCCAATGGTACCCCGGATTCCAGTCTTGCTGACATAGTGCCCCTTTTTTTTCTTGTCTTCTAGTTTCAACCGTCTCGATCTCCCGCCCTACAAATCCTACGACACCCTCAACAGTAAGCTCTCCACCGCGGTGGAGGAAACGCTGGGCTTTGGACAAGAGTAGTCGTGTGTTTAAAAGGCCAGCAAAACGGAGTTTTCGTCATAGGTCGACACGGGAGAGACATCATGACAGGCGGCAGGCAGTATTGGGCCCCCGATTCATAGAAACCCCTATAAAACCATAACCATAACCATGATTGTGACTATGACTATAAGTTCTGCGGTGATGATGACGACGAGGCACAAAAGGCCGGCCAGACAGCATGCATGATCAAGGGGCGGGACTCTTGGGTTCTGTGATTGACTGCTGCTGGGTAGAATGAATGAATGTACTCAAGATGAGACGCATAAGATGGTGTTTTAAGAAACTACATGTAAGGGAGGCCGTCCTTACTTCTAACTTACATAAGTAGTCGCGTTGGGCATTACGTAGAATCGGTGTACGAACTGCCAGTGCATGGACTTGGAAAGTCTGCGACGAGAACCCTCCTTTAGCAGTAGTTGTTTAGGCACCCCTGGTACATGGATCGTCCATTGCCCCAGATATTATTCCGGGGTTCTAGGAGTATACTCATATTTCTTGATGTATACATAATTGAGTCGCAGGGATGTGGTTTTGGCTTTCGTCTCTCATCTCTTTCTCTCTAAGAACATCCGCGACAGCGGTTGAATGTTCCCTCGGATGCGAGGACTATAATTACTACAACTAGCTATGGATGGATTACTTTTAGTATCATTATTCGGTCCAAGGCGACTGAGTTACCTATTTAAGCAAGAGATCCCGTACACTGAGGCCAGTTTTGATAGTTGATGTTGATGTTGATGTCGGTGTTGGTGTCAGAGTCTGAGTATGCGACTTCCATGTAGGCGTCCCGGTTTGATGATAGTTTACGGTACCGGTGGGAATGATGCTAAATCTGGGACGGGCGTCTGCGGTGATGTTGGTGCTGTTGCTGTTGCTGTTGCTTTTGCCTCGACGGTCTGTGCTTGTCAACATCAGGAGTGCAGCGGCGGTTTTTGTGGTTTCTTCTTGGTCTCTGGTCCTTTCTATGTCCATTTCTCTGGTTGCGTCTGTGGGATGGTGGGTGAGGTGGGCAGTGAGGTACTCCTGTGAGCTGAAGTTTGAGGACGGCGGTTGTGGTTTGGTGAGCGGCATTGCTGTACGCAAAAGCTCTTCCTCGCCATGAATATTAGAGTGACAGTGACAGTGGCACGTGTTTGGTGGCATAAATGGGTATTTCTCTTTCTTCCCATTCTGATCTTTGATCTGCTGACGTAGATACTCGTGTTCAGACGGGCTCTTAAGATGCTTTTCCGCACTCGCCGCCCTTGCGTCCTCCTTTGACATTTCGGTATCCATATCCTCTGCGTCATCTTGCCCAAAAATCCTCCTACCTATTCTCTTTCCCTCCCACTGCCTCTCATTCATCTTCTCTAAACATGTCTCGAGATACGCCAAATACTCGATCCCTGCGTTCAAGACATCCAGCTTGTGCATCTCCTTCCCATTGCCATCCCTTTCATCTCCACTTCTGCATGCGGGTATCATGTCTTTAAGAGTGGCGAAAGCGTCGTTCATCTTCGAGCGGCGCCGACGCTCAATTAGTGAATGAGCGGTCTTGCGGATGGCCTTCTTAGTGGGTTTACTGATGTTGTTGACAAGACTAGATGACGACGAGGAGGAGGCCTTGTGCGCTGCCGGTGAGTCTGGGGTCGATGCTGTGGTTATTTTTCTGCGTTTAACAGGTGACTGAGTCTCGGACTGCGGTCGGGGGGGCTTCATGTGGATGATTTTGCGAGACCGAGTCGGTGGAGATGGCAATGTAAAGGGTTCATCTTCAGATATGGGTCTGAGTTTCTTGGTACTGGCCGAGGCAGGTCGGTTGACGGATCTCGTATCGGTTGGAGCGAGAGAGCCGGTTGCTTTGGAATTCTGCGAGCCAATCTCTGCTGCAGACTGCAAGGCAGGCGGTGGAAGGGTAATACTCGATTCAGAAGCCGATGAGCTCCATGGCCTCTCCTGCGCCGCAATCTCTGTCGAGGCCGCTGGAGTGAGAGGGAGGGTTGGTGTAGGCATGTCCTTGAAGATACTGCTACCGTTTGAGAAAGATTATTCAAGTTGGTTACCACTGTCAGCTCTCGCAGAACAGACAGTCGGCATTAACGAACAACACGAAGAGAGGAATGAGGGGCCGAATAGAGAGGAATGTTAAGAAAGGACGGCATGAAACAGAACTGGATAGCTCGAGAGCCCGTTATCCCGTCAACCGAACATGTGAATGGTGTGCAGCGAGTTCCGCCAGCCATCAGAACGCCCCCCACTGGTGTCGCGTGTCCCCCGTGAGACAATGATAGGCTCATAGGAACTCTCTTCCCCACGTTGGGCCCGACGACCGTTCCGACATGAGATTCAAAATGGGGGGATCCGGGCTCGAGTAGGAATGATATGCAGCACATGGTGGAAGTAGGCACGCTAATTGGTGGTAAGAATCATTGAGGATGGACGATGTTCGGCACTATTGACTAGTAGCACCAGCACGACAACCGTCTCGGCAGAGAAGTCCACCACGGGATATTTCTATCTCTAGCACAGCAAGGTGCATTTTGGTCCATTGGTCCATTCTAGTCCATTGGGAGCTTGTCCAAGCAGTGTCGCTAGGATATACAACCCTCCTAAGCAAGTATGAGCCAAAACAGCCTCAGCATCTGTTCGTGCTTCCTCGATATTTCTTGGTGGATCCGAGTGCTTTGTGACTACAAGAAGGTGAGAGCGCAGACTAGGCGAGGTGCAAGGCACGTGGATATAGGGAGTCCCTACTGTCATCTACGTACACTTGATGCCGCACCTACGGTGGTGCAGCATCCCTTTTGCTTTTGTTCTGCGGTATTGCTCCATGCCGAGAGGAAGTCTGTTCAAAACACACTATCATCCAGTGTTTGTTCACTAGCTTGGCCACAGTAAATGACAAGCGAGAAGATCTGCAAATGTTTCTCGGTTAGTGACCGCCTTGCCGCTGGCAATCTGCAATCGGATTGTGGTATTCCTCTGCAAAGTCCTCTGCAAGGAGGACTTGGAGTACTGATCAGCATATTGAGGACGAAGACGCGGCACTTTGTACATCTTGACAGAATACTAGGTGCTTGCCCTCACAGTGTCTCATCTTTGCTGTTAGCGAAGTGGCAACAGATGCGAGTGATCCAATGGGACTGGAAGACCACGACGTTCCTATCCTTTTCCAGGCTGAATGATTGCTAAGGAGGTTGGTCTTAGCAGGACCTGCAACAATCAAGGGACCATTTGGCAGGGATCAAGACAGGTAGAATAGGCTCCTACCATACTCCTCCATGACTGCCAAGCCAGTATATGTTCTGCCGCCGCCGCCGTTATACCCTAGTAGACACATGTACGTAGGTTCTCCCTCATAGATTGTATTGGTAGACCAAGGGTAAATGATAGAATAGCTGCAGGTCAAGCGGACTAAGATCCTCGTAGTCGTGTTAGCATATGTGCTTCAGTAAGGATTGTAGAATGCCTCAGATCTGTATCAATACCAGGTCATACATCCAAGAAAGGCTAATGCAACGCTCAACGCTCATCAAAAATAGGTTCTTGTGCGATGAGCTAGCGTGGAAACTGCGAATAGGAATGGGTTTAAATCATAGGAGAGTTGCGTCAAGACCATGGAGATGGGATTGTCCTCACCTAGAGTCAATAGCACAGAGTAAATGTGTCGAAGATTAGCCAACAATATCTAGTCAGACATCGTGAGCTATTGTAGACTGAAGCGGAGCTCGGGAGGCCAACAACTGTAGGAGAGAAGAATGCGCCAAAGCGCTTGTCACTACAGCAGTCATAAAAGATCTTGCGCCAAAGATGTTTCGAAAAATGTATACGGAGTATGTGTGAAGGTGGCAAGAAGATTCGGCTTGAAATGTGTGCAGAAATTTAATAATGGCACCCGACCCGAGCACTAGTTAGAGGCAAGTGCACAGGCGCTTGAGGCCCATCGGCCCATCGACAGATTTGGTGGCCGTCTATGCAGGCTTGTGGGCGTCAAAATTAATGGGCTGATTTAAGTGCTCTGCGGTGCCAACTAACTATCATTTATTATGTCAACCTTTGAGAGCCAAGACGGCCATCAAATCTGTCGAGGGGTCTCGGCTGCTAACTCTTGGTGGTATACTCCGTACATGGGGTTCCTGTGCCTTTCCACCATTTTCAAATTGGTCAATAGCAAACCTGATCAAAGGTATGCTTGCGGCTAGGCCACCGGTTACTACTTAGCAGGTATCGACTGCACATTGCTAAACGCCTTGACTGACACACCTCATTCACTCAATTACCCAATTCCCATGAGTGTTAGATCGAGGCTCTACCTGTAGTACATTACAATGAGATGTTATCACTGTGCCCTCTATTCGTTGGGTACGTCATCAATTCTATCTCTGGTTTTAATGCAAGGTAAGATGCGATGTGCCTACCTTTCTTGGTTGCACAGAAGGCTAGCATATCGTGGTAGCGTTGTAATATTGTTCGAGCGGCCAGTAGTTTGTCATCCTGGTCAGAGAACAACATTTCAGGGCCGCAAAAAACACAAAGGGCCTCTCTGTCAGAACACGACATTGTCCACCCACTATTGTTTGACCATGGCACTTTTATCTGGGGACCCTACTGGCCAGTTCAAGTCGGGTGACAAAGGTGTTCGAGTTCTCCTCGTCGGAGTCCTCGTTCGTGGAGTCCTCCGTAGAATCATCCTTGCCATGGAGATAGTCAGCAGGTCACACAATCATCATTTTGTCCGGGGCACCCTATGTTCAGAGCCTAGAATCCCTTGTTTGATTGGGGTTCTCCCTCTTCTGGCCCATCTAACGTGACACTGGGATCAATGTCCATGCTACAGGAAATCTCATCTAAAAAGCTGAGAATCGTGTCACTTTCGGGCCAAGCGTGCTTTTCCCAGAGCTCTGCAAGAGACTTTGTTTGATGGACTCGATCGTAACTGGCTATGAGAAGGCCTTTGTCATACTCAACGCTCGACTCATCGTGGGCCAACCTTATGGCCTTAGCATCACGACAACATTATTGCAAATCCAAACCTCTTCCGTCTCAAATTCTTCATCCAGACCAACACATATCTTGTGATACTAGTCGAGCCTGCATTCTAGGTTATCACACCGAATCATAGACGTCTGGGGTAGTTGAGCTGGGGCATGTGTAGATGCGTATACCTTCCAGTCAGCCCCGATGTTGTTGAAGTACCAAACCAGAGGATAGCCATGAACCTCAGACTTGTCATACAGCTGTTGCTGCCAGCTTAGGATAGTTTTCAGATTCCTGGCCGTCTGATTCGTCGCCGTTTGTGGGTATCTGAGAAAATCGCGCTCTTCGATTCCCAGAGGACAATGGAAATTGAGCAGAATCATCTGTTGCCTGATTCGCTCTGAGGTGGTAGAGACAAGGAAGGCATCTGGTGACGAGATTCATTGTGAGTAGCTAATTTAGCTTGTTGCTGTCCCCAGACTGTGTTGTCACCTTATAAGATATGGTACCGACAGGGACGCGAAGGCTGCAACCGACGCATAGCTTGGAATCGTACTCATGCCGCCGAAAAGTCTCCACCAACGTTAGCTAATGTTTCATAAGTATTGACAGCCATGAACTCCAATCGTCGGCAACAAAGCGGCCTGACTTATGAAGTCTCATACCACGCCAACGGAGACTTCTCGGCGGCACTGTGTACTGTCATTCAGTTGGCAGTGTGCAGGGCGAGCTCGTCAGTTGATATTGCAGGATCTGGGAGGGTGGGCTCGTTTGATGATGGTGAAAGAGAGCCTTCCGTAGCTGAGCCTGATCCTGCACGATTCGGATTCTGCGCCTTACTGTTCGCTGCAGCTATGAGTTCCTCCCGTCTCTCTTTCGCCCAGTCCCTAGCGTTCCTCAAAGCAGCAACTCCTCGTCTAAATTGATCTGGATCCCCGGTCAAGGCCCAACCAGTTACATGTGTCATGAGATAATCAATCCTTTGTGAATCATCGGACAGAGCTGGATGGACACAATAGATCGAAAGGAGACCACCAGAATATGTTGAAGTGATTGTATACGCGTTGTTGTCAAGCAATGTCTTCGGACCGATGTATGACCGAAGCTGGTGTACCCCACGGGCACCCAGCGCACCTTCATATAATGCTTTCCGGTAGGCTGTGTCAAGAGCTCCTATTGTGCCTTTTCCCTCAGCGAAGAAATTGGCTAAGCATGGTGCAGCGGTGTTCGTTGCCGGGACGATGTAACCGCCTAGCTCTTCCCTGATGTGAATGCTTAGTTCCGCCGGACGGGCTCCATCGTAGAAGTCTGGCTGGGCCTTGGTGATAGTCCCATCGGTTAGAGCTTTGAGATTTGTGAATGGGAGGTCCTGTGCGTTAGGGATGGGAGCGGAGCCAGCGAGAGTCGGAAATACAGTACTCATCACCATACCTTTATTCAAAGCCAGCCGATTCTTCTGTTGAAAGATCCGGAATTCCTCGCGAGAGAGGCTTGATGATGATAGAGATAATCGAGGCTGGGCCAGTCGATTGCTGATTTCTTCCCAATTGGCTGGATCTCTTCCTCCATCATATCCGTCAGGATAGACACCATGATCGATAAGATGCTGCTCGAAGTTTTTATCGTATGCAGAGGTTTTCTGTATCTGCGAGGCGGTATTCGAGGCGGTATTCAATTCTCTTTCGGAAATCGCCATATTCTCGGTCAAAACCTGCTGCCGGAGATTCTGGACAGGCGTTTTCTTCCTCTTTGAGGGGACATCCGGTTCGCTTCCAGACTTAGCTCGTTTCCCGGAGCTCGATTGATGTGAGACCATCGTTCGATTTTGGGGAGGTGCGGTTCTGGGTCCCAGGTACTGATATGCAGTCAGAAAGGTCCCTTGAAAAGGTTGGAAGGAATCCGACTTACAGCTCTGAGATCCTCAAGGCTCGGTCCACCGTATCTCGCGAAGCGCTTGAGCTGTGCAGAGTGGGTGTCTTCATTGCCAGTCCGGTCAGGCGGTACAGGAACAGCAAGCAGGACAGTCCTCCGATCAAATTCTCGAAGAGCGCGGCGGGTGAGCCACTGTTGTGACAGGTTGTCCCAAAGGGATGTAGGTGACGTGTCTTGTTGCTGATTGTCGAGCTTCTGTCTTGTCGTAGTGGGTGGCGGTGAAGGGTCAGTCCTAGGCTCTGATTCACTATGCTGCTGTCGCTGTCGATCGCGCGACATTGATATGTTCTGTGGAGGAATTAAACCTCAATCTTGTAAAAAATGACTGTTCTGGATGGATGATAGATAGCAAACGATCAGGGATATTGACGGAGCTGGAGATGCAGATAGCGTACTTCTCACATGAGCATATTTCGGGTCACGGCGGTTTATGTATTGATTGGCAATCACCACCATGCATGGTAGGAAACATGTTGGATTATAGGGCTTTGTGCGTGCATGGCACTGTGTGTGCGCATGTATGTTGCCCATGCTGTTTGTTTGCGGAACCTGTGCCTCTGTGTCTGTGCTAAGCAATCGACTGAAAATGTACCAGGGGGGTTTTCTTTCTCTCGCTCTAGTGCTTGACAAAGAAGGGGGAGTAAGCCTACATACAGTAGGTAGTTACTATAGTAGTAACTTAGACTTAGATAGTACAAGAGCCAAGCCCACTAAGCCCAATGCAGATTGCTGTTTGCAGGTTACAGGGCGCATGCACTTTACACCCACATTTCATGCATTAGGTTAGTATTACTTGGTAGTTATGCTTTTGTCCCCTTTGTTACGCTTTAGTATACTATGTCCTACTATGGCATGTACTGCTCTGGTCCATACGTAGTTGCACTGCCCTCCGAACAGCAATATCCAATGCGCGGAAAACCGACAACAGCTTTCAGGATCTTGCTGTTGGAAACAAGGAGATGATGATGTGAGCACTTCACTAAACTACGAGATAATGAAGAACTTGGTGAGTCGATCTTACCATACTACTTTCTCTATTGCGGCTTCCTTGTCACAAGCAACCCCCTTCGGCAAGACGTGGCCATATTGTACTAACGTCTCCCATCTACTTTAGGATTTACGGATAGCGGGCAGACATCAGCTGCAGAGGAGAATAGGGGGTGGTGGCTTTGGCGCTGTCTATATAGGTAAATTACATGCCCGGTGCTTCCTGATCGCAGCCGCTTCTCGAGACTCATGGTGTACAAGCAACCGACGTTGAGACCGGCGAAGATGTCGCCGTTAAACTTGAACACGTTTCTACCGATCCCAACTTCCTCGAACTTGAAGCTGGCCTCTATCGATCGCTTTCTGGTGGTGCCGGAATACCACACGTTCACGCGTATCACACCGAATGCGAATATGATGCCATGGTCTTTGATCTTCTAGGGCCGAGCTTGGAGGACCTTTTCAACTTTTGTGGCCGTCACTTCTCTCTCAAAACAGTGTTGATGCTCGCAGACCAGCTTCTTTATCGTCTCGGCTATCTTCATTCCAAGGCTATCATTCATCGCGACGTCAAACCGGAGAACTTTTTGATGGGGACGGGAAAGCAGGGCAATCGGGTTTATGTTACGGATTTGGGTCTTGCCACGGAACGCATTGCTGCCCAGGTGGACACGAAGGACCGTGAAGCCCAGAAATCGCAATTGATTGGCTCGGCCCGTTATGCCAGCGTCAACGGTCACTTAGGTATTGGTGAGTGCAGTGTCCTCGGTTTAATGTCCAAAGACTGATCACCATCCAAAGTGCAGCATCGCTGCGATGATTTGGAATCTCTAGGATATATGCTTCTCTACTTCCTCCGGGGCTCTCTTCCGTGGGACCATCTCAAGACTGCGGATTATACACAATTGAAAGAGTTGATCTTGGAAAGGAAGAGGACGATCGGGTTAGAGGATCTGTGCGAGGGCCTTCCTTGGGAATTTGCAGCTTATTTCCGTCACATTCGTTCCCTTGGCTTTGACGACAAGCCGAACTATTCGTACTTGCGCAAGATCTTCCGCAATCTTTTCGTGCGAGAGGGCTTCGCTCATGATTATGTGTTTGACTGGACAATTCTGAAATTTTTGATGGCTAACCAATGAAAGAAAGTCCTACAAGGCGCCGAGGCCTTTAACGAGGCAAACGTGTCCAACGGCCACATGACGGCGGGATAAGAGGGAAGACAAATATGGAATGCCTAACAGCAGTGATCGAAGACCACGTCCAGAACCGAAATTAGGTTTGCGGACTCTGGCCTTGGGGGCTTTCTGATTTATGCTGCCATTCGTGCCACTTATCGCCGCCAGCTTGCATCCGAGCTGTGTTACGAGGATAGTTCTACTTAAAAAAGGCTACTGGAGAAGGAGAGGAAGAGGGAGGGTGCTTACGGAACACTGTTACTACGCTGTGCCGGAGAGGAAGAACACGAATTTTCATCAAGTGAAAGAAGAATGCGCGCGTGCCAGAGGGCTCCCTCAGCGCGGTTACATAATGAGAAATACATGTCGATCTAAGCAACTACGAGCCGTCGCAGAGATAGTAATATGTGAGGCGAGGGTCCGTGGCCAGTCTTGGGGCACTCGCTGCCATCTCGACGACAGAATAATTGGCAGCTCTTGCACCTGATTCACCAAGAAGAAAATTCTACCAGCCTGTCCGTCAGTGCAATTGCCAAGATGACAACAAACCCATCAGAGTGGCCTGCACCTGAGGCGCCTCCGAGTCCGAACTTGGCTCCCTGGCGCCCAAAGTGACTCCTCAGCTACAGTCCTCTTCCAAGATCCTGGTATCCAAAGCCCCGTGAGGCCGGGCGCACCCCCAATGGACAGTTCTGCCATGGCACATGATGGAAGCCTGTGCACCATTTGCCTACGCCACCTGATCTTCTTGGTTCTCTTACGTGATTTGTCTCCAGGAGACTTCTTCCAGGGCTCATGTTTGTGCTGGGAAGGCGGTGTTAGACCATAAGGAACAGACCATATTAGGCCACCCAGGAATGGGTCAGGAGAGCTCGCTTAGGAGAGCCGGCGGGGCGTTGAAAAGAAAAGGTTTTGCGCGTTCAGGTCGCTACGGCGCGACAACTTCTCAATGGCGATGGAAAGTTTGCGGAAACATTCCAAAGACGACGGAGTCATTAGGATTCAATAGGTTATAAGGGATTCCTTCGGAGCTTAAACAAGGTTCTAAATTTTAATACTAAAAGTGATGAAGTGGATGAATGGATTCTATCTACCTTCAGAATCTATCTCTAGAAGGAGGAGAGGCTAACACTACTGCGCAGAGTGCGGTCACGTGATGCCAGGGATTTGGCTGTACACGGATGGCGCGTACAGCCAAGTCTAACAAAAAGAGCAGATAATAGTATTAGGGATTATAATATGGTACTTCTTAATTATATACTTTTCAAATTTTATTACAGTTTTATAAGTTAGATATAAGAGATTTAGTAGCCTTTTTATCTCTATCAACTATATTCTCTGACAAATGCAAAGCGAAAAGCCAGAGATAAACATCCCCCGGTAATCTGATTTCAGCTCCCGGCCAAAAAAATGGGGAGGAGGGAAAGCTATCCACCGCCGGCCCAGCCCGTTGATGCACAAGCTTTTCTTTTTCATGCCCGTGCACGGGATACGTGTAACAGCACTGAACGAGCTGTCTTGTAGTATTCGCCTACCAAATCGTGAATGAACCCTATGAATCAATCGTCTTGGTGATGATCATACTGCGATGCGTAACTCAATGTTTACTAGGCTAACCTGCCAATTCGCCGCCGGTATAGTACAGCAAGCCGGTTCTACTCCCCTCAGACACACAATACAAGACATGATGAAGAATATTTTTTCTATTAGTCTCGATAGCAGAGTGTATCGACTTTTTTTTTGGGCAAGTACGACGACGCTATAGGAAATCTGACTTTGGAAATTCATGCTTGAGCTTCCTGCTCACGGTTTTCGTTATCACCCTCAAAACAAAGACGCCAGTGATGGCAATCAACTCGGGACTTATAGAACCCAGGCTCCACGCTCAATAACCACTTAGAGGCGCTCGCAAACACAACCCAGCGCCGGTACAATTCAACCAACGCACCCTCAACCTCAGCTCTGGCTCTATTTTGCATCGTGAATACTGCTCATGTCCTTTCCATCTCCAACGCCCTTTTCCTTTTCCCCATTCGAAACCACAAACTCCTTTTTAGGCCTTTTGAAGTGAACCTTTAGCGGTTTCCAGGACTCCTCGTTATAATTTTCCTGCACCTTTTGACAAGTGTGTAGTCCCCAATCCGTCACGCCCATCATGAGGCACGACTCAAACATGAACGCCATCGATCCCTCACCGACCTTAGCGGGTTTCAATTCAGTAGTACTGGCCTTCTCAAAAGTCTGCATGTCAGGTCCATGCCCGGACATGGTGTTATGTAGTGATGCTCCGGCAGGTTGGAAGCCACCTTTTCCTCCACCTTTGGCATCATAGGTGCCTGAGATTAGCGACATGAACTCAGACATAGTATTGCGATGGTACCAGGGCGGGCGAAAGGTGTTTTCTGCCACTAGCCAGCGAGGTGGGAATATGACGAAGTCGGCAACCGCGGTGCCAGGGCCGTGCGCACGCGACGGTGCGGTAAGGACAGTGAAGATGCTGGGATCGGGGTGATCGTAAGAAATGCTGCCGATGGTGTTGAATCGACCAAGGTCATATTTGTACGGGTAGTAGAGTCCATGCCATGCCACAACGTCGAAAGGCGAATGGTTCTGCGTGGCAGAGAAGAGATTCCCACCAAACTTGCTGTAAATGGTATGCTCCGTGTCGTCGTAGTCCTCTTCGAAATGAGCAACGGGTACTTGAAAATCGCGATGATTGGCCAGACCGTTGGATCCAATTGGGCCTAATTCCGGAAGTTGAAAGTGGCCTTCGTACAGCTCAAGTATAAAACCCCTGACCGCTTCGTCATCGTGCAGGGTGATGCGGTATCGGATACCTCTGGGTATCACACAAATCTCATTCGGTCTCACCAACAGCCGCCCGAGCTCGGTCTGTATGTCAAGAGTCCCATGTTGGGGAACAATCAAGAAATCGCCATCGGCACTGTAGAAGGCAGTCTTCTCGGGCATTGACTTGCCAGCCGCGTAGACAAATATGCCAAGTCCGACTTTCATGGTCGGATCTCCTGCACCTCCAATCAAATGTAATGAATGTATCCATGACACTTGTGGATCCAGGTCAAAAGGGTCCCAACGTAGCTGGTTGGGTATGACGTGGAACTTCGAATGAAAGCTAGGTGTTGGTGTATCCAGCGCCGAGGTCGAACTGGGCGGTACGGTAGTAAAGGTCTGGTGAGAAGCAGAGGGAAGGATGCGGTAGAGCCAGGTTTGTTGGTTCTCAGTACGAGGTGCGGTGAATGAGGTCCCACTGAGTTTCTCGGTGTACAAGCCATGGCTATTTTGCTGAGGTGCGTTGGCAGCCACCGGTAGTGCTCCTTCAATGGCCTCAGTCCTGAGTGAGCAAGATGTCAGCCAGTTTTTCCTTCGTCCACAGGATATGAGGTTTCAATCTCACTGATGATATGAGCTGAAGCCATTCTGATATCTGTACTTGTCTGGAACGTCGAAGTGGGTTACAGGCATCGTCAATTCGCTGTGCTTCAAGTAGAGTTTCGACGTTGCGGTGAGTGAGGGGTCGTTTAGCGTAGTTCGTCTCCAAAATCTCTTTCTCCCTTCGTGCAGCGATTGTGTCGCGGATGCGGCTGACGTTCAGGATTGAGCCTTTTATATTATGCAAGCCGTCTGAAAATGAGTGGCCTCGATGCATCAGAAGAGCTGAGCTCCTCCTCTTGTCAGACATGTCAGATGGTTGGTGTTGGAGGATTGAAGGAGGAGATCGGCAAGGTTGTGGACTGGACAGAAGGACGGATCGTGAGATTGTGTGTGTGAAGGTTTGTGGGATGTGCCTCAACATTCCACTGCCGCTTTGGTACCCCGCATTATTAGTTATTAGGTTATTCGAGAACCAATTTGAAAAGAGGTACGGAGTACGGAGGATTACGACGTGTTGTCGAGAATGATGCCGGGGTATGGCTGATTGTATGCAGGAGAGCAAAATGCCGCGTCTGGGTATGTCGATCCGGTGATCTCTCCCACCCGCTAAGCGGGAAGTCTTTCCGCGACTTTTCTTGGTTTTTCCAGAACAATAGAACTCGAGTATGACAATGTTGGTCAAGGAGACAAATGTGTCTACTAAGGATGTGGTCGCAGATATATTTGGTAGGCAAAATGCGTGTTATTTTAAGGCAGCAAGGTACCACAGCGACTGCCATGGCCCCCTATCACGTGACTTAGCCTGAGGATGGCACGACCAGGAGAGGATTAGTGCATATGCTACTATTGGGCTACCCAAGGCGACCAACCATCACCATTTTTCATTACAATCAAATGATTTGGAGCACCTTTTCCTCGGACTCGTGCATCCCTCTCCCAAGGTCCTTCGCATCAATCTCAGACAGCCGCCCATGCTAATCTTCATCCATTCTAGTTGCCATGGCTATGTCCCGATGTAGAACTGATGTGGTGTGATGTGTGTGATGTGGCGTGATGCGGTACTTTGCTCAACGACCAAGCTTTAACTCTGCATAGAGCTTGTGAAACCCACATCGAAGGCGTCTAGCTGCATTATTGTGCATAATGTTTCATCCAATCAACCTGGCCCGGTCCACCTCCACCTATCAGCAACCTCACATCGCAATTCACGGGTCCCTTGGTTACACGACTCGCAGATGCAACGAGCAATGCCTAACGTTGTGTTTTACTTGTTCCTCCTCAGAGATCCTTGGTTCTTTCGTCACTCTCCTTCATCCATTGGTTCAGACTCTCCTGATTTCGCACTCCAAACCCAACCTTGAACTCCTTAGGTTCCGTGGTCAGGCTCGTAGGAATAGCATTGCACTCCAGGGCATCAAGGATTGGTGCTTCTCTTGGATTCTTACCCGGGACAATTTTGAAGGCTGTAAAGATCCTAAGGAACGCTGTATATAGCGCTCGATTCGCCAGATGTGTGCCAGCGCACATCCTCGAACCAGCTCCATAAGCATAATGGAGTGTTCCAGTGCCATCGGGATTGTCAAGATATCGCTCTGGTATGAACTGGGCTGGGTCCTTAAAATGCGTGACGTCATAATCTGCGGCCCAAGCGTTCATGTAGAAGGTGGTGCCAGCGGGGATCACAACATCGTGCCACTTAATGTCCTTGATGCTTGTCCGTGGGAGAGAAACTGGTATCACGGTCCAAAAGCGTAGTGTCTCTTTGACAAAAGCTGAGACGTACGGTACTTTCTCCTCAACCAGGCATTTCTCCCATGCCTCTCCATCATTGGGATACACATTCATAATCTCCTGGTATGCCCGCTCCTGAATTTCTTGCCCGTGCGGAGAAGATAGGTAGGCCAATGCCATAATCAAATTTCCAGGGACAGTGTCAATTCCGGCGCTGACCATGGTTAAGCAGATGGACTTGATTTCTACGTCGTTGAGCTTTGCCTCGGGGTCTTTTAAAATGTTGCCGGTAATGCACGGCTTGTCAGTGCCCTCCGCGATTCTCTGTTTGAGCATATCCAGCAGCTTCGTCATGTAGGCATCACGTCTTGCCCTATACTGGCCAGCAGACTTGTTCTGCTTGGAGATTAAAGGCAGACGCAACAGCGGGATATAGTCCTGCCAATTGTTCGACGTAGATCGGAAGTTGCTGACGACGCGCTCAACGTGGACAATCTCCCTGAGCAGCGCGTCGTCGATGGAACCGTCAATCCGAATGCCATAGTTGAGTGTCAGTGATGTGTTCAGAGCAAATCGATGGAAGTAACGCCTAAGGTCCAAATCCACCGAGCCTCCTTTCGAGTCATTTGCAATATCTCGGATGCTAACATTGCTTTCGAGGTCAATGATCGGCATGTATGATTGTACTGCAGGTCTGTTCAAAGCCGTGGCCGCGGCCTTCCGTCGCTGCTTGCAGGACTCGTCCCATGGAGACGTGCCAATGGTGAAACCTTGAGAACTCGATACCACGCTGTGGAAAGTATACAGTGTAGGCCGCGAGATCAAAGCCGACTGGTTTTTGATCCACAATTCTTTGACAGAGTCGAAGGTGTTGGCAAAGACAATACGCTGCGGAAACGTTAACCAAGATCGACAGTTGCTTCTGGACCACTTACCCTGTTGCCGAGTCTGACTTGGAAGACTGGGCCATACTTCTTCACCCAAGACCCAGCCACCTTTGCGTGATGGTCTCCTAATTGCAACAGGTTACCGAAAATTGGGATTCCAGGTATTTCGGGCAAGCCTTTGATCTTTGCTATATCTGTTCGATTGAGCCATCTCACCATGAAATAGGCCAACGCCAGAATGGCGAAAACTATCGTTTGAAAAGTCATTGCGGAGGTGAAAATGAGGATTAAGGCTTTTGAATAGTTCTAAACACAGGCGGATATTCCACACAAGCTTTCTTTCGGCCAGCTTCAGGCATTAGGTAGATGAGTGCTCAAGCTGGATAGGCTTCCACAATCATACATGAGAGTCAATCTCGAAGATTGTTACCTTGAGCACTGTCCGTTGTCATACGGCACAGACGAGCAGAGATGAGCTCACTCGCCTAATAGAAGGAGCTTTAAGTCATAGCAAGTAGAACTGTACAATCAACAGGACAGAGGACCATCTTGTGAGCGAGTATAGCTGTTGTCATCTTGCATCAATTCCGCACTGCGGAGAAGCGATATGATGGTACGGAATGTAACCGCAGTCCAGGGTCAAGGTCAGATCTGGGGTGGCACACGCTTACAGCCGGCATACCCACACTCTACTGTTGTGCTGCTAGCTTGAAGTATCTTTGATGTAACCGGTTTTGGTCAGACTATGGTCACCGAGCGTGGATTGGGGTGCTAAAGTAAGGATGTCAGATTGCTACGTAGAAGTGAAAGTGAAATTAGGTGTGAATTTGAGCTCTATGAGTGACTACGCTAGAATGAAACAGGCGATTGGATGGCCCTCCGGCCCGCTTTTGAGCCCTCCGGCCCCTATCTACAATGCCCTAAGAGCCCTTCCCAGGGTTGCAGCCGAAGCTTGCCTTCCACCGGGTTTTCTGGTTTACCCTTTGTATAATTGCCTGCTGCCCATGACTTGACTGATATAGTTGAGGGTACAGCCCATTCACGGGTCTTGCCTGAAAAGTTCAAAATGATAACAAATTGGTCTCCATCGTCTGCGGTTCTCAGGTATGCAAAGACATCTTCATCATCAGGATCGAGCTCTTCGTAGTCGCCGTAGACGAAGACCCTTTTGTTGTCTTTCCTTGCTTTCAGACCACGTTGCCAAAATTGCCAGACTGATAGCTCATTAGGATCATTGGCTTTCATCTGCGATTCAGCATTGATTGTAGGATAATCATCCATCACTCTCATCCAGGGCTTGTCATTTGGGTCACAGAAGCCAGCATTGGGAGACTCGCTGGTTCATTGCATGGGCGTTCGCGAGTTATCTCTGGCTTTCTTCTCTAAGATATCCCTTGCTTCGGCCATTTTCTTTGGGTCATCTCCATATTTCTGCAGTGATTTCTTCCAGAAATTGATGCTCTCAATGTCCTTGTACTCTTCGATATCCCACTCTTTAGGCACGTTACGCATTCCTATCTCTTCGCCTTGATACACGAAAAGTGTCCCAGACAACGTGGTCTGCATAAGTGCCAGTAGCTTAGCGCCCTTGTCTCGATACCTGTCACTATCATCCGTAAACCTCGAGACACTCCGTGGGTTATCATGGTTCTCGATGAAAACGGTGTTCCAGCCATCACGTTCGATCATGGCACGTTGATATTTGGTAATGATTGACTTCATCCTCTTGACATCCCATGGATGCAGAGCCATTCGAACAGCGCCAGGCACAAAATCCATATCGACCAGGTCGAAGATGAACTGGTGAGATCGAGGATAAGCATACGGCATAAGTCTTTTCAATCGGCAGGAAGCATACCTGAGTGTTCAATTCTCCGGCATTAGCTTCCACACAGCGGAGGATCTCGTCAAGGTCAGAGACGCCTGGTGATTCGCCAACTGTTCATACATTGTGTCAGCAGCTTCTGCATTTGTTCTTTGCAGGGTTTTGCATACCTGTATAGCAATCGTATTTGCTTAGGACCTCACGATTCATCTCCTGCATGTACTCGTGGAACCTCGGCCCATTGACGAAGAACTTGTTTCCTGGATGAAATTCATGGTCATCTCCCAGCGTCTTTTCAGCATCTGGATACGTGGTGACCTTGCTGATCAGGTTGATCACATCCATCCTGAAGCCGGATGCTCCCTTCTTCAGCCAGAAATGCATCACATCGTACACAGCTTGTCGGACCTCGGGATTCTCCCAGTTGAGGTCTGGCTGCTCCGGAGTGAAGAGACCAAGATAATACTCTCCCGTAATCTCATCATAATTCCATGCACTGCTGGCTTCACCCAGGATCTGCGACCAGTTATTTGGGGGCTGTGGAGTACCATCCTTGCCGACCATCTTCGGCTTCTTCCAAATATACCAATCTCGCTTGGAGTTTTTCAACGATGATCTCGACTCTCGAAACCATGCGTGCTGGTCACTGGTATGATTGACTACCAGATCCATGAGCATCCTAGGACGCGGATATGAGTTTTGGTATATTTAGCCAAGACAACATCTCTTACCTCATATGACGCTTTTTCAATTCGGCAAGTAGATTGTCCACGTCCTCCATGGTACCGTATGAGGGGTCTATACCCTTAAAGTCGGAAATGTCGTAACCCATATCAACTCGTGGAGATTTTAAGAATGGGGAGCTCCAGAGTGTATCCGCACCAAGCTCCCTGAGATAATCTAGTCTTCTCGTGATTCCTTTGATGTCACCCCAGCCATCGCCATTGCTGTCTTGAAATGAAGATGGGTAGATTTGATATATCGTCTGCTCCTTCCACCACTCGTGTCTGTCGAGTCCGAAGGGCGCCATACCCTATCTCACCAATCAAAAGCTTTCGTATATAAAAACTGGGAGGAAAATCTTGAGAGAAGCTCAACAGAATCAAGGGGGCACGATTCAGGTTGACACGGGACAACGAGACTTTGGGGGTGAATACTTTGAAGGGCTTTAGAAAACAAGTTTCAAGGAGGATGCAGCCATAAGTTAGAGATGAAGATCAGGGCAGAACATGATTTAATCGCTTTTCACTTATCTCGTCTCACGTAGATTTCGAGCAAGACAATGATTCAACTTCTCGACTTTCAATTCAGCGAGCAATAGTCCGTCAGACCGTGAAAGAAGAATAGTTAGAGCTCCTGATCGTCATCGCCAAGTCACCTTTGAGCCTTCGATTGTACCTCGAGTAGTTACCTGACGAACCCAAGGGATCGGGCCGATTCCTTGATAAGGGTTTGCCGGTTAGGGTTTCGCGGGGCAAACATGAGCCAAAGAAATTTACATCAGCTTGAGGACTTCAAAATTTTCCTAATGGTTTAGAGACCGGAAAGCACCTTTAGCAGGATAAAGGCAGTAAAGTGAGCTATCATCTCCGAAGCAAGAATAGCAAAGTCACATTTTCGGGCTAAACAAACTCAAAGGTGATAGGCGGCAATACGAGGAGGGTCCGGAGCGGTAGTCATAGCGCGGACGGACTGCGGTCGTACTACCACAACTCGGGACCCGAGGATTGGCCCGGCCTGACCTCGAAGGAACAGCTCCTCTTAAAGTGGATAGAGCACGTCTAAATCTCAGTTTCTCTGGATTTGATGTCTTGCTGTAATCCCACAAAGCATCATGGCTTCCCAGAGTTGGTTTCCCATACCCAAATCCTCTCATTTCTCGCTTGCGAACATACCTTTTGGAATCATTAGCACCGCTACGAATGAGGTATCTCGCGTTGCTGTTGCAATAGGCGATCATGCTCTAGATTTAGCAGCGCTCAGCCACCAAAACGGCTTTTCTACAGTACCAAGCATACAGAAGGATCAGACAGTCTTTGCGCATCATACATTGAATGCATTTGCCGCACTGGGCCGTCCTGTACATCGCGAAGTCCGTAGGTTTATTCAGGACCTGCTTCGGATTGATACACCTTTCCCTGAAATCCTGAAAAACAACAAGCAACTCCAGGCAGAATGTCTGATACCGCTAAACGAAGTGAAGATGCACCTTCCAATGCAGATTGGTGACTATACAGACTTTTTCGTTGGCAAAAATCACGCCTATAACTGTGGCGTGATGTTTCGCGGTCCAGACAATGCACTGCAGCCCAACTACACTCACCTGCCCGTGGGCTACCATGGTCGAGCCTCGTCAATTGTCGTCTCGGGCACCCCCATTCATAGACCCAAAGGACAGATATTGGCAAATCCGAATGCCGAACCGAAGGTTCCCACGTTCAGTCCATCCAAGAGACTTGACTTTGAACTTGAGCTTGGCGCATTTGTCTGTAGAGAGAACAAGATGGGCGAGCCAATTCCAATCTCCGAAGCTGGAAACAGTATTTTCGGGTTGGTCCTCATGAACGATTGGTCTGCACGGGATATCCAGATGTGGGAATCTGCTCCATTGGGACCTTTTAACGCCAAAAATTTCGGCACAAGCATAAGTCCATGGGTGGTGTTGATGGATGCATTGGAACCGTTCAGGACGCTAAGCATTCAGAACGATAACGAACTTTTGCCGTATTTGCGGGAAGAGAAGAATAATGTCTTCGACATTCGCCTCGAAGTTGACCTTGCTCGTAAGTAACTTGCCAAATCCGGTTTTATGAAGCTGAAAAAACTGGTATAGCTGAATCTGGACCCGCAACCACAATCTTACACTCCAATGGAAAGAACCTGCTTTTTTCATTTTCACAGATGCTTGCGCATCATTCGGTAGGCGGTTGTCCAATGCGTGTAGGCGACTTGCTGGGTTCTGGTACTATTAGCGGCACTGAAGACGGTTCACAAGGGTGTTTATTGGAGCGCAGCAAAAATGGCAAGGACATCATAAAGCTTTCAGGAGGCCTAGACCGAACATTCTTGGAAGATGGCGATACTGTAACACTGAGGGGAATTTGTGGCACTGAAGAGGATGGTCTGGTCGGATTTGGACAATGCGTAGGGAGGGTCCTCCCCACAATGCCGTCATGAAAGAGGGATAAAAGGCGATCAAGGAAATCAACAGGCAGATTATGATCATTGGCGTTCTTGGTTTGGACAGCTCGGTTCTTAATTGTTGCCGGTATAAACCATCAGCAGTGCAATCACATGTAAATGTCCTCGAAGGTATGACATATATGTTGGGTAGTGGACACAGAAATTGTCTAACATGACTGACTTGTCACCTGCCAGGCTGGTTAGCATGGACCTCTGAATGTATTGCTCCTGATAGATATTTCGTCCAGCTATTCGCCTAGTCATTTCTACTGTAATTGTCTGTTAGCCACATTCACCAGATCAATGTTGGCAAACATTAGGCAGACAGCCAACAACCCCAGGTTCCTTCCAACAGGGCAAACAGGCTTCCAAGATCTGCGGACCAGAAATCGGCAGGACACGAGAGTGTAACAACCGTGAAAAATGCGGCTATCCGGCATATATCGTGCGACTGCGGCACGATGCGCGCTGACAGATAACCTCAGACTTGCTCACTATATGTAGCTCAAAGGTAATGATTGGTGCTTTAACATATTCAAGCTAGAGAGCAACGATATCAGTCCTCGTATCGTATGTATCCAACGAACCTTATCGCCTTCTCTTCAGTAAAGTTGGGACATAAAATGGAGGCGGAATGACATTGCTGTTGGGAGATATTGTAACGCACGCAAGATGTAAACGCAAAGTACTGGTTGACATGGGAGGTTAGCTTCAGCCCGTCTTCGTTGGATACATGTCTTCCCTTCTTACAAGCATCAGATACGGCAATTGCATGCAGGACAATTCTGATACGGGCCGCAGCATTTAGCCAGGCAATTCCATCAATCGCAACGAGCGAAAGGGAAGTGAAATGCAAATTATCGCAATGGAGAGACGCTTCCTATCGTCATTTGCCCACCTAGAACTGCGCTGGTACCGCACTGGATGAAGTAGAAATATTGACTTTGCCGGATAGCTAGATGGAACATGCCCTGCTGTGTAGCACGGTTGTATGCATGACAGAATCTGTGGTAGACGAATGCCAACCAACTACGATCCGAGGTGGACATTGAGCGAATAGTCGATGCAACAGTCAAGGAGCTGCTCAACGTTCTTTGGAGTTACCAAGGGACTCTCCCCGTAGTCGACTGAGAGACAACTCTCTGAGGGGGACAGTCTCTCGTGGTTGGCCGGTACGGAGGAAGTTAGAAGCATATAAAGATGGTGGGGTAACTTTAATTACATAGTTAGGTGGGCTCTCGGGGTTTTGTTCGGTGTTTCAATCCTTCCACGCTCCTCCAAAATCCAAAGACCAGCCGCCGCCTCGGTACCCAGCGCCATGATTCGCTCGGTTCTAAACCTGATGTGCTTCTCTGAGTTCCATATGCTGTATCTCAGATACTTGGGGTGCACCCGGAACTCTCTTGTGGAGGTTTGGCCATCGTCTTGGTGCAGCCTGGATCAGAATGCGTTGTTCGTCATGCCGACTGGTCTCACAGCACTGCTCCATTGAGCAGAGGTACCATGCAATGCAGGGAAATATAGCTTTGTCAGGAAGTACTTTTGTGGCTTGGGACACCCAATTCTATGTCCTCAGGGTGGGCCGGACATGAAGTACAGTGACTGCAGTTCTACTTGAAAGAACTGCTTGAGGTGCCCACAAAACACAAGTGAGAGCCTACTACAGCGGTAGCGGCCCAGCTCTGAACCACATGTCTTGTTTTCTTCCCATGATCTGCCTTTGTATCTTGCTATGGTGGCACCACTTTTTAACAGAGCTGTGCAACTCCATCGTTCCTTCCTCACATCTCTCATCTCGGCATCCTCTTCCGAGGAGGCAAAAACCTTCATCTTCTACGTCGCTCTTCAATTTCAAGCAACGATTAACAAACATAAAGACAACGCCGCTGGCCCCTCTCAAGCTCCTGAGCACTGATGGTCATGGCCTCCGATTCTTCTGAAAAGGTATTGCTACCGGATGGTCTTCCGTTGAGGGATCGACCTTCCAGCTCGTCGAGTTCCCTCGAGCCTATCGATCCTTCGTCAGAGCGAAGACTGTTGTGGAAGGTGGATCGGCATCTGGTCCCCATTTTATTCGCGCTTTTGTAAGCGTCATCGTCGAGCCTCAAATTGACTGAGAAACTGACCTCTTCCTTTCAGCCTCGCAGCTTTTCTCGAGTACAACGAATTAGTACCGGTACATGGACACATTTTGCTGACATTGCCAGTCGCATCAATATCGGGAATGCAAGGCTGCAAGGCTTGGAGAACGACCTTGGCATGGATAAGGATGGACCCAAATTCAATATTGCTTTGTTTATGTTTTTCATCCCCTACATCCTCCTCGAGGTGCCGAGCAACATCATTCTGAAGAAGATACGCCCGTCCCTCTGGTTGAGCTCGATCATGCTTGGATGGGGTGCGTGAGATGCAACGTTAGTAACCTCAAAGTAGCTAACTGCTTGTCAGGCGTTATCACTATCTGTCAAGGTTTCACTCAATCGTTCGCTGGATTGGTGATCTGCCGCGTTCTACTCGGGGTCTTCGAGGCAGGATTCGTTCCTGGTGTGTGTGTGTCCAGACTCTATTCACCACAACTAACGAGTAATAGGTGCCATCTACCTCCTTTCGACGTACTACAAGCGCCACGAGTTGCAGCTTCGAGTCAGCGTATTCTTCTCGGCCAGCATCTTGGCTGGGGCATTTAGCGGTGTCAGTAGTCACTCCAAATCAGCGGTCATTCTAACAGAGTTACGCACAGCTGCTAGCATACGCAATTGCAAAAATGTCCGGCGTTGGGGGCTATGCAGGATGGCGTTGGATTTTCATCGTTGAGGGCTCAGCGACGGTCGTGCTGGCAGCAGCTTCATACTGGCTTGTTCCAGACTGGCCGGAGACTGCCAAATTCCTTCGTCCCCATGAACGCGAGACGCTCATTCGCCGTCTTGCGGAAGATGCAGGGGCCGCTAAGATGAACAAATGGAGCAAGGGTACATCAAGACGAATCTTTGGTGATGTCAAAATCTGGCTGGGGTAAGCGCTTGACTATGCTCAGCTGCTTACTGCGATTGACATGGATGACAGTGCGTTCATGTACCTCGGCATTGTGAACACCGGCTATGGTGGCTCATTCTTCATACCTACCATCCTAAATCAGCTTGGCCCTGCCTGGACGCCAGTACGGTCTCAAGTCATGAGTATCCCAATCTACATCGTGGCGGCTGTTCTGGCACTCGCCACCGCTTTCTTGACCGACCGACTGAAGCATCGCTTCGCCTTCATCATAGTTGGATGTTGTGTTGCAACCATTGGGTATGCCATTCTGTTGAGCATGACACATGTTTCTGTTGGTGTCCGTTATGCTGCACTATTTCTGGTCACAGGAGGTGGTGAGTCTGCATACATTTTCTCCAGGCTTTTCTGTTTTCACTAAAACGTTGGTCTAGGATACATTGCCCAGCCTATTACCCTCGTATGGCTCAACAATAACATGGGTGGCCACCTCAAGAAAGGTGTATCGAGTGCAATGCAGATTGGGCTAGGCAATTGCGGAGGCATCATTGCAAGCAACATCTACTTACCGAAGCAAAAGCCCCGTTACCCGGTTGGCTTTGGTGTCAGCCTCGGTCTTGTGGGGTTGTGCGCTTTATCAGCTATTGCGTTCTTTGTGCTCATCAGGATTGAGAATAAGAGGAGGAACGGAGGCCAGCGTGATCATCGGCTTGATGCTTCCCCAGAAGAGCTGGAAAATCTAGGTGATGACCACCCAAGCTTCAGATTTACTTATTGAGCTTGCTTTCCGTTACGGCTCTGAAGCATTTTGGCTTGAACGAGCAATGCGCTGTGAAGCGCTATGAAGCTCTTAGGATCAACCGATGACACGAGATATGTCTGTGTCTTGATTATGCGTGCACTATGCTGCATAACGGATCGAGGTGATGAGGATAACCTGAGTTGTTGAGGATGTAATTGCAAGAGATGAGATGCACTGTATTGTCCTCGATGTTATCTGGCTTAGAAGGTGAAGATATCGTAATTGTACTTGTCTTCCATGCTTTTGATGATTCTGTTCCTGCGGCTTGTTAGAAGTAGTAGCAAACAGCGTACAGAGGTGCCAATTCGCTTAATTAAGTTGCTCCTATCAAGAGGAGCATTTGCTCATACTAATAGCTATAGAAGCGCATTACTGTAACAGCTCAGAAACAGCATTTGGCGTTCAATTCGTATAGCAATGCTCACTGCCATAAATAACAGGGTGTAACAGTTACAAGAGCGTTTCGTGCGTTTTGCATGCGGGGACCCTTGTACCATCATGCTAATACGTAACAGATACGTATCATATACACAGGGATTCTGACACGGCTATCACGATACTGTAGTAACAAACTGTGAAGGAGTGACTGGCGATCACCTTACCAGGAATGTGCCAGAAGTCGTGGGCCCTGGGTCCAGGTTTTTTATTACAATATGTGACATTTGCGAGCGAGCGATGCCGGTCGAAGCAGCTTGCCAAGCATCGTCGGTCTCAACTTTTCTGGTCTCGATTCGAAAAACTTTTTTCTGATCTGTATGCAGTCCTCCACCGAACACGCCACTATACGAGCAAACACTGCAGTCCCAGAAAGAATTACACACAGTTCTACTGTGGCGCGCTACGAGTCACAACTTCCATAATGCATTATCAGAGCTGTCAGCGAACGTCAAGAAGGAGGCTGAAATTGGATGGCTGGCATGTCGCAGAGACAGGAATTGCAGAATGCACATTCTACCAAATTCCTGAATTATGGCCATCTTGGCACGGTTACATATGATGAAGAAGACAAAAGCTGGGAAACTTTACGCATCATTGATCCCATTGTTGCGACTGTTCATACAGATGCGAAAAAGCATGGTTCCACTGCTTTTCCATTACGCCGCTTGTCGAGCAAGGTGGTATATGCTGGACGGGTTGTATCTCAGCATGGCTTCCAAGCTGAGAGCAACGACGACAACCTCGACCACATTAATGAGTCCAGCTCGGCACCGACCAGAGAATCTCAACCCGATGCCAGGACAGAGGAGAAATCTAGGATCATCAAGGGTGCTCAGAGTGATTGTACTACGTTTGCTGAGAATCAGTCACCAAACCTTTCGACCTTGCTTGCCTTTGGGAGTGCTATCTCAGCGAAAGCGGACGTAGTTCGTTCTGAATACGTTCATGTTCCGATTGCGGCATCTGTCTCCGGTAGTAACGCTCAAAATGTCCGACTGGTAAGAATCGGAAGGGAGGTTACAAAAGATCCTGATGTTGGTGGAGATGCTATCTTACACCTTCCATCTATCTCCAACGAAGGAAAGGCATGCTGGATAAGCAACGGTGGACCAATTCAGCAAGTACGCTTCGCTGCAGCCAATGGATACGCAAGCACATGGATGGCAGCTAGACTACAAAGCTCTACCACAATTTTTCATCCCCTCCTACACCGAATACCAGTCGCGCCGAGACGTGAGCCGTTTCAAGTTCCTCTTCAGGCGCTACAGTCTTCCGTGCTTGATGCTAACCCGATCGCTACCATTCCACTCTCGCGCACCGGTGGCCACCCTCATGCTGATTTTGATTTCCACCCACAAGACCATCGAAAGTTTGCCTTGATAGACGAGCATGGGAATTGGAGTGTGTGGCTTGTCGATGGGGAGTATCAAGAAAGTACCCGGTCCCGGTTCTGGGTCACCCTAATGTGCTTTGGAAAGATATGGAGTTGGGACCATGAGAAGAGGGTAAGAGTATCACTACCCTATCACGATGGCTGGCACCGGATTCTGTGGTGTGTTCACTCAGAGACTCCAGCTGATAAGCTTTTCATCTGTAATCGCCGGACTGCCGCTCGGTACACAACTTGGGGGGATTTAATTGGCTTGGAACATCTTCGTCTTGGACATTCTCGTGAGAATCAGTACATTCTTGACGTGCAAGTGAGCAGTTTCGTTCCCGGCTATTGCTTCGTGCTCACATCGACTCAACTGTTTTGGCTCTGTTTTACAGAGACACAGGACGTAAAGGTTGGGAAAGAGAGAGCTACACCGCACGTTTTGCTCGCGTGGCAGCATTTTCGAGATCGTGGAGACAGAACGCTTCACTTGGTGTTGTTGGAAGCAGGATTGAGTATGCTTGAAGCCAAAATTCACACATTACGTATGCTAATCATTAAAAGGCACCCTTGTACTCATAGTATCCCGACTCAACAATCTGGTCCTGGTGTTCCGAGTCGGTTTTGCCGATGGTCATAATGATCATCCAGTTTCGCTGGCTGATCCGCTTTCGATCTTTCTACCCGGGCCTCATTACAGCTTTGAATCTGTGGGTTGCCCCATTTCACAGTTGTTTCGTTCAATAGAATGCAATCGAGAAGTCCAAGGTAGCATCGAAACAGCGAGCCCACTCCTGTTCAAGCTCTTCTCCTTGTATGAAGATTTCACTATTGCCGAACAACTCTATGCGAGCACCGAGCCCAGCTTTGGACTCACTGCAGGAGCTGCTCCGTTGCCTCTCTTGCATCTGCCTATCCAAGTATCTCTGGGCAATCTGAAATCGACATCTCGCCGTCGAAGAGGCTTCCGAGACTTCGTCGTACCTGATGATTGGGTGGAATCGAACGTCTCTTTGACAGTAGCTGAGGGTGACGCACAATTCAAGGATCCAAGGCGAAACAGGCTCCGAACACGGGTGCAGCCCGGAGTTAATTGGAAAGATGTTTATGGTCAACTGACTGACGAAGGCAGCAACGCAGCTTCGAAAGCTAGGATAAGCGTGGGCACTCTTCTGTCACGATTCAATGACCGCTCGGAGAAATTCAACCTACCTGAAATACCCCTCTTGTCTGAGATGCTATCCTGCAAGCTACACATTACAGATGTCGATGAGGACTCAGAGCAACTCGACGAATTGGTCGCCACATTCATTCTGCAGCAAAATCGTCAGCAGAGGCTTCAACGATTTCCAATAATCACTTCTGAGGCCCAAGCGATCAACCGTCTTGCCTCAATTTATGATGCTATCGTCGCAACTCATTTGACCCCACTCGCGCCTCAGACACCGGACCGCATCAGAGTGAACAAAGAACGTCTAGCTCGCAGAGTGGCTGCCGATTTACTCCTCGCAAGCACCGCCTTCTATCCAGATATCGCTGCTCCGACCCCACTTGTCACCCACAATACCGTTGCTGAGCGAGAAACCTCCCAAGTAATGCCCTCCTCCTCAAGCGCGCCATCCGTCTTGACACCCGCCTCTCCTCCAACCATCCCCACCGCAACCACATCAACCGCCTCAACAGAAGAAGATCACCCAGTTCTCACCCGCCTCCGCAAATACACCGCCATCTCCACCGCTTCTCCGCTCGTCTCAACTAGCATTTCCTCCCTTAACAACTCCACCCTCTCCTCCATCCTCCGCCACCTCCCCACCTCCGCACATACCAATCCAGAAACCTACAACTACCGTGCCACAGAACGCAACCTCGCCGCCGAGGCAGAAGAAGAACTCGCCCTTGCTGCCGGGCAAGCGGATCCACAGGCGAGGCGGAGAGCTGAGAAGGCGAAGTTGGCGAGGCTGAGGAAGGAGGAAATCCGAAGGAAGAGAGCGGCAGACGAGCAGATGAAGTCGAGCCAGAGTAGGGGGCCGCCAAGGGTCATGAGCACCCAGGTGGGAGGGCTGGAAGGTGTGCGAGAGGTGCAGAGTAGCCAGGCCGGAGTGGCCAGTTGGGATACCCCTAGGGATGGTGGGTCGAGTCAGGGACGGGGATATGCATTTGGGCTCAGCCAGGAAATGCCCATGACGCAGCCCGAGAGGGGCGTGTTTGGCATGAGACCCGGCATGCCGGGTTTTGCGGCTGGCAAGAAAATGGATAAGGGGAAGAAACGAGCTGCTGGCTTTTGAGTTGGATTGGGGGGATGATAGACATGCGGACTGTGATATACAGCTGTCGGATTGCACTGAATATGCTGTTTGTATCTTATCTCTGGCTTGGCTACGGTGTCCTCTACGACCTGGGAGGTTGCATCTCCCTCTGAATAGTGATCCGTTCAGGCCAATTAAAAACATGTCCCTCTCTGTTCCTATTTCCGCTTACGTCCACGTATACTTTAGTAGAACCAATGATCTATGTCATCATTTCTGTCTTGATCAATTGAATAAATCGCTTTTCCGCATCTTCAGGCGGTGGTCTGTACCGTCTCCCAACGGGGGCTGCTTGGCCTGTCTATCCCAGCTCTCTGAATCGTTAGGTCGCTTTCTACGGGTTCCCGGTTGACGGATGGAAAGAGTACTGAGGAGAGGCGATGAAAAGCGGACACTTGGGGCCCCGAGAGCGAATGAGAAGCCAGATTGTACTTGGGGTGATTGCTGTTTCGCACCGCGGTCTTGGAACGAGGCAGCAAAGAAAAGGTGATTTATCGTTAAAGAGACATTGTCAATGCCTTGTATTTTGTAGGCTTTGAGGAGATGATCAGAATTTCGGATCGGTAGCAGAGACAGGGGAGGGGGAAAAGAAGGATCGTGAAGATTTTTCGTGCTGGAGCACGAACCACCATTTTCCTGTCGCTCTACGCAGTAATCTTGCTTTGGGAAGTGATTGGCATGAGACGAATCGGTATTGGTAGATAGTGATCCACGGGTGAGATTGTCTTGGATGGAGTTGATGCTCAAACGTTTCGTGGGACGCCAGTGCTGGTGAGAAAGCTTCTTCGCAGGCTGCGGATTCTGGCAAAGCTCGCAACAATGGCCTGAGAGCTGGACCTCTCCTGCTACATCGATGACGGTGTTTTGGTTGTGTCAACGGTCAGACAGCGTCGCTTCAAGGTTCATGTCAGCTATTTTGGGATCAACGAGTCCTTAAGAGATCCGTCTTACAGGAAACAGCACCCGCTGCATGTGCCTCTATTCCTCATCAAATTCGTTTGCGCTAGCCAGCGGTTCTTGGCGACAGATGGCATACGGTCCATGATTGGGTACGCCCCAGTAGATGAGGTTGTTTAACGTAGAATTTTGCTCCTGGACTTGAGCATTACGGGTACCTCCAAACCATCGGTTTCTTTATTCTTCCGTAATGGAACAGGTGGGGGAACGGTGAATTGTCTGTCATAAACCCCCAGCCAGGTTTTCCTGAGCTCCTCCGTGATGGGTGCGTATGTGGTGGAGTTCTTCCATTGTTGCTCCAACCACGCCTGCCAGTCCCAATCCACCCATCCCAGCAGTTGCCAGTCGATATGTATTTCGGTACGCCTATCCCAGCGCAGAATTGGGGAGATGGGTCTGCCTTGGTCATCTGCGCAGCGCTTTCCATGCAAGATGTCCGATCTGCCAAAATCGAGGACGACCACCGAGAAGTCGGAAGAGCGCTTCAGCTCGCCGGTAGTGACGGCGGCGAGGCCCGCTCGACCGCCCAGGTAACCCCTTAGGATAATATTTCGAGGGAAGAGATCCCTGTGATTCAAGCCGCCAGCGGAGAGAGCGCTTTCCGCATTCACAATACTGGCCATAATGCATTTTCGCCCATCCTGCGGCAGGGGCGGAATCTGAGTCGGATCCACTTTGCTAAGGCACGTACCCTCGATGTACTCCATCAGTATCAACCGCACAGTGCGAGTCTTGCCCGCTAAAGGGGTTGATATCTCGCATGTGTACGAGCCGTAGTATCGAGGGAAGAAGCACGAAATATGTGGGTGCCTGGCCGCGAACCGGGTCAGGGCTTCATATGCCGCTGTCTCGTGAGCGTAGCTGTAATCTGCGGTTCGGAAGGGATCAGCAAAGATGTCGTTTTCACGAGTCGGAGTAGCGGCATAGAGAGGATCGTAAAACTTGGCGATCATATCACCGCCGGAGCCGCACAGTATGATTTGAGCCGCCTGGTTGTCGTGGACTGAGATTGGTTTGAGGATTCTGAGGAGCGACAAAGAAGATGATGGGACGCTCTCGTACTCGGAGTCGGAGCCTGCGGGGGTTGCTGGACCTGGGAGAGGGGGATGGAGAAAGCAGCGTTCCAGGAGGCTCATGCGCTGTTGTTCCTTCATGTCTGTCGGATTCGCTATACAAGATGATCCGCGTGTCGGCTGGGGGGGTTCGTGACGTCGGACCTCGAACGTTGCACCTTCAACGTATGGAATGCTGGGCTTTGACATTGGGTCGAAGCAGGCTGAGATAGTGCAGGATACGAATTGCTGGGTGGGAGATTGCCAGAACTTTTGAGCTTGAGAGTGAGCCATGGCAATGAAAAGCAGCATCAAAGTAGGATGAAGGCACATTGAACTACCATGGTACATCCTTCTGCTTGGTCCTGTAAGCTAGCCTCATAGGGTCAGTGGTGTATTTGCAGGGTAAGGTGTTGATGATGGACAGAGAAGAGTGATACGTGGTCTTTCATAGTCAAACGCACTGGGACATCAAAAGCACCATGAAAGAGTAAAGCTAGTCGAAGGGTACTCCCGTAGTCCTTGACGGGCGATCTCTTGCCTTGTGGTCTCTGCTTCACCTACAATACTTATCTTTGCATGTTCAATGCATCAAACCATAAGGATGTATGATAGCTGCCAAATTGTCGTGCATACAAAAGATTTAACAACGATTTGCGAGATCAAAGAGCCACTTGGTGGGCATCAAGATTCGTTAAATTAGTATATTCTTTAGATGACATACCAGATTGAGCATCATCTGCTCAGTTGAACAGATGTATGGTTCCGTTGCCCGCGCTGACATCTCGTGGAGCTACACTGACAGTTACGAGAAAACCCATTTCGCGTCCTGGAACTCAAAATCAGGTACGCCTTGAACTGAGATGACTTCGTTCCCGGCCGGGTAGACCTGGAGACGCCTGGAAGGACGCCAGCACAGCTAATCCATGAAGCATATGACCAAGTCCTGGTAGAGAGTAGTTGGCTTGGTAGGAATGCGTGCATTGTATCGAAGCAAACAAGGAGGTCCACGGGTTGTTGCGACATTGCTGTTTTCGACTGAAAGTCCATGTTTGTCTTCGATTTCAACAATTTCGACGAAGTGTTAGGCACGCCAAGCACGCCAAGCGCGTCATAAGCGCGTCCCCTGCGCATGGTACTATGAGGGCCAGGAGGACTGGTGGACGGTGCATCATTCTACACATCTTCTTCATTGTTCTGCGCATCAAAGCACTCAAGAGGATCCTACTGCTTACGTCTTTTTCTTGTACATAGATTCTAGTTCTTCGCGCTTAATAAGTCGATCTATTGACCCTTTACTGTTCTATTGCCCCTGCACTCCCTTAGGATCCTAACATAAAGGCGCAGATCAGCTTACAGGAGGAATTGTTATGACCGCCGAGCCCTGCGCACGGTATGAGGGCCAGGAGGACTCTGGTGGATTATTCTCTTGTTTGGCACCTGCTGAGAAGGTTCTACGTTCTTCTATAGCACAAAGGCCTCTTGGTATTTAGATCTCTCTTCTCTGTAGATAGATTCTAGTTTCTTGCGCTTAATAAGTCATTCCACTGACACCTTGCTGTTCTATTGCCCTTGCACTCCCCTAGGATCCTAATAAAACTATATTCCTGGTAGGATCCCAGGGGAGTGCAAGGGCAATAGAACAGTAGGGGGTTGATGAGTTACCTTATTGAGCGCAAAGAACTAGAATCTATGTACAAGAAGAAGGATATAAGTAATAGAAGAGCCCTTTGAGCCCTTCAATGCGCCGAATAACGTAGAAGATGCACAGAATAACGCAGAATCTACCACAGTCCTCCTGGCCCTCATAACATACCCAAGCCGCGGTGCCATGTTGCCAGTGGTACCAGACATTCCGCATGCTTCAGAGCCTTGCGACAGCACCAGATCCCATAGCAGAACTGACACGGATTGTCTTGGCGCATGGCCCAAATCTCATAGGGTAATATCTACTCCGTATATACCTGCCTGTTAGGAAAGTCACTGTCAGGGAGTGCTCCATAACCCTTGCTATGTGGGCCAAAAGGGCAGAGTGGTGCGGCGTGCTGCACTTATGCTAACAACCCCCCCCCTTCGTATGGTAAATCTAAAGAATCAATAAAAAGGAACCATTTTCATGATTTATGTCACTTCCAAAAAAATAAGCAATAGAAAGACAATTTAAGACTTCGTTTACTAACAAGTTGCTTGAAACTCTTTTTAGGGTCATGCCGTGGATGTTTATGCAGTGCCATGGTGGGTACCACTGTAAGAAAAAGTGGCCAAGTTAGCTCATCATGCACGCAATCTTGCATGCGTAGTAGGAACATTCGAGACTTCGGATGCTAGAAGTATCTGCTCGCTTTGACCTCGGAACTTGCTCAAATCGAAGGCCATTGTGCCGCGCCGTAACACGAGTTTCAAGGTACCCACCACCCCATTATCACGCAACCAGCAGATTATAAATGCCACCTTTTCCTTTGTCTTTATAAAGATCGTGAATTGAGAACTGTAATCGCTTGACTTCATATATTGTATCTCATACCCTCACGCTCAGAATTAACCCACACTTCATCAAAGACAGATCCAGGCGCATCCGACCTTGATTACATCTCAGAGAACCAGCTAACTTACAAGTAAAACCCACGGAAACACCACCACCCCCAACTCCCCGGTTCCAACTCCCATCCTCCCCAATTCCATCGTAAAGATGGCAGAGCACTCCTACAAATTCAACGTCTCCATGTCCTGTGGCGGCTGCTCCGGCGCCGTCGAGAGAGTCCTCAAGAAGCTTGATGGTGAGCCCTCACAACACCCCAGACACCCGCCCCCGCATGAACCCATTCGCTGCGCCCCATCTCCATATCTGAGTGCTGAGCACTGATCAATGCATCGAGCAGGCGTCAAATCCTACAACGTGGACCTGAAAGCGCAAACCGCCGAAGTGGAAGCCGAGGAGAGCCTGTCGTACGAGAAGGTGCTGGAGACGATCAAGAAGACGGGCAAGAAGGTCAATAGCGCGGAGGCGGATGGCGAGGAGAAGAGTGTGGAGTTATAGGGTCAGGTAGCCGTTAGGGGCTCCGGTGGTGGCAAGGGCGTCCAGGAGTGGGTTGGAGGGAGTTTTATGTCACAACAGGAATTCACAATGACCTGCGGAGAAGAACAGAGAACTGAGTTATGCATATACAGTATTGCAGAGTGTCAAGTTGGATTTACATGACCTCTCCGGTTTTGGCAGAAATATAGCATTCTTGCGCTGCTCACTGGCCTGCGGATGAGATCTTGGAGCGAATCGTGACCTGTGCAAAGAAGCCGTGAGCCCAGTGACCTTTCCTTCCACGAAAAGCAGCGGCAACTTATACAACAATTCCCCTAATCTTGTAAGCGGACGTTGCTGTACCATGACCATATCTCCCAGTCCCAGAGTTCCCTAAACCAAGTTATATCCTTCGCTGGGTTATGCGCCAATAGTAGTATGCCCCGAAATCCTTGTGGCGCCACACATATGTCCCCTCCTGGTTCTACTTGATGCCGAAAGCCCTTCTATATCATCGTTTATCGATGCCCAATCAAGGCCATCTGGTCAATATCATCATCGTCCTCGTCTTCTTCGAGATCGTCGTCCTCCATTTCGTCGTATTCGTCTGTCCAATCTTCAGAGTCTTCCTCTTCAGGGTCTGCAGCGTCCTCACGACTTGACGAGGGTCTCGCTTCCTGACGAGGACCAATTGGACGCCCCCAAAAGTCGTACTCTTGATCCTCCGTCCTCGGGGCTGGTGTGTTGGCCTGTTCCTCACGGCCCAATCCAGTGCCGAAGTAGTTCCCAACCGTCGGCGACACAGACCTAGCACCCCTCGGCTGTGGAAGTAGCCATGGTGAGCCACTAGATCCACCTACCTCGGACATCGAGATAGATGGGCGTCTCGATGCGGCTCTGGAATTTGGTATTGCGACTGCTTCATCGGCAACGTTTTGAGGAAGAGGCGGACTTGCAGTAACCGGTGCTGCCGAGGCGTCATCGCTTCGAGTTCGGGAACCTGAACCATCTGCCTCCAAAAGGTAGTGCTGCTGAGTATTGTACGATTCGCACCACTCGCACTTGAGGCCAAGCCAGTGATATTTGGTCGTCCCTTTCACTGAGCAGTCGTTGCAGTGTACATATGCTCTTGTGTTGCGATATTCTTCAGGCATAGGTTGTGCGTTGATCTGCCGATCGAGACTGCGGAACTGCGATTCCATGTTGACCACGCTCTTGCTGCAGATCGGGCATTTGTAAGATTGCGTGCACCAATCCTTAAAGCAAGACTCATGAATACTATGCCCACATTTCATGAAAACTACTACGCCCGCAGAAGTGAAAAGGTATTCGCCACAGATAGGACAGTCGCATTTGGTACTCTTTTCTATGCATCGATGCGTAGACTGAACTCCAATGCTCATACAGACAGAGCAAGTCTTGCAATGGAAAAAGTCCTTTCCCAACCCCTCTCCCAGTCTACAGATCCCGCAATCCTCGCAATGGTAGATCGATTTTGCAGGGTCATTGTTCCATAGCTTGCATACTGAGCAGTAGTAGCAGGAGGCTTGCTCACCACATCCCTTGCACGTTTGGGAAGCGGGCTGGGGGGTGTTGCATATCATACATAGCATGTTTTTGGTTTCCTGGCGAGGAAGAATATGGTCCTCCACTTCATCATGACAGAAGCGACATGTATACCAACTTTTGCAAGTGAAGCACTGCAGCTTCACGTTGCGCTTGTAGTGCGGGCAGCCTAGTTGAGGAGCCTGTCGCTCTATCCGAACCTCGACTGTCTCTAGAGTATGGTCTTCAGTGTCTGGTGGGGCGTACGTCGGTGTCATATCGGTAGGCGACAGATGGAAACGTTTATCTTCCTCGGGTGCAACATCAAGAGACATCGGGCTGCCTAACCCTGCCTCATCGCTGCCCTTTAGGGACGACGATGTCAGAGGGCTGGCAGAGACCGCCATACCTTTCGGCATGCTAGAGCCGCCTTGGAGGCCGATGCGGGACGAATTGTATTGCTCCATCATCAAAGAATGTAACATTTGCGACTTCTCCTCGACCGTGCCGTCCCCTTGCCAAATTGCATGGATCTTTCGTCTCATTGCGCCCTTACCATCATCTGCTGGTAATGTACCGGAGCCATCGCGGGATCGAGTTTGTCCATGATTTCCGTAATGAGCTCTTGCCATTTGCAGTGAGTTGGCTGCCCTGCTTGCACCAGCTTCTTCCCTGACCCTTGCGACGGGATCGGATTGTGAGTGACCTCGAACATCTTCTTCATGTATTCGAGAGCGATCGGGCAATTCACGCAAGGGGTTTATCGACGTGTCGCTATGGGCTCTGACCTCACCCGGACGGGCTCGTCGGGGTTGCTGGGTAACTTGCGGCTGCTGGGCGATTTGAGGCTCTAGAGGAGGAAAAGGCGCGGCTGCTGGAGCGTCATGTTGTTCTGCATTTGAGGCATCGTTCTCGCCAGACTCCATGGCCTCAGGAGGGGGCGAAGGTATTGGAGTCGCCCATGGCCCGATTAGCGTCGAGTTCGAGACGGTGTGGCCGTCCTGGTTATCGTCCTCGTTAACGGATGCTGGAGGTGATGTATTCCACAGTCTCCTGGGGTACCATGTTCGCAAAGATTCTGGTACACCTGGCAAGAAATGAGGAGGGTCTTCTCCGGTGCTAATGCGAGATAGACGGCGGGCTGAACGAACGACGGGCTCAACAATCAAGGATGAGAAGTACTCGCTCATAGAAACCGACTAACTCAAGATGACCGAGTCTTCAGCGATTGGCACAGTGTATACAGCCGGATAACTTTGGTGCGAGTAAGGATGCGGGAGATTCTTTCATGGGTGAGTACAGGGATTTCAAGTGGAACGGGACAAGGTCATGTCCCAGGTCCATGGTTGACATGTGATTCTTGGCGTGCCTACATGGAGTTCAGATCGACTGCAGTGCTACTCAGCTTTGAAATAACTAACTTAGATGTTTGTGAGCGTGACTAGATACTTGATATTTGTTCTACTCACTATTGTGGTGATGGGATCCCACCGAGTACAAACTTTGCATAATTCAAGGCGTCCGTCGCTTTCCCCCTTTGATCACTGAGAGTAGCATGCCATAGTTCCCTCCAAGCATGATTCCCTCTTCAGAGGATTTCCGCTGAACACGATCCTCTGTCAACCTGACATTCCAGACGCGTATTCCTTCAAACATGACCTCCACATATGAGAGCCTGCATGCTCTTTGCCATAGCCTAATGTGCTCACAATCCAAATCTGCTGGCCCAATCGAAGATCAGCGTACAAGAATGCTAGATCAAGTGCCAGAAGCGAGTCGCTCAGCCAGATGATATCGAGCGCGCCCTTGCTGCCGAAACAAGCGACAACTTCATGTTGTGCGAAGATAATGGTTGTTGACCTTTGTCATCTTCAATGAGCATCGTGCGTCCGCCAATCTCATCCGGCACATGCTGGTGAATGGACTAATGAAGTCAAGAGCTGATGGACCTGTGACCTTCTGAATAGATCTCCTCTTGTTCTTATCCGAGGCATACTGCGCAACAGAGCCTTGCGCTCGCAGGACCAACGGAGTCATTCACTAAGGAGCGCAACTGGGCCAAACCGTGCTTCGAGACTTCGGAGATCTTGTGGGCATCTTATGAGGAATAAAAATACCCTCTAGGCGGCCATAAATCTAGTAATTCGTAACTTGGAACCTCCTTCCCAAGACATGGAGAGTCATGACAGGAGAAGATAAAGTCGAGAGTTCTTTGCTTGAGATTGTCTTTTAAGACCGGCTTTCATCTGAGACACAGGTTTAGACTGTCATTGAACATTGTCAAGGTCGCATCATATTGAGCCCAATTCTCTTTGCGGATTTGGGAAGCCATGCCAGTTTGCTGGGATATTCTGAACAAATCATCAGCTTCCCACAGGCAAAGTCTCGGTTTCCACATACAATCTGTTGTCTCTCTTTGCATGATGTTGCCAATAGCGTACGTGTAGCAAGTTCTTCAGTATTCGGTGTTCCATACCAGTGTCATTTTCCGCTCGTTTGAGGAAGTCCTCGGTGTTCTTGACCCTCTGCAGGCTGAAGTTGGAGGCAGGCTCTGTTCGGAAGGCAGTCCTGATGGTCTCTCTTATAACATATTTGGCTGGAGAAGCGCGGTGGGTAGCACGAAGAGCGTTCCGGTAAAGGTGTCTATAGGCATAAAGTATAGCCTGGCGGGTCATTGGACGAAACGTGAGAGAATCGGTGGGTGATCAACAGTGAGTAGTAGCGCAGCTGCCAGATGTGGTAGTCAAAGCTGCAACTACTCCGTACGTACTCCGTAGTACTACAGGGTGTATCGAAATTGGCATGTGCTTAGAGCTTGGCAAACTGCTAGTTACTAAGAACTAAATTAGTAGGCACCAAATATTCTATCGTGCCTCTCCGGGCGCATCATGATCTCGCCAACTTCTTCCAGCCTCACCCAACAACATCTTCCCAAGCCAGCTACTTTTCGGATTCTCATCGATCAAGATCGATGAAGAAATGTGCATGAAGAAATACTGCTATGCTATGTCCTTTCAGTGACCTGAAAGTCTTTCGCCGTCTCCTTCGCGTTCTTTCTTGCGAGTTCGAATCTTGTGTTTACTAATGTGCTAAGCTCTTCCATCGCTGAGGTTGCTTCTGTGGTTTGAATTACTTTTCTGTTCCCCAGATTATGACTGTACAAATCGATTCTTTGGATCTCGCATTGTAAAAGGTATTCTGGAGCCGCGAGGAAGGCTCCAACCCAGGATGGTCCGGGTTGGCCAGAACTCTGCTCTCATCCGCACAGGACCCGCACCCTCTGGCTATGACCAGAAGCTCTCAACCAAACCAAGCAAGCATAAAGTCGTTCTCGAAAGCGTGACGCAAGAGAAAAAGAAACTCCGAAGTGTGGTACGCTACTTTCGATACCTGTCCTTTTGATGTTTAGACTGAGCAAGACGTTTTCACTAGCTATCATTCAAAGCTGAACCACCAAAAGGCTACACCTTTATTCCTGCTGGAAACCCTGAGCTCACTAATGCTCTGAAGGACTTTGCCAGAAAAGGCAATTATGAAATCTACGCTGTTTCGGTTTGTGGCCCCCCAATATGCCATCTTAGCCTCAGAAGGAGTACGCTGACAGGGGAATTAAGACTACCCCCCATCAAAGAGCCCATGACCTTTCACAGCAGGTCCACAGGATAGGTTTCCATTTCCCTAGCGTTGTCGTTGCTCAGGTGTGTGCCTATTATGGGATTGTTCTTACGTCGGCTGGAACCGTGCTTGTTGAAGATGAACTTGAGTCCTTCCATCCTCGCTCCAAGCGACTGAAAGATCAAATAACCGCTCAAGAACGGAAGGACCAAATTACTATCAATACCGAGGCGAGAGATACTATCAAGGATCTCTTTCCAAACATCCCTGACAATGATCTGAACCAAATCATTAAGACCGCTTTTCAAAAAGGGCAGGGGAAGGTGGGAACCGCTAATGAGCTTTCTCTCATCCGCCGCGCTCAGCTTGCAGTCGTCGCACACATTCGTCATGTCTACACGGATTACGATAAGCTACTGCGACAGACTCATTACCGCGAGGCGCGAAATTTTGTGGAAAAGCCTAGCCTAAGAAAGCTAGTGGAATGGCGCGGAGATGACGAGAATGGAAAACAAGTTCTCGAGGACGTGTTCCGAGAGGTTGTCGTCATCTCAGACGATGAAGATAGTGATAGGGAGGACGATGACACAATGAACGATTTCCGCGACGTGAGCGTGGAAATTGTATCGAGCAACACCAAGGCAGACCATTTCAATCCGGATCCGCTCGTCCTCGAAGCGCCCAATGCTGGTCGTAGGTCAGATCATTTTCCTGTCAATAGCAAGCGACACTCAGCCTACCCACATACTGCCTCGTCAGTCCAGAAGGAGCGAAAAAATGACCAGGATAAGGTCAGTCGACGTGGCTTTAGCCGATACCAGGCATGGAATGAAGCTCGAGAAGAGTATCGAGCCAACCCTACAGATATAAGGGTTGGCAATGAGCGAGCTCTTGCATACCCAGCTCCCGAGGTATCTCTCCGTCGAGTGGAACAGGGTCTGAGTGGCTCCGGGCATCGCCCAGAGACTTTCACTCTCCCTCAGCATTTGCATCAATCCCAGGTGAGTCTTCATTGAGGAAACGCAGAGATAGGCAGGTATCATGAGCCGCGTGTAGTGCGGCGTGTACAAAATTACTTCTATGCCCCAGTCGTTGGGACAGACAATCACTGACGTTATTAGGACTTTGCTATGCAGGCGCGTAATGACCCACCTGATACTTACCGTGCTCGTGACGGTACTCTCTATGAGAGGGTGATCGAGAATCCTTCTCCAGGTCCACAACAACTGGTTGCTAGGCCCCTGATATACGAGACTCGTAGGCCAGCAGCTGTAGGGAAGGTGAGAACCAATGCCGTTGCCGATTTCCCCTATCGCCAGGATATAAGTCAGAACCTTTCCTCCCCCAGAGATACGATAATTCCTTCAATAGAAGACCCTTCACCGGCAGCTGCATCTTCCCAGAGTCGAATGGTAAGTGGGAGCCAATTGCCACTGTCATCAAACAACGAGCGTTGGGCAACCAGCAGCAATCAAAACATAGAGCGTCGAATCAACGGTATTGAATACCTAGATCTAACCGATGAATCTCGATACCTTAAAAAGCGACGAAGGGTTGAAAACATCAGTGGCGAAACCTTCAGAACTTCCCGCACTGGTGATCTGGCGCCATATTCTGCTTCGCAGCAGCATGAGCCTGAATATATCTCGCTCCTTTCTCCTACACACCAGCCTTCACAGCCCAGTAATACGAATGCCCCATCAGCGTTACACTATGAAGATCCTCACAACCATGTCAATGTTTCTACATCCACACCAACCTACCGTGACACTGTGGTTCACAACTCTTCTGTCGGTGTTATGCGCTCAGGCGAGAAGCTCGCGGCTCGCCGGCCCCATGGGCAAGTGTCAGGTTTGAGTAACTTCTCCTCTCGTGAAGTCCGCTATCTGTCGCCTTCCTCTCCTAGAACAGACAAAGACTCTCTTCCAATTGGGTTACAATCTGCTTTTCATGTAGGAGCATCTCCTGTAGACCGTGGAATCCAAGAGTATCGAGCTTTTAGGGCACGGGAACGGCAAGAAAAGGCATTGCCGAAACCTTCTGCACCTGCAAGGGCTCAATTGTATGGGAATGGTGATGTTCCTTATGCCGCAATTGAGTCGAGGAACGGACGACCAAGGCAATTTGACGCAACAAAGCCATCCCGTGACCTTTCTAGTCACCTATCCCAAAGGAGGCCTACGCAGGGGTACCATACCCTAGATGAACCACTTCCTCTGGCGCAAGAGGATGGATTTCGCTTGCGTGTGAGGGAGGTTGACCACGACCACTCCTTACGGCGGCGGTCTGCTTCACCGATTGAGCACCGACGCACGCATCTGGGGGTCGTGCCCCCATTGCCCCAATTTTACCATGAGCGACGGCTTGAGGCGGGTCCAGAATATCTTGCAATGGAGCGAAATGATGCGAGACAGCCTGCTGACCCAGGAATCATAAGACCGATCCCACGGTAAGAGCATTCATGATCCATGCTAAAGATCTTGGTCGCTCCAGGCCCCAGCTTTAATTTTGAGCCATCTGACTTTGGGTAGGTACGAGTAAGAGACGCACACTGCTTCTCATGATTCGCCGATCAAACACCACAACGGAGACCCTAGAAATGTGAGTTTCCGAACAACTATGATGAGTTCTTGTGGAGTGGACGGGCTTCCGGCGAGCACGCAACATGATCGAGGGTGCGGCATGAAAGTGGAGGTACGAGTCGTTGGCTCAGTACTGGAAGCTGTACTGTGCGAATTAAGGAGGCGAGGATTCGTCATATCTGTCGAAGATTAATGATATCTGTGGTGAGTTGGCTCCTCCCATACGGCATGGATCAGCTGTTGGGATCTGTGTACCTAGAATAGTCCTACAGATGAAAGGAGACACTTCCTATCACAACTGAAAGCAATTCCTTCTACTTCCCGATGATCATACTGTCCCTTATGCAGCGGAGTATTATCATTGGACATTTACCGCTCATTTAGTTTCTACCTATTGTGATTGTGAGGTTGAAGGTAGGCGGGGGAACTGATGACATCAGAGGGGGCTTTCCATGACGAAGTCACAGTGACAGAATTCTAGACACAATTCACAAATTCACCGGTACATTTTATTGCAAGCTCTGGCTTCTTTGAGTTTCAGCTTGCTACTCAGATCGATTTGTTCCAGATACGCAAAAAACTACACAACATCAGATAGGAAAATTCCCTAGTCATGTCTAAAGGAGGAGGTGACTTGTTTGATATGGCCAGAGACGGCACAACCGTGCCAGAGGATGCTGCTAAGCCCAGGATGATTCCTTCGGTGCCTCGACCAGACCAGATTGCCTCGGATCCCGATCCAAACTCACTAGGAGGCACCAATCTAGCCGATGCAGCAGAAAATGCTCAGGATATCCCACGGGTACGTTAGCTTGATAAGCCTTAATCTGCGGCCTAGATCTTTTTGGATACATGCTGATCGAAGTCGAGATGTAGTCTACTACGGATCGAGCTGGGCAGGACATTTTGACCGGGACTGGAGACACGCTGCCGGCGCAGACGGACTCAAAGCGTCTACACGCCGTGCCTGGTGGAGTTGTGAATGATCCTAACGCCAAAGGCTCGAAAAGATATGAAAAGCATATCCGTCAGAAAGAGTCTGAATTGGATTATGGGGCTAGCGAAGGTCCTGGAGTGGATAAGGCACCAGGCGATGAAGAGTTGGGAGATGAGGAAGCCATGGATAAGGTGGACAGGAAGGTCGAGCCATGATCTGCAGCTCCTTGGGGCGGAAACTTTGGTGGAAATCGCATGGTTGCATGGATTCTTCTAAGATAGTGCAACAGGGCATCCTCCGGGCCAATCATGAATATACCTCAGTTTGCCACTGTGATATTCATAGTGCATTGAGAATACAGCGACTCGAATGGTTGAAGAGAATGGCCCTTTCTTTTCCAGAGTTGGAGAGCTCAACCCTAGTAATCGGAGAGGAACCCGGTAAAAAGTACGTAAAGCGACAATGGGCTTCCCATCTTCGTCAGCCCAACGTCCTAAATCACTGCTACCGAGATTTTGGCCCGGGTGATGTCCTCTTCAGCCTCTCTATCATTGGCCTCCGCCGCGGCCTAACTACGTTGTAAGTTAGAGCATCTTCTTTGATGTCCTTCGGGCAACCAACTCTTCCTGATTCTTTTAACGCCTGAAACCAGCATTGCAAGGGAAATCGGCACCTTCACAACACCACAAAGCATCCATGCAGAATTACTCTGGCCCAATCCACGTTGACAACGAATTACATTGGCGGGACAACTCTAAGTAACAATCTAGCTGCTTGGGGCAATTCCAGCTGTTGATCTTCACCCTCCGTTACTACTAGCACCATCGTCATTCCTCTAATCTTGGCCCTCCGGCCCCAAATACGACACGAACGAGGGATTTTTTTTAGTAAACTGTGTCCCGCGGTATCTCTATGGTAGCTGAGGAATCCCGCACCGCCTTTGCAGCATGAGATCCTGGGACGACCGGGTTCGCTGGGAAATATGTTTGACTGTGCTTCGAGGTTGACTGGCGGGAGATATGGCCCCCATCTCTATCTGGTCGACATGATCGACAGAATGTCTTGCATGTATCTGTCCACAATGCCGGGCCGGTGGGGCGAGGCGTTGGAGTTTATAGACGACCATCGGCTGTTTCGTGGTTGAGGCAAACTGCTTTTCTCTGCGTTCACAGGCCGTACATTACTGTTGTTACTACAGGGCCACTCATAATGTCTTACACCCCCATCGACTTTCATTTTGGTCACGATGGTACCGATTTGGGTGTCCATCCAGACAACAACGTCGCCGGGCCTGGTCGACCTGAGAGTTCTCACTCTCACAATATCACAGCAAGCCCAATTGGCTCTAATTGGATAAGCTCTGGATCAAGAGAGATTGGGCGTGAAAATATGATCGCGCCTACTGTCTTCAGTGCTGGTTCTCATGGAAGCGCAACTATTGTTGCGGATCGCTGGAGTGATTCTTCTCGTACATCCAACAAGAAGAACCTGAAGAGCCCTGCTGTCCATGAAGTGTCTCTGCAGGATGGTGAGAGTGGATCTGTGTCATCTGGCAGCTCGAAGCACCTCAGGGGCGGTTCTTGGACCGTCGAGATCATTTCCTTCACTATTGCTTTGCTTGCTCTGGCTGCCATCATTGGTGTACTTGCGCACTACAATGGAAAATCGATGCCGAGCTGGCCTACTGGTATAACACTTAACACGCTGATAGCGCTCCTAACAGCAATTGCCAACGCCGCTCTTGCCAGTCCACTGCAGCAGGGCTTGTCTCAACTCAAATGGATCAATTTCAAGCGCGAAAGTCGACCACTTACCGACATGGAGGCATTTGATGACGCTAGTCGAGGGATCTGGGGTTCGATCAAACTGCTTGTGATGGGACGCGGCGGGTAAGATATTGAGATGTCCCAAACCGTACATGTGGTACTGATCTAGTTTGACAGCGTACTTGGTTCTTTCGGCGCCGTTATTGTTATTCTAGCACTGGCCATGTCACCTTTTGCTCAACAAATCGTGGTTTATCGCGCCAGGGAAGATGTCGCCATAAGCAATCCTCACTCCTCCATCAACACCGCTCTCAACTATACCTGGGTTCTTCCGGGAGACCCTTCTAGCCAATCACCTCAATTCGTTCCTATTCTTCCTATGAAAGCCGCAGTCTGGGGCGGTCTCTTCGCGGCTGACATCAATCCGGTGCCTCCTTACGATTGCCCAACAGGTAACTGCACTTGGCCTGATTTCTCGACGTTAGCGGTATGCAGTTCGTGCGTCTCGATGACAGAATATATGGAAAAAGACTGCCAAAGCAATGACAATGGCAATTCTTCAGGCTGTGGATGGTCACTACCAAATGGTGCTAAACTGAATGGTTCAAGCTCTGTTTTTAGCATGACTCCAACGATACCATCAGTCAATGGAGACCTGAGCTATGCTACCATCATGAAACTCACGTTCATGGGAACGGAAGCACAGAACAAGGAAACCACTACTCAATTTACCGGCTCTGGGATTGTGCAGCCATGGGCTCAGCAGTGTACCCTGCAATACTGTGTTCAAGATATGCATACCTACGTGATCGACGGTCAGCTTGGGCAAAACGTGACAGCCACGTACTACAACACATCTGTAGTGTCCATCAACGAGACGCTCCAAGCTGGTAATGATACTCCGCTATACATCACCTCGAAACTGCACAATGAAACCTTCAATGTGGGCGGCTCTGTGATGCTCGGCATCCAACAGTGGTTTGCGGACCTTTTTACGACTGGCTCGGCAACAAGAGAGGACATTTCAAAGACAGAAAGCAACATCGTCGTGAATCTGACTGTGGGCGTCAGCTCTGGAATGGTAAGCTAACAGACACCACTATCACCACCTAAATATCGCATCAAGCTAACAGAATTCCTGCCAGACGAGCTTCACCTCCGATGTCGTGCAAGGTTTCTACTGGTTCTACTACGAGTATCCGACCGGTCTGCCAGACCTCAATGAAGGCCTCGCGAAGACGATGACAAATGCGATTCGAGCAAGCGGTGGTGGTGTTCCCGTTCTCGGCACTGCTTATGAGATGAGCACCTATGTACACATTCGGTGGGGCTGGATCACGCTTCCAGCCATCGTGGTTCTCATGACTGGGACTTTTCTGGCCGCGGCCATGCTTAGAAGTCGGTCTACGAGGACGAAACTGTGGAAGAGTAGTGCTTTGGCAATGTTGTTCCATGGTCTTGATGGTGATTCGAGGAAGACGGCGCTCAACTCAGATAGTCTGAGGAAGGTTAAGGTCAGACTCGACGATGATGAGAATAGCTCGCATGGCGAAGGTGGTCGGCTGTTGAGGATATGATCCTATTCTTGTAGATGGCTTCGTGACTAACTTTCAAAGTATATACAATGTATTCAGTAATCTACAAATTGGAAGCGTCTTATCACATGACACTTCAAGCTCCACTAGCCCTAAATCAGCTGACTTTCCTGCTTTGTATTCGTACCTGCCTTTTCTGGTAAGGCTACTCATCCACGGAACGGGTTATGGGAACGAAGTTCGCATCTGATATTGTAGCATGGAGGCTGCTGCCTGGCAGCTGAGATTCTTAGAGGTAAGCAAGTGGCTATTGTGACTCGATATATTACGCTAATTAAGTATCCATCTACTAACCCTTTTTCCTGTGCCGTTGACTCTCTTATTTCACTTTGGATGCCTTTTGTTTCTTTCGTCCTCTTCGCCGCGTCATTGAACGCGCAACTTATAGACCCTTCTTTTCAAGGGCTCAAAACCAACATGGTCCTTGCAGCCATAGCAGGCGGCACTTCGCCCACCCTCGGTCGCTCGATCGTCACTGCAATTCTAGAAGCTGGCAATCACACGCCTATTATCCTGTCCCGCTCCAAGCCTGAATCATATTCCGCACCTACATCGCAGCATGGCGCGAAGATTCGCTACGTTGACTACAGCTCCATCCCGTCCCTGACCAGAGGTCTAGAAGGCGTGCACACAGTCATCTCGGTGCTAAACCCCACAGATCCCGCCGAGATGCTGGATTACCACTCGAACCTGCTGAAAGCCGCTAGAAGCGCGGGATGTAAACGATTCGCCCCTTCTGAGTGGGAGGGTGGGCCGCTAAGCAAGCAGAAGGTTGAATTGCTACGCTCGAAGCTGGATGTTTGGAAGATGTGCGAGGAAAGTGGCCTCGAATGCGCGAGGTTCACACCTGGTTGGTTTATGAACTACCTTGGACAAGGATGTCCGGAGTCAAAGAATGAAGAGGCGATCGCTGGGCTGGATGATGGTTTTATGATCGACTACGTTGATATTGCCAAGGGGAAGATGACTGTGCCGCTTGCGGAAGACGGACGGCCAGCAAAGATGAGCATGACGGAGCTGGGAGACATCGGTAGATTCGTCGCCGCAGCTTTAGACCTTGCGGAGGGGGAGTGGGAGGCGGATATGGGAATGGTCGGGAGTACAGTGGACCTGGAAGAGGTGGCCCGCAAAGCCGAGCAGGTGACGGGAAGGACATTTGAGATCAAGAGTATCACGAAAGAAGAACTGAAGCAGCGTGAAGACGATCTTGATCAGCGGCTGGCAGAAGCGTTCTCGGTCGATGCGCTGCTGGCCAAGATGGTTGTGCAGCTAATGCAATGCGCTTGTGAGGAACAGGTTGGGAATCAGATGATTGACCCGGTACTCAACAGGCTCTGTCCAAATGTTAAGCCGCTTGGTTTTGAGGAATACCTGCAGCGCTTTTGGACCAGCTAGGTGGTGATGCATTCGGCGACAGAAGTACGGAGTACTGACTGCAACCATGCAATTGAGACAGAAGGAAAGCTCTTGGCAAGTAGGCAAGTAGACAAGTTAACTGTTTTGAGTTTAGCGCTTCTCTCTTGATCATTTTTATTTTCACTGCAATTGAATGCTTCGAGGCAGCAGACTGAGAGCAGACTTGGGCTCTGCCAGATTTCCTTTCATCACAACAGTTGACATACTGTACATACATCCGCATCCACTGCCTGCACTTCAAAATGCCCTGTATTTGTTGGTAGCAGGTTTCGGGCTACATAGGTCACTTTGGCTGCAGACTCTCTTTCAGCATCCGAAATGCCACCACCTGAGACCACCTTCTCCTCCTTCCAATATCAGCATGAATTGGCCGATTTCTTGCACTGAAAATGTCAATGTTTAATTGACGGTTAATAATTATTTTCGGTTCGCGACTTCAATTCGGTCTTGCTCTGCTTTCATTTCTTTGTCCATATCATTCTTTCTCTCAAACAACTTCCGCATCCGGTCCACTATGTTCCTCAAATTTCTTAACCACCCAGCTGGCTCTGGCTGGGCGTCTCACTTGCTGTTACTCTGCTGCTTCGCTCGGAAATTCCATTCATATCGATCGGTCCAAGGACACATCAATCGACCCTGCAGATGGCGCGCCGGAAGCGGGCAGCTACATCACGACCACCAGCTCGTTCATCACGGGGAACCAGAGCTGGCACCAACAACCGAGCGGATGCAAGTGCGAGTGGACAAGCGTCGTCAGACCATCCAGTGCCACCCACCCCCCGGAGGTCAGATCGTATTCGAAGAGCAGCAGGCACACGAGGGCGGGGGGCTAATACAGGCAATCAGCTAGCACAGAATCCCAATCTCAGAAGGTCGAGCCGTATAAGACATGCCGCAGAGGCACGTCAGCGGGCAGCGAATGCAAATAATGCGGCGAATGCAGATAATACGGCGAATGCAGATAATACGGCGAATGCAGATAATACGGCGAATGGAGCGAATGCAGCCAACACTGGCAACGCAGGCAACGCAGGCAACGCAGGCAACGCAGGCAACGCAGGCAACGCAGGCAACGCAGGCAACGCAGGCAACGCAGGCAACGCAGGCAACGCAGGCAACGCAGGCAACGCAGGCAACGCAGGCAACGCAGGCAACGCAGGCAACGCAGGCAACGCAGGCAACGCAGGCAACGCAGGCAACGCAGGCAACGCAGGCAACGCAGGCAACGCAAGCAATGAATCGCCATTGGGCACCCTGCCTCCAGCAAGGCCATCCGACGCTACTCTAAGAGGCCTCCTCAGTGCAGGACCTGTAGTCGAAAATCTATTCGTCTACATGAACGAATGGGACCGTCATAGCCTCATTTATGCCATGCCATCCTTGCGTGATGCCCTTCGTCATCCCTGCATCCGCCCTCGTTTCAGATGCCAGAACATCCCAGATCTTGCTGCGCTGAAGCTGCCAAACCCCCAGGCCCGCAGACAACTTATAACAACACGCAACCAGTCCCCACGGGTTCCCTGCACTACTCCAGCCCGCGCTCCTCCCGGGCCCAATGTCCCTGCGCGTCTGCGCCGCGAAGCGCTTGTCCGAATCCGCAACTGTCAAGGTCACGCACTTGGTTATACTGCTCACGGCGACCACCGCAATCCCCATGGACAGTATTTCTGGGTATGCGAGCTCTGCGCCTGCAAAGCATGGGAGTGTCGGAGTGTCCTCCGTGCCCCTCGCGCAGTAGATTTGTGTCTTCACTGCTCGCGCCAGCGTCGTCTAATCCAGCCCAATCCTGATACGGACCACTGCATGTGCCTCTGGGATCAATCAGCAGACAAAATCCATCTCTGCACCGACTGCCGCGGCATCAAATCGTTGCTTGATAGCGCAGCGATAATGGGGTGGGTGAACGCGCACCCTATGCAGCCCATACACAGTCCAGCCGTATTGTATGTAAGCGACTATATCGACGAGCATCAGTCCAGAGGCGAATCTGATTGTATCTGCGGAAGGAGTCCGCGTATCAAGAATCTAAGTCACGCACTCGCTGCACCGGTATGGAGGAACACGTTTGACGATTTGGTAAGAATCTGTTCCTTCTGCAACAAGCAGAGGTTTATCATCCACAACATACATGCATAGTAGGAAAATTGCATCCATCTCAATCACTACTGCCCTTTTTCTTTCACTCCACATCCTCCCTTCCATTTTCTCTCTGATATCCCGTACTCCCATCATTCAATCCCCCAAAGCTAATTGTATTTGCGCCATTTCCTGCTCCTTTGCCTTTCTCCCAACCGTGCGAACGGGACCAGAACATGAAATACGTCCTCGAAACGTAACGAGCTGCCAGGCTGGTGTTGTGAATGCACCAAGCCGACCTAACTAGCGTGGAAACACCCAGTATTGCAGACCAGCTACAGATGGGGGCTTTGCGAGGCATGGATGCCCTTGGTACTTTATAGTGTTGTGTAGCAATGGTTGAAGACGTGCGCACCATCATTAACCTACTTTTCGACCGGCAGTGGAAGCAGGATGGATGGATGGATGGATCTACGAGCTAATAGACGAATAGACTACCATTCCTACATAACCCTCCCTGGTTCCTGAACGCCGAGGGCGGGCCCGCAGGAGCGAGGCGGCTTTGTAGCTACTAACTAGTATTTGATATATGGGGGTGCGGGTGGGGATGAATACCTACACAGCTCCACCGTGAGTAGTTAGCTTCCAGCACTCGACCCCTGTGGAAGTAATGGATAACCGATAACGTAGGCCACAATGCAATGCAATGCCGACAGAATTCGTATGATGCCAAATCCCTCCCCGCCATCCCATCCCCATCCCTATCTAGATACATACAGTGTCAGTGTCAGTGCCAGCGTGATCCACAACAACAGAAAGTTCCAACGAAAGGAAAGCGAAAGCGATCATGGCAAGAAAGAGAAAGCGTAAGTGACAAATCAACCAGCTGATCACTCGAAATCAAACACTCGTCACGAATAGTTACCCAAGGCCGGCCGGGTCATCGTCCTTGGAATGAATTTTTTTCTTCTTTCTCACACTTGGTCACTATGTACGCTGCCTATTTTCTTTTTCTACTGCCCCGTTTTCTGCCGCATGGTTTATTAGGTACGGCTATCTCCCCTCCCTTTTCTCGCCTGGCTCACCTGCTGCAGCGGCTTGCACACGTTGCTCTGGGCTGTGAAGGAAAATCAAGCCGCGATCTGCGTGGTCGGGCTAGGCGGTATTGGCGGGATGTCTGGTCGGTTCGTTGGGTTGGATGATATGATATGATGGTGTGAAGGTTCTCCGCCCGGTACTGCCGGATCTGGCCGCTAGTACTGGGACCAGGGTTTGCGTGGATGCTAGCTAGCTAGCTAGCATTTGGTCGGTGTGCCGCATATTGGTTGGGGACGAAAAACAGCGGATTCTCCGTGGCGCGGCCACTGCCCGCAGGGTGCTGCTATCATTCGCATCCCCCTTTTCTCTGTCATCATGCAGCAGCAGCAGTAGTAGCAGCAGCAGCGGGATTCTGCTTTCTGAAAGACACCTTCTCCACACCCACATTCTCCGCTCCGTTGGCGTCGGTTCGTAACTGGTAGACGTAGAGGACTAGGACATCTCCTTGGACCTGGAATTCAAAAATTCAATGACCAAATCAGCAAAACTCGCAAGCCACTCAGTTAGCTTCACCTTCACCTCCCGGACCCAAAGAATCCTCTCAGCCTCCCAAACCCAGAAGAAAAAAAAGGAGATATGTGTAACAGCACAAGGCACTTACATCCATCAAACAAAAACTGGGGGTAGGCTCCTCGGCCTCCGCCTGCCTCGAACCGGTGCGTGCCCCCCCAGAGCAGCACATCGACATCCATCTGCCTCGCCGCGATCAGCAACGCATCCGCATCCCCCTGCGGGATGATGGTGTGGCCATGCGTGAAGCCGATGCGGAGGGAACCGTGCGTGATCACTTTGGAGAGGGGGATGGAGGATGATGACGCGGTTGCCGAGGAGGAAGCGGGGGCGGCGGAGGAGGAGGGATTGGTGGTGGTGGTGTTGGCGGAGTAAGGGTTCTCGGTGTCAAAATCGCCCTTGACGAGCTGCAGGTCCGGCGCGATGGTGCGCAGGTACTCGTAGGTTTCGCGGTCGGTCAGGTTGCCCAGGCAGATGATCTGTCCGATTTTGCCCGGGGTGAGGAGTTTTTTGAACTGTGCAGTGCGAGGAAGGGTTGTCAGTCAGGCTGGATGGGTTGGACGTGGGAGGATTCGTTACCTTGGCTGGGATGTCCTAGGATTATAACTTAATATTGTGCTTCAGTAACTTGAGGAACTCGGACGAGAGGACTCACAGGGGCGCGATCAGGGATGAACAGGTCGCCGATCACTAGAACGAGCCTGGAGGCCATGGTGAGAAGAGGATAGGGAGTGCTGCTATCGACTCATATCAGCAGAGTGTCATTGATTCTCGCTCATTGTCTGCGAAGCTGTCTGTGGGCTTACTCGTCGGGGGAATGCGCTCCGAGTCAATTGCAGAGCTCCTGCTGCTCCTGCTAGAGACGGAAGGTTGGGCGACTTGGCAGGAAGATCTTGGCATACACATGTCATTCCAAATCATTAGGAAGGAATAGAGAACACTTTCACAATCACTTTTGTTCGGACGAAAACTCCATCATGTCCCATTGTGCTTCGAATCAATGAGTGCGACATTTCCCCATCTTCTCTACTATATTTTGCACCCAATACATCATAAAAAATGCAGCGATTCCAATAGATACCTTTCCCATAAGGAGCAAAAAGTTCGCATCACATACATCTCCACTCTCGAACAGTGCCTCCGAGAGGTTCGATACTGGAAGGGAAGACGCATCAGCTATGAAAACCACGCCACCCGGGGTGTTTTTGCACCCAGCAGCCGAACCGCTGAGCCATATGTCCGGAGACATGAGGAATTGCTCTCAACACAAATATAAACGTATTGAAAACACAATCTCCACTAACGGCTTAATATCTGCAAGGCTTACCACAATCAATCCGCTTGCCTACTTCACACTTCAATAATGACAATTTACAGACGGCAGAGTTAGTTCATGTACAGCTTTGATTCTAGCTGATCGAACACTGAACTTATTCCTAGGCGTTGGCTTCTCTCCAGCCATCTTTACCGACATCAAGTTCTATGCTCGAGGTATACGTACAGGTCGTGAAGCCTGCTGGCTTGGTCTCAGAAGACGCCTCCACACGCTCGGCATCTCGCTCGGCATCTCTCTCAGTATCAGTATTACAGCTACAAGGCAGGCTCCCCTTCCCAAACCGCTGAACGTAAGTCTCTCGCTCGTTGCAAAGATAGTGGAATCTGGAAAAGGTATGCCCAAAGATGACATGATGTGTGAGAGATGGATGTAAGCGCGGGGAAGCATATCAAACTCTTATTCGAAGGATGTGGTAATACCCAGCAATAGTGATGTGAATGGACGGCGAGCCTGGCTGGCTGGCTGAGCCATGATTGCTCCGACAATTTCAAAACGCCTCTCTGATGTCAATGTCATGACCCAACCTAATTTCCCCAATCCGCAACCACCATCAGCTAAGCGCAAACACCAAAATGTACAAGAGTATCTGCCGAGACCGCGCGACGAGAATCACTCCGTGCCGCATCACGCTTTTTCGGCCTTCTCTGCAGCTTCATCACCAGCTCGGTCCGCCTGGGCTCTAACCGTTGCTTGCGCCATTTTCAACAATCCACCATAGTGGAGCTCTAGTCTGCCTTTCTCAACATGTCTTTTCAAAACTTCGTTCTCTGCCTCAAGGTCACGTAGGACAAGCTCGATCTCGGTCTCCCGGAACCGCTTCCTCAACGAAAGTGGGAAGACCTCAGCTTCCAAAATTTGCGATGGACCGAGAAGCTTGATATTGCTTGCTTCCCCGCGATGATGCTGAACATGCTCAAACCAGGCGACCAGAGTCTTAAATAGACTCGTTTTCGTCATCTCCGCAGTGACTTTTTCATCGTTCTTTTCTGTTGTATCATTAAGCGACACCCAATCATCTCGAATCATCGCCCGACGCCAGATGATGTGAGTTAGACCTTCCACCATTGACGGGTCTATTTCACCGAGTTGCAGAACCTCTAGAGCTAGCCAAAATTCGTGGCCAAGGATCTGTGGATCATTTTCCTCGGGGCCTTGGTATTCTACAGGATCCATCAAGGTCAGAATGTCCACGAGTCGCTGGGCACTGACGGCCTTGCGACAAAGCAGCAGCCCAAGGCCATCATTTAGGAGTGCCTTGAGCGCTGGGTATCTCTTTTCTCCAACAACTCGTCTTCCGAATGTTTCGAGAGCCACTTGCCGAGCCCCTGCATCATCTATGACGGGTCCGATGGATGGTAGCATGTGAGCTTGCACCCGAGCTTGAATGTCTAGTAGTGCCAGACGATCATCAAACTTCTTTGTTGATATTCTCACCTCTTTCCTCGGGTCCTTTTGGTTGGTCTCGACAGCAGCTATGTTGGTTAATTTCGCAAGGCATAGTTCGGTTTTCTTGATCCACAGATCATCCCCTTTCTTCGTTGCCAGGGACTCGAGTGTCTTCGCGGCGTTGCCGAAATCCTCTTCGCCAATCACATCGTTGATCCAGCTGATCTTTTGGTATCCTGGATTTTGTCGCAGAAATCGAGTTAGGAGGGGCTGTTTCTTCTCGTCAGTCTCTGCTTCAGCAAGTAAACTGCCCAGCTCTCCATCTATAGTCATCTTGTTGAAGTAGGCTTGTGCCCAAGCGGATCCGTACTTTGCGAAATAGCCTTCGGTTCGGTTTTTAATGCTTTGCAAGTCTTGCTCGAACTTCTTCACATCACGTTCTGACGGTTCAGGGCCTTCTTTTGTGCGCTCGATGAGTTGCTGTCTTGCCTCGAGATCTAAGTCTACAAGGGCTTTCATGTCCTTCCAGTGTTCTGCTAGGTCAATGGCTTCTTGGACAAGACCAAGTCGAGCGATCTTGTAAAAGTAATCTCGACGACTTTTCTGACCCCATCTCAGCATCTTTTTTGCTTGATCAAGATGCTTCGGGTTCTCCTCGTGGTCTTGTTCCATCAACCAAGCGTGCCTTTCAGCAAACATTCGCTGGTGCAGATCGAGTTGTTTTGGCATGGCATGCGCCATATGGATCACTGTCTTTCTGCTGGGTTTTCCTGCACCGCCTGTCTTAGATAACCCCCACCATTCATGGGTTGTGTCGTACACCAATTGCAATAAACATTCTCCCAGACGGACCGTCCTTTCGACGATGGTCCAAGCTTCGGGAAGGTCCTTGTATCCGCTCTTTAAAATACCATGCTGTGGATCGAAAATCTCGTCTCCCAGGCCATATAGTGGTGCGGTATCCTCGCGCAGCCTGTAGGCAGCTTCGAACCCAGCTATCCAAAGGTCACTAGATTCGCGAATGTTCTCGACCATCTCATACTCGCTAAGGAAATCATCTTCCTTGACCTCTTTGTGTCCTTCGTGAAGCCAATCAAGCAGGAACTCAATACGATATACGTCTTTCGTCAAAAAGAGTCTGACCAAGTCGGTCTCCCCTTTGCTCTCGTCAGCTTCGGTGCGATAATCAGATGCCATAAAGAAGAGCAGCTGCTCCCAATATGTCTCTTTCCTGTCCTTCGGCTTTCGCCTCATAATGTCTTCTTGCACCTTCCACATCGCCTGTGCAGCCGCAAGCTTTTCTGCACCCCAAAGAAGCTTCCACTTGAGGAGTCGCGGCAAAGGTCCGTAATACTTCTGAAGATGCAGGACAAGATCCTCTAAGGCTTTTGCGCGGAGCTTAAGGTGTTGGTCCAGGGACGGCGAAGCTTTTGGAACATACTTTGAGGAAGAACTAAGTATCTCGTGGCTTATGCTGAGTGCTGCTTCCTCAATTTCTTCGCTCGAAAATGTCTGCTTTTCTGCGCGCGTGAGATCAAGCGGATTCTGCCGAAGAGTGCCGTAGAATATTGCTTGCTCTATTCGACTTTTGAGGGTGATTTTCACTTCTTCTGGCTCCTCGCTGCGCATAGCAGAGGCTATTGATGCAACTCGAATGATGCCAAACCCTTGGACTGCCAATACACACGAGGGTTTTCTGTCCTGCGACTCCTTGTCTTCGGACACGAAGCCAAGGACACGATAGATTGTCTCATTCTGAAACTTGATGCAATCTTGAAAGGGCTCAGGAAGCCTTTGTCCCTCCATTAAAAGTTGCGAAGAGGGTGATTCTTTCGCCTTTGCCAGAGAAAATATGACGATGGCGGTCTCGAAAACCACGAAAGCGACTTGGCCAGGCTTGGGTACGCACAATCTTGGTTGAAATCTCGTCAAGTCAGATGCTTGGGGTTTGTAGCAGGAGATCGGGTGGACCACGATGATGTCTGAACATTGTGCTGACACGTTCGCTTCGATGATGTAGAATGTGGATGTGTTGTGATGCATTAGAGATGCCAGAAGCAGGATTGGGTAGGATATCTGGCTATTGATTTGTCCCAGCTCACAGCTTTTGGCAGGACTCTCGACAAAGACGAAGTCGAGGACCTTGAAACGGAAATCATTCTTCAGGTCGTCCGGCAAGTTGTGAATGAGAGCCCCCAGTAAATCCTCCTTCAAATTGACCTCGAAACGGAGCGAATCGGCAATGTTGAGATGCGTGCTCCAGTGTTCAAGCCCACCCTGCTCCGTGACTATGACAACATCACGCTGACCCTTCGTTGCCGTACCTGAGCGAACAGCAGCGACAGATTCTCTTCTATCACCAGCAACAATATATCGTAGGCCACCAAAGAAACCACCGCTGTTTGCACCACCACTCTTACGAAGAAACTGAACGCCAATGGCCGGCCTACCAAGCTGGTCCTTAACAGTGAGATGAGCCACTCTACCATGACTGAGAACGAGTATAAATCCAGCGGGCTCGGCATTGATAATGTCCTTGATAGTCTCACCGCTGAACATGCCTGGAACAGAACCTTGAACGCCAGTGGACGGTTGACCAGGCAGAAAAGAGGAGGCATTTGTGATGGTCTCCCAGTATACAACTCTGCCCTTGTCTGGTGTGACAACCACCAATCCTGGCTCGCTGCCAACGGATCTTGCTGCGAATGCGCCCAGAGGCAAAGGCTGTGTGGGTCCGCTGGGTGGGAAAGGTAATTTGAACGAGAAGAGATCCTTCGTTGAAGGGGTTGTAGCGGATGAATTGTAGCTCCAGATCAATGCTTCGGAGTGTGTCAATGCCAACGCATATCCGTGTTCAAGAGATATCGTGCTGGAATAGGGTACTACAGAGCACCAGTTAGCATGGCTCTAATCTTGCCCAGATGCATGAAGATGTACTTGTCGGCCTTGAACGGATTTGCTCTGGAAGAGCAGGCAGGTGTTCGACGTTGTAGAAGTCGTTGCTGGACTAGAATTTCTCAAGTCAGTTTGCTATAGACTCGACACCAGCAAAGACAGCGTACCAGCGTCACAGCCCCACTTCCTCGCTCTGTCCTCTTCTCACCCTTCTTTGCGGCGCGAAGTGTGAGCTCTTTCGGTGCGGCTAAAGCGCCATCGTGTTCATATTTGTCCTCTGGAGCATGACCATTCATCAAAATGCTGCCATTTGAGCTGACTGCGACCTCGTTGGGGCTCAAGTCGCTAAGTGGCTCAAAAGTATCTCTCCGAAGAGCAGACCTTCTTCGTTTTGCACGTGGGAGTTTGAGGGAGTCGTCAGAGCCAGCTCGTCGCGAACGCTTTGGGCGCAGCGAATGACCGTGAGATGGTGGAGCTGATTCTGTAGAGAACATACTGGCGACTGCAGCTACTTAACACCAGCAAAACGGCGGAGAAAGGATGGTTGACTACAGTACTGAAATCTGCTCCGAGCATTAGCGCATCTCGAGTCAGTGACACGACTGTGATGAATAGCTCGAAGAAAGTTTATACAGTATTATGCTCCACTGCCACTGCATGCCGTTAGAACAACGCCAAGCCCGAAAGCCACACTATCCCCTTTCCGTCCTAAGTTACTTCACATTTCAGCATAATGAGCTGGGGTCAACCTTCGCTCACTTGAAAGATTGCAACAATTTTTTCCAGTACAAGCCAAATAAATTGATCAGGCATGTCTAGCTATGTAATATCTCCTCCTCATCAGTAATAGACCATGGACCGCTTTTCACTGAATCCTCTGCTCCAATGCCGCTGACGGTTCTGGAGGGTCAGATCTTTGTGGTCCTGGTGTGCTCAGAGATATTCCTAATCCTCCTCCTCAGTCTCTGGGCACCTGTTACGGCTACATTCAAGGTACCAATCAACTTTCCCGGAGCTGAGGAGAACGTCTAAGACGTCGGAGGTGAGAAAGTAGGTTTTCTGTGATTCTCTTCAAAGTGGAGCTCTTTTTGTTGACGGACGTTATTGGTTCCCTGTTAGTCTTCGGTGGAGGCGCAACCTCGTTGGCTAGAGGGTCCATTGCTGATGAGATCGTTGGTCCACTCGGGATGTAAAGGCTTTCGAACCACTGACTGCAAAGTTTCAAAACATACTTCTCATAGTCCTGCCATATGTCTGCCATATACTCGAATTTGCAACTCTTCATTGAGTTGGCGAGCCATGCCGGATCATCTGCAGTCTCTAGGCTACCAAATTCTCTGATCAAGCCAACAGTCAGAGCGACTTGCTTCTGCCTGTTTTCAAACATAGACTCTTCCGCGAAGAGTACGTATGCTATTGTGACACCTTGATCGTAACAGACATAACAACGTCCAACGTTTTTACAAAGTTTAGTCCGAGGCCTTGTTGGTATTCCTGACGGGTGATCTGCAAGATCAGGACATGTGCATGGACTGTCAGTCTCAGGAATTTTCGTAATCAGGCATCCAGGGTTGAATCTTCTCAAGACAAATTCCTGGTTCAGGCGAAGGTGGGCGCATATTGGAAGGTCAAAACCGTAGAGCCTGTGAGAATTCGGTCAAGCGTAAATATGCCTTTGTCGGTAGCTTCCACGATGGGATTACTAGGGGCCCAGAATAGTGTGACGATGGAGATCAGATCATGCGAGATAGTGCCATCTTCATTTCGATACTTTTTGAAACGTGGCTCCCTGTTCATACTGCAGACTTTGGCATTGCACCAATTGAACCTTCTTCCGGGATAAGCAGATGTCGACAAGGGGACATTCGAGAAAATTTCTTTGGCTTCATCAAAGCTCATGCTGAGGTGTGAACATAGCCAGGTCTTTCTGTCGTTATGATTGGTATTGAGGGTCGAGGGGCGCCCTTCGGAGCTCAATGTAACAGGTGATCCAATATGTGCTTTGGGTGACTCATGATGCTTGTTGCTTTTCGCACATGGTGAGTGTTCTTGGTAGGGTGGTGGTGAATCCATATCTGGTCGAGCGAGAATTGTGTTAGGTTGAGGACGTAGATATTCAAAATCTGCTAATGCTGGAAGGTGAAATGGTTATGACACAAGCTTCAGACAAATTTTCCAGTAGCTGCACATGAATTTGCAGGTTTGTAGCTGTTAAGTATTCCATGACCTTGAGTACCTCACTACTTGAGAAGCGTGCTAGGAAGGGCCCGGCTGCCATACTCCGTACGGTATGGGTAAAAGACTGAATACGTAGTAGAGTTGGACTAGCTCTGGCTACTAGCACTAAAGAGGCTTGGTGACTTGGTTTCTCCAGTCACAAGCCTAAAAAGCTTTGGCTGGCACGGGCACAGTTCTTCAAGCGAGAACCACAAGATTCTCTGAGTGGGGAATGTGTGAAGCTGGCATGCTGACTTCATACCTCGGCACCGCATATGTGAAGGTCCTTGGACATTTCGGGCTGTCTTGTGGTTTGTTCAAAGCTTTGGCTTCGTCTCGTTGAAGCTCCCAGGGCTTAGAGGTAGGGCAGGTAAGTGACCCCAAGGGATCCTCGGTCGGATTAATGGTGTTGATAGGGTTGGGAGTACATGGAGGTTCCGCAATGTCATGGCTGTATACTCTTTCAATTGTCTCTTGCTCGGAGGATGAAGTAAGTGGTGAATGTGCGCAAAAGTCTGTAGCGTGTCCTGAGGTCCTGAGGTGCTGGAAGTTTGGCCCGCATGGTGAGTTGCCAGCGCTGTGGCGTTTGCACGTTGCAACTTGTGTATAGGAAGATCAAGCAGGCGACAGAGGTGGCAAAATGTCTGGGACAGGCATCGGCGTATCAGAATGTCTAAGTTGCAGTGCGACTTTCTGAAGTCGTTGGGTTGGCTTTCTGAAGTTGACTGTCTAGAGCTTTAGGCGGGCGATGGCTGTGCGCAGTGGTCCACAGCGGGTATCAGACACAAGAAACTCTGGTTCGTAGCGTGGCCCTTTCATGTCTAGGAGTTCGCTCGTAGGAAGCGGATGCCCAAAGGTTGATGCAGTGATGAGTGCGTGAAAATGTATGCCGCAGGCCACCAGATTCTTATTCATCTCGCTCGCATTGGTGCCTTCCTAAGGCTTATGGGCTTCGGTGACTGGTCAGGGATGCAGACAGGCAGCAAAGTTGAGCGGTTCCAAATGCGCAAAGGCAGTCTTAAAAAGGTATGAGAACTTATTCATGAGATACGCGTTGGTACCATCAACTTTAGTGGGGTCGAGTGAAAGGCGTTGGATACTGGGTTCGATGTGGCAGGGGCTGTATGGAGCTGGAATGTGCCGAACCTGTGGATCAGTGTCTCGAAAGGTACTAGCTGTACTATCAGCAACCCGAGGATGCATGATTATACCACTCCAGACGCAAGTCACTCATATGTGTTTGGTTATCTTAGAAGCTGAATGTGAGCAATTTGGCCAGCTGCTACCAGTAGTTGGTGTGAAATCTCCATAGACCAAAAATGCGTCATGCTGGGGCATATTGAGGTCAGCGTGCGCCGCTGGTACGGGAGAAGGCATGATGAGTTCCAACCAGCTGGGGCGAACCCAAGAGAAATCTCCGAGATTTTGGAGGTACCACTTTGCGTTTTGTGTACTTTCCTTCAAAGTTGAGGCAATGTTTGCGAGGCTGAAATGGCGTTTGCTAATCTTTGAATAGCGTATAACATTCTTGACAGGCGGCGCCGTGGTTGATGGTTTCACAGAGTCTCTGAAAAAATTGAATGATTCAAACCACCGAACTCGGAGTTTCCGGATGTGGACTTTCCCAAACCTGCCATATGCTGGTCATATAGTGTAGCTCACAAGGTTTGACAGTTCATCCGCATTGTCTAGGCTGCCCAGACCTCTCAGAAAGCAAACAGAAAGCAAGAGCATCTGCTGGCCAGTCTCATCGATGTACTCTTTCATGAGGAGCGTGAATTTTTGTTGAAACACCTTGCTCACGGCAAGCAGCACAGTTCACCATGTTCTTACAAGTTTTGCGAACAAAGGGGCTTTGGCTTTGTGATGTGCTACCTCGGAGCTCAGACCCATGACAAGTGCACGGACCACCATTGCCATGACTTAAGGGGTACATGCACTTTGAGTTAAACCTGCTTAAGATGAAGCTCTGGTTGAGATGAAGATGGGCGCATGTAGGAAAGTCGAGGCCGTGGAGCCCCGTAGAAATTTGATCGAGGGAGAAGATTCCTTCAGCACCCTGAGGTTGGCGACCAGTTGAAGACCGAAACAGTTTGACGGCAGACATTAGCTCATGTGAAAGATTATCACGCTTGCTTTGGTATTTGCGTACTCGCTGCCCCAGATTGGTGTTGCAGGAACTGCGTTTGCATCCTCGATGGCCGTCCCAGAGCATGGGGAGTTGGATACGGGAATGGTTGAGAAAAGTCCCTTGACTTGGTTGAAGTCCAGCCCCAGATGTGGGCAAAGCCAGACCTTCCTGTCGCTGTTGTTGACCGAAAGCGGTTCCCGCAACGGTACAATTGATTTTTTACAACTAACTGTTCCCGATAAGCGGTGAGGTTGAAGCTGTTCGCGTTTGACGGATACTCTGGATAGGGTGGTAGTGGATCCATACCAGGCAAGTCACGGGATGTGTTGGGAGCGGTGCATTCGCGGCGGTATATTCGGCGAGCGGTGCATTCGGCGTTTGGGTCTTGGCGGGAAACCACCATAGTAATTTGTATGTAGCGTTCCTGATAGTTCCCAATAATTATTTCCCTCATTGCCATCTCGATTCTGAGCTC